CAACAACTCCAACAGGACAATCTGCACAAGGAGCAAGAAACATTGTCAATTGCATGGTGAAGATAACTGATTCGTGCACAACCGAATCACCACCTCACTACTCACCGGAAGAAGAGCTCGACAACAGGACGCCTCGCCGCGAGTCACTCCAACCGAATCCGACGTACGCCGCCATCGCTCAAAGCGAACCGTCCGGGCAAGACACGTGGTTCTTGGACAGTTGCTTCGGACAACATATGTGCTCCTCGGGACGCTTCGTTCAACGCGAACATCGAATCCAGCGAGAAGTAGTCATCACGGTCGCCAACAACCAGAACCTGCGCACATGACGACAAGGAGTAGTTTAGCTTCAATCAAGAGAGACAAACGTCATACTACAAATGTCAAAAGTACTAATCGCGGAGGGACTCGGCTACAACTTACTGAGCGTCAGTCAGTTTATGGCGAAAGGCATACACCTGGAAGCCGACAGCACCACCCAGGAGTTTAAACTGTACCACGGGAAGGGCGGCCTCTACATCGGAAGAGCAGTTTTGAAGAACAACGTCTTCGTTCTCGATTTCGTCCCCGACCTTGGCACTGCAGATAGCGACGCCATCGTCAACTTCGCCGATTGGACACATCCCCCGGATCTCAATCCCGACTTCAGCCCGGGAGGTTTTTGGTACTCGCACACCATCCCTGAAGCAGAACGAACACGAGCGTTAGCAACAATTCAACAAACGGCAGTAGCAGAGACAACATCGACAGCAGCAGAGACAACATCGGCAGCAGCAGAGACAACATCGGCAGCAGTAGAGACAACATCGACAGCAGCAGAAACATCATCGGCAGCAGCAGGACCAACGACACCAGTCATCGTCGACGAAGCACCACCAACACCCGCACAGCAACTGAGCCCGACTCAACGAGAAGTCCACAGAAGCGCCAATGTCGTCACCAGCTTCTACTCCAACTCCGACGCGTATCAACGCTCACCCGGACATCGCGCTCCTGAAGACATCTGGCACGCACGCACAGGACATCCAAGCAACACAGTATTGAATAACACAATACGAGCAGGAGTCCTCGACAAAGATTCGCTACTACTACCCGACGGCAGAGAACTTCAACGGGCACGAGGAACTTGCCTCATCTGCCCCGAAGCCGACTTACCCCATCGACCGTTTTCTTCTCACCACAACCCGAGCGCACCTGCATACGCACCACTCGAGAAAGTATACAGCGACATCCTCTTCAATCGAGAACCAGGACAAGTCACCTACAATTACACGATAACCTTCACCGATGCCGCCACTCGATACGTCTGGCATCAAAACCTACCCAGCCGCGACATGGCACTCGCAGCGTTCGCCGCTTGGCTACCGGTAGCAGAGAGGGAGTCAGGAACACAGCTGAAAAGCTTCCAGTCAGACGGAGGAGGAGAATACACCTCTAAGCGCTTCAAGCAGTACCTGGCGGAAAGGGGAATCAAGCATCTCCTCTCCCTTCCCTACGCCCATCAGCAGCAAGGTGTTGCAGAAAGAATGAACAGGACTCTGCAGAACAGCATGCGCAAACTGCTACGTGGCATGCGGCTACCCAACCACCAGTGGCCTGCAACAATGGACCATGCTGTCATGCTGCACAACTTGCTGTCGTCGTCGTCACTCCCGAACAACGCATCACCGCATCTGCTGTGGACAGGAAAGCAGGGCAGCACAAGAATGTTACGAGTTTTCGGATGTATGGTGCAGTACCGACCCCCAGAAGCACGAGCGAGAAGATTTTCACAACGGGCACAGTGGGGACTACACCTCGGCATCGAGAAAAATTACAACGCGTGGAAAATTTTCGATGTCCACTCAAAGGAAACAGTAGCAGCACGTGATGTGATCTTCTACGAGCGACTCACCCTTCAAACGTACCTCGCCAACTTGCACGAGAATCAGGACCCCACAGGTGGTTTTCGTGGTGACCGAGCCTTCGCCTCAGCAGCGGACAAAGCAGACTGGGATGAAGAGAACGTCGACAACGCATCGGAAGAAACCAGACCTCTCCTGTACTGCTCCGTCGACGTGCCCATGGACGAAGACAATCCTCGCGACAGTGTCAACGCCGAAGTCTTCTATCACTTCGCCGACAACGGTTACGTAACACCTGCGACAGTCAACACAAACGAAGCAGAACGGATAGGGCCAAATTTCATACCCGATCCAGAAGCGGGAGACGAAGCAGCTTATCCCGAGGATCCAACACTCCCCCGATACTCACAGACTGGACTGCAAATCCTCGGCCTCGTCACCGCAGTCCACGGCAACGCACTTCCTAAGGAGCATGCGACGGTTCAGCAGGCTCTGGGGGGTGAACACAGGGAGAAATGGCGCGAAGCCATGGACAGAGAGTTAAAGGCACTGGAGGAACGCAACACTTGGAAGGTCGTTCCCGCAAGCGTGGCAAGGAACAAGACCATTCTCACCGGGAAATGGGTCTTCCGCATCAAAACGAAAGCAGACGGCACAATCGAGAAGTTCAAAGCATGCTGGGTCGTGCGTGGATTCGACCAAGAGCAAGGACGAGTCTTCACCGAGACATTCGCCCCAGTTAGTCGACATACCTCTCTTCGAATTCTTCTCGCCGTTGCCGCCATGAAGAAGAAGAAACTGCTACAAATCGATGTCGCCATCGCATTTCTCTACGCACCCGTCGACGCCGAAATCTTCGTCGAACTCCCACACGGTACCCACGGAAACCCCAATCAGGTCTGCCAGCTACTGAAATCGCTCTACGGAATCAAACAAGCCCCGCGGCTGTGGCAACAGCACCTACACACCCGACTCACTCGCATCGGATTCCGCCAACTGCCGCACGACCAAGGAATGTATCGATTCACTAAAGACGCCGATTACATCCTACTGATCGTCTACGTCGACGACCTACTCTACATCGGCTCCACCGACGACATCACCACCTGGTTCGAAGGGGAGCTGCAGAAGGACCTCACGCTCACGGTTTCTTCTACCGTCACCCAGTACCTCGGGCTCAACATCCACGAAGAAGAAAATGCTATTTACTTAAGCGCCGAGATATACGCCGACACTATCGCCAAGCGCTTCTCGCTCACACCTACCGCTATCGCCACGCCATACCGCTACACGGCAGGAAGTAACAAAGGAAATTCCGCTCCACTCAAAGCTGCCGGAATACGAGACTACCAGAGGAAACTGGGCTGCCTCCTCTTCGCAGCCGTCACCTGCCGCCCGGATCTATCCTACTCCGCAAGCCAGCTCGCTACCTACCTCAAGAAACCCGAAGCAGAGCACCTGGCGGAGCTCGATCGCGCACTACACTACTTCGTGAGCACTCCGACGATCGGCCTGACTTACTACAAAAACGAAACTACGACCACGAAACTAATCGGCTACGTCGATGCCGATCATGTCGGCGATTCCGACAATAGGCGCTCTCGCACTGGCTACGTCTATCGTCTCGAGCCTATCGGACCTATCTCCTGGCAGTCGAGCAAGCAGGAACTAATCGCTCTCTCTTCAGCTGAAGCAGAATATATCGCCCTCTGCTCAGCCACCAAGGAAGGACTCTACCTTCGCGAGCTGCTGGAAGAAGCAAAGTTAGCCGAGTTACCCAACTTCACCCTATTCTGCGACAACCAATCTGCAATTCGCATCGCCAACAAAAGCGGATTCGCGAACAGAACGAAGCATTTCGCTCTGCGATACTTCTTCGTGAAAGACGAGATCGAGAAAGGGAAACTCGAATTATCCTACTGTCCCACGTCCGAGATGGCAGCCGATTACTTTACCAAGAAACTCGGAAAACAGAAGTTCGAGTACTGCATGCTGCTGACTGGACAAGGCCACGTCACCATTAGCGACACTCCAGAAGCGAAGGGGAGTGTTGGGAACAATAAGTCTTAAAGCGCCTCTGTCGTGTCGAAACTCAGGACACAAGCGAAGCAGTCCAAATCGAAGCATCGCGAGTCAACCCTCGGAGGTTAGGGTAACCGCCTGGAGGTTACGCGAATGTCAAAAGTCAGCGACCTTTGACTTGACAAATACAGCGCAACAGCAAGGACACACAACTGACTCGACATTGAGCAGTTGCCCGAGTCGCACTGTATCGAATCGCAACAGCAAAACAGTTTAATTATATCTATTCGTATTCCTTGTACTCTTATATAAAGCCTTGTATTTGCTTGTTTTAATCAACTTACTTTGCCCTCACATACTAGCGCAAGGTGGTTCAAGGACTTTTCATTCAAACGCTTCCGCTATTACAATCCTACTCAGACTTTAACTCTACAAAGATCCTAGGGCATCTCAGCCCAACAACCGTTACCATTGTAGTTTCGCCATATATTCTTCGCCCATACCTTCGCTCATTGTACTTTTGCTTCGATAGTGGAATTATCTCTCGCTCACTCAATTGCACACGTAACGCAACCACATAATAAATCTCTAATATGGAAGATGTTCAAAGCATCCGCGAAGCTGTCAGCTATTCTCGGCGTGCATAACAAAAAACACGGGTACTGCATATATAGACATGACCAAGCAGGGAGTAACCTTGTAGTGCACCCTACTGTACCCGTGGCTAGCGGTAATTGTGGACCACAACCGTGCCGTACCTTTCACTCTTCTCACAAGTCCTTACAGAGTCAATGAAGTCAACAGAGTTGATGGAGTCAAAGGTTTGTAACCACAGCTATGTACTAAGGTACATGTCAAGAAGTGCACCACCTAGTTATGCAAATTCTTTGGCACATCTTTTCCATAAACCACCCACTATCAGTACCATAGTACTACCACCATCACCACCGTCCCCCGTAGAACCATACCGCACACTGCTGAACCGCACCACAAGCCGCACTTCAGACCTCCACTAAATAAACATCATCCCTGCGATTCTAACGTGCCGGGAAACCAAGTACTGAACCACCGTGTACACCACTCCAAGGCACCCAACAGACCCTCCAGAATCACACCGCACCCTGCAGAACCCTGTCATATGAACTTCATCCCTGCGATTCTAACCTGCCGAGAGACCAAGTACTGCACGACAGCATATACCACTCCAAGGCACCCAGCCGTCCTTATAGACGGCAGCTCATCCCCTCCCGTCGGCAGCACAGCAGCAGGCAGGCACAACGGCCCCAGCACCAGGAGCAGGTAATCCCCGCGCCGCTTATTATCCCACATGAACCGATTGAACACGTAGTGCATCGGCGCGCAGAGCAGCAGCAGGAGGAGCGACTTCGCGCACTGGAAAAACGCGTCGTCCTCTGAAAACCACTCCGTTCCCCAGTAATAAATCCCGGAATAGGCCTCGGAAAACAGCAGGAGGAAATCGGTGAAGAGGAGGTAACCAGAGAGGACAGCTGTGAGTGGGAAGTAGCGGTGGCGGTCTGTGAAAGCGGATCCGAGGGTTTGGGAGTCCTGGTTGAGGAGGAGGAGGATGGGGACGAGCAGGAAGATGGTGTGGTTGGCGGTGTCTGTGGTGGCGAACTCAGCGGAGAGGAGGAGCGCGAGGAGGAAGGCCAGGATGGTGCTGATGTTGCCGACGAGCGGCATCCAGGACTTGCGCGAGAAGAAGGACGCGAGCAGATTCAGAGGCCGCGTCTGGGATGGGGGAGTGGGATGGGGATGAGAAGAGGAGGTGGGGGAACGACAGCGAATAAGCAGTTGCAGCAAGGGCAGACGGGGGAAGGGTGTCCAACAACCCAACTGTACCGCTACTACCATTCCCAACCGCTCACCAACCCACCTGCATAGCTCTCAACCCACCTGTATGGCTCTGTGCGTGGGGCCAAACAACTCAGCCAACCCAGCCTAAACCCAGCCCAGCCTACCATTCCCAACCGTTCACAACCCACCTGTATGGCTCTGTGCTTGGGCCCAAACGGAGAGCTCTTGGGCAGAGCCGATTCCCCATTGGTCGATGAATCCTCGCCGCCCACCCCTCCCACTGCCGCCCGGCCGCCGCCCACGCCGGCACCTGCGATTTTGTCCCGTAGTGCTGCTGAGAGCTTGAACTTGATGATGAGGGCGGCGAGGAGGAAGAAGGTGCAGTAGATGGCAGAGAGGGAGTTGGCGTAGGTCTGCATGGGTGGGAAATGGTGGAGGAACAGGGGGGGATATGGAGGGGAGGGGATCAAGCAAACAGGGTGGGGAAGGGAGAGAAAGAGTTGAACTTGATGCAGAGGGCGGTGAGGAGGAAGAAGGTGCAGTAGATGGCACAGAGGGAGTTGGCGTAGGTCTGAATATGGGGAGGGAGAGCAAAAGGAGGGAAGGAGAGCGGAGGGGAGGAGGGTTTTGAGAGGGAGCAGGGAGCAGGGACGAGGGTGGGGAGGGCAGCTTTGGACTCGCCTGAAGATTCAACTGATGGCACAGAGAGAGAGAGAGGTAATTGGCATAGGTCTGGTTGGGAGGAAAAGGGAGGAAGGAAAGGGAGATCGGGAAAAAAGAGGGAGCAGGAGGCAGAACACCACTTCCTACCACTAACCACCACCACCACGCCCCATCCCATCAGATCCCATCCCACCACTTCCCCACCACTTCCCACCGAACCCATCTTCCCTCCATTCCCCACCACTACCCACAAACGTCGCGCCCCACCACTTTCCACCCCTTCTCACAACGTCCCGCCATACCCAACCCCTCCTCAAGCTCCTCCCCCCTCACCTCCAGCCATGTTTCCTCGTAGAAATCTGGAACCTCCTTCCCATCCCCATTGTCCACCAAAGTCGCCCGCCCCAGTGCCACCCTGACACTATCATACCCTTCCCACCACTTCCCACGGCGTCCCACCCTGCCCCATCCCCTCCACTCCTCACCTCCAGCCGTGTTTCCTCATAGAAATCTGGAACCTCCTCCCCATCCCCATTGTCCACCAAAGTTGCCCGTCCCAGCGCCAACCACTGCAGAGGGAAGAGCAGAATCTGGGCGGCGAAGAGGGGCGGCATGAGCCGCCCGCTCCAGGCGGTGGGGTGGTGAGTGAGGACGAGGAAGAGGGCGGCGAGGACGGAGGCGGCAAGGAGGAGGAAGCGGCAGAGGATGGGCGCGAGGGGAATGAACTTGGCTGCGAGGTAGATTCCGGAGGATAGGCCGATGGCCACTGAGTAGATGAGCCGAACGGACTCGACCTGAGTGTTGGGGACAGAATAAGGAACAGAGACGAACAGAGAAGCATGGGGACGAAGTGAGGTGGTAGGATTCTAAGACGCCTCAAAAGCAGGCGGCTCCAGGCGGTGGGGTGGTGGGTGAGGACGAGGAAGAGGGCGGCGAGGACGAGGCGGCGAGGAGGAATGAACTTGGCTGCGAGATAGATGCCTGTTGATAGACCGATGGCCACTGAGTAGATGAGCCGAATGGCCTCGACCTGTGTGGGTTGGAAGGGTGGGGGTGAGGTTGAAGGGGAGGGGAGAAGGGTAGTGAGAAGCGGAGCAAGAAGCAGGGAGAGGATGGGTGCGAGGGGGATGAACTTGGGCGCGAGGTAGATGCCTGTTGATAGGCCGATGGCAACTGAGTAGATGAGCCGAACGGACTCGACCTGAGTGTTGGGGACAGAATAAGGAACAGAGAAGAACAGAGAAGCATGGGGACGAAGTGAGGTGGTCGGTTTCTAAGACATGGTAGCTCGCCTCTTCCTCAAAAGCAGGCCGCTCCAGACGGTGCGGTGGTGCGTGAAGAGGAGGAGGAGGAGGCGAGGAGGAGGAGGAGGAGGAGGAGGAGGAGGAGGAGGAGGTGGCAGAGGTCACGACCGACAAGGTCAAGCTCACGGGGGCAAATGAATTCGATGTAGATGCACCTTATAACAAGGTCAACCCCACGCACGCTCACCTTGGCAATGGGAATGGCGGAGAAGAAAGCAGCAAGGGCAGAGATGATAGTGCCCAGCAGAAGCCAGACAGGCCAGAGAGGCCCCTCGACGCTCTGCCCATACATGGTGGCGTCGTCTGGATCGTCCTCAGGAAAGTGGTCTTCCCTCTCCACTCACTAACCCACCGATACTTACCTTGGCAATGGGGATAGCTGAGAAAAAGGCAGCCAGGGCAGAGACAATGGTCCCCAGGAGAAGCCACACAGGCCAGACAGGCCCCTCGATGCTCTGCCCATAGATGGTGGAGTCGTCCGGATCGTCGTCAGGGAAGTGGTCCTCGTCCCACACCATGTGCTGGTGAGTCACTCCCACGCTTCTCCACCCTTCATCACGACCCACAAGACCCCATCAACCTGCCCTAACACGCTCACCTTAGCAATCGGAATAGCAGAGAAAAATGCCGCCAGTGCCGACACAATCGTCCCCAGCAGCAGCCAGACGGGCCAGACAGGCCCCTCGATGCTCTGCCCATAGATGGTGGAGTCGTCCGGATCGTTGTCAGGGAAGTGGTCCTCATCCCACACCACGTGCCATGCTGGGGGCAGCGGCGGCTGGAGAATTAAGAACAGGAGACACGTTGCCACTGCCAGCGCTCCCGCCCTCCTCGCTTTCTGCAGTATTGAGTGAAGTGCGAGGAATGAGGGGGGCGCCGGGGAGAGAGGGTGAGGATCGTCGTCATCCCACACCTCGTGTAATGAGGTTATTTTTGAGACGTCTCAAAAAAAAGTGGTCTTCATCCCCAGACCACGTGGCATGCAGGGGGGAGCGGCGGCTGGAGAATTAAAAAGAGCAGACACGCTGCCTGACACAGCCAGCGTGTCTCCACGAGGTGGGAGTACTCACAAGGCTGTTGGGGAAGTGCAGAACCCCGATGGGCAGACAGGCAGCCACTGTGATGAGCGAGCCGAGCTGATGAGCAGCGCGTGGGAGGGCTTGTGGCCCGAAGCAGAGACAATGACACATGCATGCTTGGTTACCAGAAGATGGGGGATGGGGCACAAGCACTCACGAGGCTGTTGGGGAAGTGCAGGGCCCCTATGGGCAGGCATCCAGCAATAGCGATGAGCCCCAGGGAGCCGATGAGAAGAGCGTGGGAGGGCTTGTGACCCGAGGCAGAGAGAAATCAAACACACAGCCAGTTTCCAATGAACAGACTTGATGGGGCACAAACACTCACGAGGCTGTTGGGGAAGTGCAGGGCCCCTATGGGCAGGCATCCAGCAATAGCGATGAGCCCCAGGGAGCCGATGAGAAGAGCGTGTGAGGGCTTGTGACCCGAGGCAGAGACGATGACGTCAAAGATGACGTAGCGGCAGAAGAGCACTGTGAGGAGCACGAGCGCTGCGTGCATCACTGCCATCCACGGCTTCATGCGCGAGCCGGGACGAGACTTGTCCCTGCGAGGGGTGGGGGGAGGGGGGTGGAGGCAGGGGGGCCGTGGGAAAGGGGAGTGGGAGTGGATGTGTGGTTGATTGTGAGATCATGTGCCTGTGTGTGTGCAACAAGGGAGGCAGAGACGATGACGTCAAAGATGACGTAGCGGCAGAAGAGCACTGTGAGGAGCACGAGCGCTGCGTGCATCACCGCCATCCATGGCTTCATGCGTGAGCCGGGGCGCGCCTTGTCCCTGTGCGTGTTGTAGGGTGTGGGGGAAGAAGTACATGAAGGCACAATGAGATGACGTATCGGCAAAAGATCACTGTGAGGAGCACGAGCGCTGCATGCATCACTGCCATCCATGGCTTCATGCGCAAACCAGGGCGTGACTTGTCCCTGCGCATGTGGGGGGAATGAGGAGGAGGAGAAGGGGGGACAGAGGGGATAGGGGAGTGGGAGTGGATGTGCGCGTGTGTGGTTCGGTGTGGGTATGTGTGTCTCTGTGTGTGTATGTGTGTGTTACAAGGCAGGCGGAGGTAGAAAGGGTGGGTTGCTCACTGGTAGAGGAAGAAGGCCAGTGAAATGACGAGCAGCAGCAGCTGGGAGCCCAGCAGCACCCCCTGCGAGTGCACCACGAGCATGGGCAGCTTCGCGAGGTGCACACACACGCCCACCCACTTCCACTCCCACTCTCTCTCCCACTCAACCACACTGGGCAGGAGGCCCTCACTTACTGATAGAGGAAGAAAGGAGGTGAAAAAGCGAGCAGCGGGAACTGGCTTCCAAGCACCACGCCCTGCGAGTGCACAACGAGCATGGGCAGCTTCTCGAGGTACAGGCACACGCCCACCCACTCAACCACTCTCTCTCTCACTCAACCACAATCTCACTCACTGGTAGAGGAAGAATGGAGGCGAGATTGCAAGAAGCAGCAACTGGCTACCCAGCAGCACGCCCTGCGAGTGCACCACGAGCATGGGCAGCTTCGCAAGGTACAGGCACACGCCCACCCACTCCGCCAATGTGCGAGAGGCTCACGGCTCACTTACTGGTAAAGGAAGAACGGAGGCGAGATGGCAAGCAGCAGCAGCTGAGAGCCTAGAAGAACGCCCTGCGAGTGCACCATGAGCATGGGCAGCTTCGACAGGTACAGACATATGCCCACCCACTCCGCCACGGCCCCGATCTTCCCTGCGATCCGCAGTTTGCGCATCGCGACAAAACCCGCCACCGTGGTGGCGAGCACTAGGAAGGCTGGGTACACGCCCCCCTCCGCATGAGCCTCCCCATTGTACAGCAGACTCTCCAGCCTGGTGGGGGGGCCGAGGGGAAGAGTGAGCACGAATCGCGACAAAACCCGCCACCGTGGTGGCGAGCACCAGAAACGCGGGGTAGACACCCCCCTCCGCGTGAGCCTCTCCATTGTACAGTAGACTCTCCAGCCTGGTGGAGGGGAGGACGGGAGGGGGAGAGAGGAGGGAGAGAGGAGGGAGAGAGGAGGGAGAGAGGAGGGAGAGAGGAGGGAGAGAGGAGGGAGAGAGGAGGGAGAGAGGAGGGAGAGAGGAGGGAGAGAGGAGGGAGAGAGGAGGGAGAGAGGAGGGAGAGAGGAGGGAGAGAGGGTGGTCAGAAGGAAGCACGGGGCAACAGCAGGGCGAGGAGTGATGAGTCGATTTTTAAGTCGACTTTAAAATCGACTCATCACACACGGGGCAACAGCAGGGCGAGGACGCTCACCTGCACAAGAGGAATGCCTGAGTCACCACGATGACCCCCACCACCCGCTGCAACTTCTGGAACAAGCAGCTCCCGGGGCGAGAAGGGCGAGCAGCAGTGCGAGCAGCAGCTGCTGGCACAGGGCCTTGAGGGTGATGCCTGGCTGTTGATAACTCTAAGACATGTGGTGCCTTTCGCTCACCTGCAGAAGAGGAAAGCTTGCGCCACCACGATGACCCCCACCACTCACTGCGACTTCTGGAACAGGGCAGCTCCCGGGGCGAGCAGGGCGAGCAGCAGCGCGAGCAGCAGCTGCTGGCACAGGGCCTTGAGGGTCATGCCTGGCTGCGACGACTAGAATGCGGGCCAAGGGGACGGCTTGAGCTCACCTGCAGAAGAGGAATGCCTGAGCCACCACGATGACCCCCACGACCCGCTGGCTCTTTTGGAAGAGCGCGGCGCCTGGTACAAGGAGAGCGAGCAGCAGGGCGAGGAGCATCTCCTGGCAGAGGGCCTTGAGGGTCATGCCTGCGAAGACTATAGCGAGGGCGAAGTACTGGTCCATAACGAACCACGCTGCTGCTAGTAACGAGGCTGCTGCAAAGATGAAGTAGGAGGTGATGCTGCCCGTGGTGTAGTAATGGGCGAGGTACGCTGCTGCTATGGCTGGGGCGGGGAGCACCTGGGAGGGACGAAAGTAGAAAGAGAGTCAGAAGAGAGAGTGGCAGAACAGAGGGGGAGAGGGGAACAAGGGAGAGAAAGCGTGTGAGCGTGCTGCAAAGATGAAGTAGGAGGTGATGCTGCCCGTGGTGTAGTAATGGGCGAGGTACGCTGCTGCTATGGCTGGGGCGGGGAGCACCTGGGAGGGACGAAAGTAGAAAGAGAGTCAGAAGAGAGAGTGGCAGAACAGAGGGGGAGAGGGAAACAAGGGAGAGATAGCGTGTGAGTGTGCTGCAAAGATGAAGTAGGAGGTGATGCTGCCCGTGGTGTAGTAATGGGCGAGGTACGCTGCTGCTATGCCTGGGGCGGGGAGCACCTGGGATGGGAAGAATGGCAACGATAAAGGAGACCACTGCTTTCCTCTGGAGACCACTGCTTTCCTCTCTCCCACTCCCCAGTTCCCCCCCTCTCAAAGGGCTTACCATGTCCCTTCTCCCCCCCACTCAGAGCCTTACCGTGACAGGCATGCCAATGACCAGCTATCCCGCTACAGCAGACGGGCTTACAGTTTCCCCTCTCCCCTTCTATCCCTCTCCCCCCCTCCCCCTCCCCCCCCACTCAGACACTTACCGTGACAGGCATGCCAATGACCAGCGATCCCGCCACTGCAGACACCAGCAGCACGGTGGTCACCACTGCGGACCCCACTGCACCCCTCAGCACGCCCATCATGTGCGCGGCGAAGCCGAATCCGAGGCCAAAGAGCGCGAGCGTGACGAGGAGGTAGTTGAGGGGCGGCGGGAAGTGGATGTAGTGGCCGTAGGAGGTGAAGATGACGCGAATCTCGAAGCAGATGAGCACGACCGCCAGGGAGAACCCCCCGTTGAGAATTTGCACCTGTTGGGAAGGGGGTAGGGGGGATTAGGGGAAGATGGGGAAGTAGGAGGAGGGCAATCGGCGGGAAGTGGATGTAGTGGCCGTAGGAGGTGAAGATGACGCGGATCTCGAAACAGATGAGCATGACCGCCAGGGAGAACCCCCCGTTGAGAATTTGCACCTGTCAGGGCGGGGGTTTGGGAGGGCCGGGATGCGGAGGTTGCGGAGGGTGGGGAGGGGGTTGGGGGACAGTGGGAAGTGGGAAGTGGACGGGGGGAAGTGGGAGGCGGGAAGTGAAATGGGGGGAATGGGCGAAGCGAAGAGGGAGGCAGGCAGCAAGTGGAACGGGGGAAGTGGGTGGAAGTTTCTGAGGGGCGGAAAAACACCCTCTCTACACCTGAGGGGCAGAGGGAAGTGGATGTCGTGGGCGGAGAAGGTGAGCCACGTGTAGAGAGAATTCTCAAAAAGCATGCACGTGTAGAGAGGGTGTGTTTGAGACGTCTCAAAAACACCCTCTCTACACCTGAGGGGCGGAGGGAAGTGGATGTCGTGGGCGAATAAGGTGAGGAAGAGCATCACCAGCATCAAAGGCCTCGTTATTAGGTGCTTCAATAACAATTCCATTTAGCCGATTGAGCTTGACCTTGTCACTGGTAAGCCAATTCAACGGGCCCCTCGTCGACGCGTACAGCACAAAGAGCACGGGTACGAAGAAGAGCAGAAGCGCACCGCATCCCCGTTATCAGGTGTCCTTATATCGAATCCACTCACCCGTTTGAGCTTGGCCTTGTCAGTCGTGAGCCAATTGAGCGCGCCCTTCTTCGACGCGTACAGTACGAAGAGCACGGGCACGAAGAAGAGCAGCAGCGTGTCGCATGCTTCATTCGCCGACTCAAAGATCCTATTATGATGCACCGCCAAGTGGAACCCGCACGGCAGGAACAGCACGAGCATCATGTGAAACAGCCCCTCCATCGCCCCGATGATCCACACATCCTGGGAGGATTCTTTGCCTCCGTGCCTCGCCTGCTGCTGCTGCTGCTGTAGCGTGTGCTTGGAGGATTTGAAGGAGGAGGCGCGCGGGAGGGAGAAGAGCCAGTAGAGCGCGAACAGGCACGGCATGAGGTAGAACGGCGCGTGGGCCGCGCCGATGGCGGCGATGAGCCCGTATGTGATTATAGCGATGGCTGTCATGGGCGTGCATGCGAACAGGAGTCGCTCTAACGCGAGGACTACAAACGGGTGCTCGAGCTGCAGCCAGCGGAATTGCAGCGAGACCCAGACGCCGCAGAGGAACACAAGGTGCATCGCCGTGAGGAGGATCAGCACGGAGATTATAACGGGGATGTGCGGCGCGAAGCCGAGGCCGGAGAACGCGAGCGCGGCTGCCGTGGTGAAGAAGGTGCACCAGATGGCGACAAAAGCGCCGTTTTTGAACTGGAGCGCGTCGAGGATGTAGGAGATCATGAGCCCCGCGACGAGTGTGCCTACAACGAGCGGCCCGCCGGCGCCTAGAAGCACGAGCACGCACGGCAGCAGCGCCGTGGCGACGCGCGCGTTGTACTGGAAGCCGTGAGATGCGGCGAACCGCGCGTCCCCGGAAGAGGGGGTGGCGGGCGCGGAACCGGAAGGCATGGGGATCGGCCGGCGCGGAAGTTGCCCCCCCATAGCGGGGGAAGTGTAGGGAGATGCATAGGGGGACGTGTACGGGGTGTGATACCCCGGTGACCCTTGCGCGTACATGATGGTAACGCCTTGCAAGGGTATGAGAGATTCTGAAGGAAATGAGATATTCTCAGAGTGACAGAATTTCTAAACGGCGAAGCACCTGGCCGAGATTATGACAAATGCTGCCGAACTAAGCGTGAAAGTAACGAATCTATGTCAGATATAGACAGATGACGAGGCTGATGCGTCAGATACAGACGCACGATCTGGCTTATAAGACTCCTGAATCGTTCTTAATTGTCTGCATGGAAAAGGAAAAAGAAGCAAAATTCTAGTGTCTGTAGAGCACAAGAATCGATGCGTGGGAAAAATGCTAGGAATCGCATCGTCATCGCGCTAAAGCCGTCGATCGGACGCGGCTGCTGGCATTTCGATCATCATGGACCCAGGTGCTTCCCTCACAAGATCGAACTCGTCTGCTTCAAAGACTGTCACGAACCATCCCACACTACTAGTGCGATGACCGAAAGGAAACACAAGATCGAACCCGTCTGCAGTCTAGAACCTGCTACTAAGCACCACTAGTACGTTGCAGCAACGCTACGTTCTAGAATCTGACATCTGAGAATCCTGGTCAAATAGGAGAGACGCAGATCCCCTGCTCCTGATTTCCTGTTGGCCTTGAAATCATCCAATCCAACCTAGATTTCTCCTACGGCACAGACCGTGTATAAACGCGAAGAACCGAGTTATGCATGCAAGGTGGTGGGAGAGCCGAGCTCCAGATCCAGCACAGACCCGTTTCAAAGTAAACTGCGAGTCCTACGGCCTACGACACTTCGTTACCGAATCGGACGGTGAATATCACTGCCTTGTTGTGTTCTAAACTACGGTAAGGTGCGATTACAGATAACCACTTTCAAGGCTGCAGAGCAAAACAAATGCACTACTACAAAAATCATGGACCCTCAAGACAAGCCTGATAGGGTTTCCACAATTCCATGTCAACAACTGATGTCGGCAAAAGCCATACGCCATACATTGCTTGCCTCCACCCAGCCCCCATAAAGAAGCGCCAGGGAGGATCTCGTTTCAAAGAGGTCTCCACTGTAGCCTTAGCAAAATCATCTGCACTTGTCCCTATAAAGTTGGTCAAAGCCCACTCGGCGAGGTGGTTGAGCCTACTCTCGCACGACTTGTACAAACTGTTGGATGGCAATGGTTTCCTGTTGTGCTGCTCATTGCTGGGGTGAGTAGAGAGCAGGGCATGTGGGACATACAGTACGGCAAAAAAATGCAAGGGAAGAGTGCATGAGAAGGTTTATTTCGTGGTGACACAAGTTCCCATGCCATTGCTGATGCAACTAAGAGAACTTCACTGTCGCGAAAAAAAAAAAGTACACCACACTGATATACCCCATCCATCCAAAGTTCATGACCTGCCCTCCCCGCATGCATCACCTGTGTATGTTGGTGTTGATGAATCCAGGAACTGCCAGCATGACTCGCACTCCGAAGGGCTTCATCTCCATGCGCATGCAGTTGGTCACCGCATTCAACGCCGCCTTGGACGCCGAATAGGCTGCTGCCATGGGCCTGAGATGGAGCATGTGGGAGGGGCGGGGAGGGGGGCGAGAAAACAGCTTCATATCCATGCGCATGCAGTTGGTCACCGCATTCAACGCCGCCTTGGACGCTGAATAGGCTGCTGCCATGGGGCTGTGGCAAGCGCGGGAACCGGTGGGAGGGGAGGGAGCGGAGGAGGGGAGGGAGGGAGGAGGGGAGGGAGCGGAGGAGGGGAGGGAGTGGAGGAGGGGAGGAAGTTACGACAGGAAAAGTAAGAGTGTGGGGACGGTGGAGAACTATAGAACACTGTGGCATCTCACAGTTTCTAACCAATGCAGTGCAAGGCATGGCATGAAACCCCACTTTTTGTCCTCGCAAACAGATGGGGGCACTTAAACTATCATCGGCCTAGTCCATCATCTCCAAAACCAGACTCACAGGTGGCAGAAACCTGCGCAGCTGGAGACGTTTATAACGAGTCCCTGCTTCCTCTTGGCCATGTGCGGGAACACAGCCTGGGCCATCGCAACGACGCCGAGCAGGTTCGTCTCGAACAGCACGCGCCAATCGGAGAGCGGCGTGTCCGCCAGGGGGCGTGTGGCGAAGACAGCAGCATTGTTGACGAGCACGTCTATTCGCCCAGCCTCCTTCATGACTGTCTCAACTGCATGCTGTCGGGGGTCGGGATAGAGCAGAGAGAACAGATCCGTTTTCAAAGTGACTTTTTAGTCCGACTTCAAAAGAAATTCGCCCAGCTTCCTTTGCCTCAACCCCTCGCTGTCAGAAGTTGGGATAGCGCAGAGAAAGTGGAAGTTTTTTAGTCAGACTCAATAATAATATTTTTGCCCAGCTTCCATCATCGTTGTCTCAACGGCATGACCGTTACTGTGCTTTCTCTCCTGAATATCAGGCAGAATAAATGATTAAAAATAACCATCTGGCGCCCACAACGATGCTCTGGTTACCTGAATATCTTCCGCGTTTGTCACATCCAGCTTCAATACAGTCACTCCCTGCTCCTGCAACCCACGCATGGCCTCCAATCGGCGCGCAGTGGCGTACACCGTGGCCCCTCGGCGGGCGTACTCCCTGCGATTCATCACACCATTCAACAACCACGCATGGCTTTCATCAGACCTCACCGTTTCTGGCAATTGCCACAAATGTATGAATTACTATTACGAATTCGAACCAGGACAAATCAATGAGGCGCCTAAAAGAATCGTCGCGCACACCTACAGTACCGTGACGAGCCAACACCCCGCGCACGCTGGTTCAATTCACTGAATGGGTAATCAAAACCAGCTCCGGATTGATGCTTCAAAACCACAACTCGTGGATTGGCAACGGTGGCGACGAAAAAAATATTAACGCTTTAATTTCTGCCTTATTTTTCGCCGCGAGGACGTTGAAACGCGTCTTTGAGGCACAAATTACGGAAGCAGTTCCGAAACGCTGAGTGAAGGCTTACACTGCCAATGCGTAACCGATTCCGCCCTCGGAACACCCCGTTATAAGCACGACTTTCCCATCGGCTCTGATCGGCCGAGGCCGACCAAGAATCGCGCCCATGGCAGAGACTCAGCAGTCCGCTGAGCCGGCTGACACGACCGAGAATAAAGCCAGAGGAGTGGGGTTGGGTCGCAATGACTTTTTGAGAAAAAAGAAACTAACAACCACCATTGTCGTTCGCATCGCATCCTTCTGTGGGGTCTATGCCACAGATTGACTGGCGATTGTGGAAGGGGAAGTAAACAGAACCTCGGATCTCATCACGAAAGAACACTACAAGGCGCTTCCAGAGGATTCCAGCTGCCGCTCATCTTGGCAGCGCGATGAGATGACCTATTGCGAATCTCCACCTACTCTAGTTATTTATTGTCAATGCTGCTGCAGATTCTACTCAAATCTGCACAGCTGTATTCACTGCTTATACAGCTGTATAAGCAATCTGCGCTTCCCCTGCGCTTTGTACAGATTTACTGTACACAGTTTGTAACCGTCCTCTCAAATTTCGCAGGACCGAAGCGAACCCAAACGAAACATTCAAGAAAACAAGCACCGTTCTGGCACGCTAAAAAACACACCCCACCGCATCAGAAAGCTCTCGTCTACTGTCTGCGAATAGAAACTCTCGAACACCATCGAAAAACTACAGAACTCTAAACAACACGCCCCACCGCATCGAAAAGCTCTCGAATCTCTCTCTGTACGAGCAATCACCTGAACAACATTCATGCAGGATCACGCACGGATGCAGAGCAGAACCTCGCACTCATGCGAATTTGCACGTGGATTGCAGATATGGTGGGGTGAGGCGAGATACTCGGTAGGAGATCTGGCGTTAGGAAGGTCTTCCGTTTGGATGTGCTGTATAGAAAGTTATAATGTATTACGGTATTACAAAACTGGAAACTCGGCCGTCCCCTTCCCTTCCCCCGCACAACCCCGCCCCCCCAACCCCCCCCCCACCCCCCCTCCCCGCCACCTCCCCCACCCTAGCACCGACTTCACCTTCAAATCCAAAACCGTGTTACACCTCGCCTGATCGACGAAACCTTATTGACGCCTTTCGCAAGTTTCGGACCAACAGGCGGCGAGCAGAGCTCGTTGCGTCCCCGCCGTCAATCCCCATAAACTCTGTTGTCTGGTCGCTTCGCTTGTCAGAGCACGCCAGACTGCAGCACACCGGAGTGTGTGAGAGTGGGAACGCTATTTGATGATGTTCACAACACGCAGCTGGTCATTCCCCTTCAAGTGATCAGAAGTTTCTTTCCGTGCAGCGGTAGCCGGATTCCAGAATAATCTCAAATTAGACGACAGCACGGGCTAGTACCGTCCGAACTTGATTTGTGTGTTTTTCCCGCCTTTTTTCTGCTCGATGTCCGCTCGTATCTAGTGTCACAGCGGGTTCACCGCCGTTGCTGCGGGAGCAGGTATGATGCGCACCCGCAATGATGATGGCGCTGACGGGTGGCGCGGGGAAAGTGTGGCGATGGCCGGAACGGATAGCGAAACGGGCGGTGCTGGTAACAGGGGTTTCGTCAGGAATGTGGCGAAACAAGACCCACGATTGCTCCTAGAAAAGCTTGACACGCCCACATTGGTACGCTTTTTTAGGCATCAACAGTGCTATCGGCTTAGTAAGTACGAGTTTTTTAGGTTCCTGCTAAGCGGCTTTGGAAGTATTCACAGCATCTATAACATTTCACACTTTCCCTTGTCTCCCCCCTCCGTCCGACCAATCAGGTGGCTCCAGAACTCGAACTCGGCCCTAAGAACCGCGTAGGCGCGTACCTGAAAACACTCGATAAGCTATCCGACGCGCTGCGGTTCTTCGAAGCGCATAATTATCTGGGCAGTTGCCGATTGGAGCTGCGGCAGGGAAGGGCGCTGATGGACGTTGCTGTGGCGCGACTGGGAGAGGAGTTTGGGGAGGTGCTGTGCGGTGGAAGGTGGGTTAGGGGGGGGAGGGGGGGGGGTCTAGCAGTGCAATGTGTGCTGGGGGAGGTGCAGTGGAGTGCAAGGTGCGCTGGAGGAGGTGCAATGCGGTGCAGGATGGTCCGAGGGAGAGGAGACGGCTCTGCTTCTTTTGTTGAGTCTCTTCGAAACGCCTCCACCCCCGCCCCACCCGCCTCTCCACACCCGCCTCTCCAACCTACCCACAGCATAACACCGGACCGAGGGTCATTACTCAAAGCAGCCACAGGCAAGATGTGTTTTGAGTCTCTCAAAATGCGCCCCACCTCCCTCCCCACCCGTCTCTCCACCCCACCCGCCTCTTCCCACGCGCCTTTCCACCCAAGCCACAGCATAACACCAGACCGAGGGTCATTGCTCCAATCAGCCGCAGGCAAGATGCCGGGTGAGGTTGTGACGCCCGCACCTCCGCTAAGGCCTGAGGCTGTGACGCAGCTTCGGCCCATGGCTGCTTGGATGCTGAGCAATGGATACGAGTCTTCGTGCCTCTCGGTGTACGAGTAAGGTTCGATTGCCTTTCACCGTATGATAGAGATTTTATTGCCCCATCGCTGTAGAACGAGTAAAATCCGATTCCCTTTCACTGTACGAGTTAGATTCGATTGATCTTAATTCTGCCAGTAAGTGTTCGATTTCTTGTCAGTGTTATCAAAATGATTCAATTGGATCACCTCTCTCTCTCCCCATCCTTGCCACCCGGTGCCTTTTGCTTGACCATTCCCCTATTCCTGCTCCCACTCCCCCTCGTCCTCTCCCATTCCCCCCTCCCCCCCTCTCCCCTTCACTACCTCCCCCCTCCCCTCCTCTCCCCCACAGGCAGTGCCGCGCGGCTGCTCTCCTGCAGTGCGTCACGCAGCTAAGCGGCAGCGCAGCAGCGTTGGGACCCGATGAGGTGGCTGCGTTGTCCTGGGAGGAGCGAGATCCCCTCTTGAAGCTATGGGTGCATAATGTGGGTTTTGAGTTTTCAGACGTCTCAAAACCCATAATGTGGGTTCTGAGGCTCGTTCTGTGGTGCCTCCAAGACAATGGGCAGCTTGCGGTAACGCTGGGTTTTGAGGCTTGCTTGACACCTTTTGAGGCGCCTCAAAAGGTGCCTCGAAGGCAATGGGCAGCTTGCGGTAACGCTGGGTTTTGAGGCTCGCTTGGCTAGTGCACTCGCTCTAATCATCGCGCTTTCTCCAATTTCCGATACATAACATACATTCGTTCATACATACATGCATGCACACATACATACATACATACATACATACATACATACATACATACATACATACATACATACATACATACATACATACATACATACATACATACATACATACATACATACATGCATGCATGCATGCATACATACATACATACATACATACATACATACATACATACATACATACATACATACATACATACATACATACATACATACATACATACATACATACATACATACATATACATATTCACATAAGAAAAAAAAAAAATTCCTTCGTCATTTGGCACCAAGAAGGCGGAAACAATGACCTCCTGTTGCCTGCATGTGGTAGATTTAGAAACTACCTTCCCCATCTGGCTCACTGATTTTGAGTCGACTCAAATACTACCCTCCCCATCTGGCTCACCTTGTCGTCCTGACAGGTGCTGGTTCTGGTTGGTCCAGAGGCAGAGCTGTTCCGAGCCATTATTGGGCAGAATCAACCGTCGTCCAACAACGCTCGACCGAGGTGCCTTGCAGGCATGGTGCTGCCCTCTCCGACTTTTGGCGTGGTGCTTCTTCTTTTGCCCGCAGGTGCTGCTTTTGGTTGGTCCAGAGACAGAGCTGTTCCGAGCCATCATCAACCTGAATAAAGAGACAGAACCGTCGTCCAACAACGCTCGAGCGAGGTGCCTTGCAGGCGTGGTGCTGCCCTCGCTGACGCTGCTGCACTCCTCTGCCTGCGTGGTAGCGGGGTTGTGTTGGGAACCGCAGCACCTCTTCCCGCTGCTGCATGTGGTGCAGGCACTGCTGACGCTGCAACCAGCGGTGAGTGGGGGTAGGGGAGGGTGGGCGGGTGGGTGGAGTGGTGGGTGGGTGGGTGGATGGTTGGGTGTGTGGATGGGTGGGTAGCTTCCATACCTCACTATACCTCGCTGTTCTGCACCATAACACACCATACCGCACCATACCTCACGATACCTCACGATACCCCACCATACCTCACCATACTCCATCATACCCCACCATACCTCACCAATTGTCGTATTTCCTGTTTGACATGTAACGCGGCAGAGTCAGGGCAAGAGGTGCGACGCCACTTCCTCCTCATCTGCTCCTCCCAACCTCACCATACCTCACTGCTAAGTTCTGAACGCCACTTCCTCCTCATCTGCTCTTCCCTGTGTTATTCCTTCAGCCATGTGGACTGGGTGAGCTGCAGTCGGGAAGTCACCTTTAGCAAAAGAAAGACAGTAGTGCTAATCTGTATGTTGTATCCTGCTAAGTTCCGAACGCCACTTCCTCCTCATCTGCTCTTCCCTGTGTTATTCCTTCAGCCATGTGGACTGGGTGAGCTGCAGTCGGGAAGTCACCTTTAGCAAAGAAAGACAGTAGTGCTAATCTGTATGTTGTATCCTGCTAAGTTCCGAACGCCACTTCCTCCTCATCTGCTCCTCCCTGTGTCATCCCTTCCTCTTGTTGCCAAAAGTTGCACCCTCTCGCCCACCCACACCCCTTTCCATGGCAGGTAGAAAATTAATTCCCAGGGAGGGCAAGGTAAGAGGTGCGGCGCCTCTTCCTCCTCATCTGCTCCTCCCCCCATTCCCACTACCCCTTTCCTTGACAGGTAGAAAAGCAATTTCCGGGGGAGGCAGGACAGGAGGTGCGGCGTCTCTTTCTCCTCATCTGCTCCTCCCTCTGCGCCGCCGTGCGTCGGACCATCTCTGACTTCCAACTCAGAGTGCATTTCAACCCCACACAACCCCTCACCACCCCTCCCTCCTCAACACAACCCCGCAACCTCCCCTCCTCCCCCTCCCGCTCCTCTTCCTCCTCCACCTCCCTCATCCCCCCCCCTCCTCTGTTTGATCTCCATCCGACGCGGGAAAGTTGGGACGCTCTGAGTGCTCTTAAAGCCAGCCCTGATGTGCTTCCTCTCACCAGCTACCTGGTCAACTTCGTCATCCTCTGCTTGGACCCGTGAGTGCCCGAGTGCCTGAATGCCTGAGAGCCTGAGTTCCTGAGATCCTATAATGTAAGGTAAGCATAGGGAGCGTTGTGAGGTGCTTCCTCTCACCAGCTACCTGGTCAACTTCGTCATCCTCTGCTTGGACCCGTGAGTGCCTCAATGCCTGAGCGCATGAGTGCATGAATGCCTGAGTGCGTGAGCGTATGAGTGCGTGATCATGGACTGTAAGGGGAGCATAGCAAGAGGGTTGTGAGGTGCGTCCTCTCACCAGCTACCTGGTCAATATCGTCATCCTCTGCTTGGACCTGCGAGTGCCTGAGTGCCCAAGCTCCTGAGTTCCTGACTGCCTGCCTGCACTGTAAGGTGAGCATAGCGAGAGGCTTGTGACGTGCTTCCTCTCACGAGCTACCTGGTCAATTTCACCCCCCATCCCCCAACCTCGCCAGGACCCTGTACCTAAGTTCGCTGCTGCTGGTGTATGGAGGAGAAGAGGGAGACGAGGAGGTGGGGGCGGCACGGGTGGGAGCGGCACGGGTGGGGGTGGCATCACGGCTGCTGCTGGCGGCTCTGAAGCCGAATCTGGAGCGCATGGGAGACGCGTTCTACTGGGGCTTACTTGTACCCTCTCATCACAGTAGATGGGTGAGGCATGCGTCGTCAACTGTACGCTCCCCAAAAACCCCAACCCCCACCCACCACCCCCCACCTCGCCAGTTCTCTGTACCTGAGTACTCTTCTGCTGGTGTATGGAGGGCAGGAGGGGAACGAGGAGGTGGGAGTGGCACGAGTGGGGGTGGCATCACGGCTGCTGCTGGCGGCTCTGAAGCCGAATCTGGAGCGCATGGGAGACGCGTTCTATTGTGATGAGGGCATGCAAGCCTTCTTTCTCCTCAACAACTGTGCTTACATGCTGCACAAGGTGGCAGAGTGAGTGGGGGTTGCTTTCTGTGCATGGAGGTGCATTTGCATTTGAATGTGCATTTGCATTTGAATGTGCATTTGCATTTGAATGTGCATTTGCATTTGAATGTGCATTTGCATTTGAATGTGCATTTGCATTTGAATGTGCAATTGCATTTGGATGTGCATTTGCATTTGTATTTGCATTTGCATTTGAATGTGCATTTGCATTTGGATGTGCGTTTGCATTTGAATGTGCATTTGCATTTGAATGTGCATTTGCATTTGAATGTGCATTTGCATTTGAATGTGCATTTGCATTTGAATGTGCATTTGCATTTGAATGTGCATTTGCATTTGAATGTGCAATTGCATTTGGATGTGCATTTGCATTTGTATTTGCATTTGCATTTGAATGTGCATTTGCATTTGGATGTGCGTTTGCATCTGAATGTGCATTTGCATTTGAATGTGCATTTGCATTTGAATGTGCATTTGCATTTGGATGTGCATTTGCATTTGAATGTGCATTTGCATTTGAATGTGCATTTGCATTTGAATGTGCATTTGCATTTGAATGTGCATCTGCATTTGAACGTGCATTTGCATTTGAGTAGGCATTTGCATTTGAATGGGTATCTCGCAGTGTGCTCTCCAGTGTGCTCTCTTATGCGTGTTTCGGTGTCTGTGAGAGATGACTTTTGAGTCGACTCAAGAGTCACCTCTTTCCAGTGTGCTCCCTTCTGCGTGTTTCGGTGTCTGTGGGAGACGGACAGGCATGAGGAGGAGCACCTTTCTTACGCGTGTTTGATGTGACTGTGACTGGCAGGCATGACGAGGAGCACGTGAAGCAGGTCCTTGGGCAGGCTTGGCTGGACGAGGTTGCAAAGGAGCTGTTGAGACATCGAGACACGTACATTCGGTGCATCAGAGACAAGGTGAGAGAGGTGGCTACACTCGGTGCATCAGGGAGAAGGAGCTGTCGAAGTTGAACAGGTGGGCTGCGGAGGCCATATTTCCATCAACTCTTGCTGTTTAGGACAGAGAGAAAAACCCCATGCAAATCAGGGAGAAGGTGAGCGAATCCGACTTTTGATTCGACTCAAACGTCTAGGAGCTGTTGAGACATCGAGACACGTACATTCGGTGCGTCAAAGAGAAGGTGGGTGAGATGGCTACAGTCGGTGCATCAGGGACAAGGTGAGTGAATCTGACTTCTGAGTCGACTCAGCGGTGTTGTGTGCCATTGTAAACAAGGTACTTCTGTTGATGCGCCTCAACAAGGTACTTTTGAGTCAAAAGTGCGAGAAGCATATTTCACACCCTTCTGGATGCCAGCCATTCAGAGGCAGCAGAGCAGAGCACGTGGAGCATAGGGAATGTGAGCGTGACGTGAACGCCTTTACCCCCCACCCGTAATGAGTCGTGTTTTGAGTCGACTCAAAACGTGACGTGAACGCCTTTACCCCCCACCAGGTGGCACCAGTGCTGTGGGGTCATCAAGCGAACGCTCAAGCCTTTGTGAAGCAGCTTCAGGCATTCCGCAGCCTGCTGGATGCCATTCAGAGGCAGCAGAGCAGAGCACGTGGAGCATAGGGAATGTCAATAGTGCATCAAGCATACCCTTTAAACTCCCCCACCCCCCCACCAGGTGGCACCAGTGCTGTGGGGTCATCAAGCGAACGCTCAAGCCTTCACGAAGCAGCTTCAGGCGTTTCACAGCCTGCTGGATGCCGTTCAGAGGCAGCAGAGCATGTGGAGCATTGGGAATGCCGATGCGCGGGCAAGCGTGCGGGACGAGGTGGTTTTGCAGGTGCTTCAGCAATACAGGGACTTTCTGGACCGGCACAGGTGGGTGGGTGGAATGGAAGCAGGTGGGGAGAAAGGTGGGTTGGGTTGGGTGGAAGCAGGTGGGGAGAAAGATGTGACTTTGAGTTGAGTTAGAGGTTTCTCAGGTACTTCAGCAATACAGGAACCTTCTGGACCGACACAGGTGGGTGGAATGGAAGCAGGTGGGTGGAATGGAAGCAGGTGGGTGGGGAGAAAGAGGTGCTTTCTGAGTTGGTGCCCATGCCCAGAAATGGCTTCTCCCAGGTGCTAATGCGATACATGGCGCCGCATGGCTTCGCCTGCCATGGCATGTAACACGTATGGCGCGGCATGTCATGGGATGTAAACCCCGTGTATGGCATGGCATGGCATGCAACACGTATGGCATGGCATGGCATGGCTTGGCATGGCATGTAACCCCATGTGGCAGGTCTATAGTGGAAAGCCGGGCCTGCAAGGTGCAGGTGCCAACATGGCAGGAGATGCATGTTCACCTCACAGAGGTATTCAACTTTGTTAAGAGGCAAGCACAATGAGATACTTTCGAGACGACTGAAAAACAAAGCAAGCATAATGAGATGACATGATGTTGGCATGTGTATAATGTGTTGAAACAGGCCTTGGTATTGGTTTAGCGGCAGCCTTGGTATTGTGTTGTAACTAGTTACTAGACCGAGGGCTGTCACACCAGGTGGATGTCAGAGCAGTAAGACCGAGGGCTGACACAGCAGCAGGTGGGTGTCAGACTCGCATGTATAAGGAAATTATGTTTTGGATATGTAGTAAATAGGGTGTAGCATTGCAGCATTTGTTAGGCTAGAACAAGTCTTGGAGTTTTCCATACCGAAATACACTCCAAATGCTACATAAATGTCCATATAATCAGATAAAAGATCGCATTATGCCCTGTACAAGATACTACTGATATACTACCATTTCAGCTCGTCCAGCGCAGGGCTATTGGGAGTAAGTGAGGCAGCAAAGGTGCGAGCCACAGTTGCCACCCATTGGGTATAGAAGAAGTAGCACCAGGCAGTCCATGACACCAGGCCCTATAATGGGGAGTGCATAAGGAAGCAGAGAGGTACAAAACGGTATGAGGTGGTGGAAAGCAGGAGGCAGTGGCCACCCACTGGGTGTAGAAGAAGAAGCACCAGACAGTCCATGAGACAAGGCCCTGCATTGACAGGAGAGGCAAGGGAAGAGATGCTAAGCGGTGTGAGGTGGTGGAAAGCAGGAGGCAGCGGTCACCCACTGGGAGTAGAAGAGGTACTAGCAACAAGCAGTCCAAGGCACCAGGCCCTGCATTCGGGGTTGTATAGGAGCAGCAAGCATTGCATGGCATGGCATGGCATGAAACGGCATGGCATGGCATGGCATCGCGTGGCATGGCATGGCATCACGTATGGCAGAGTGGGTGGAGTGGGGACAGTGGGCTCACCTCTCCAGCAATGAACATGTCTGGTTCAGTGTAGTGCCAGAGGCCAAAGTACCTGGGGTGGAACAGGGTGGAATCAGGTGAGTTCCTAAGATGCCTCTCTTGCAATGAACATGTCTGGTTCAGTGTAGTGCCAGAGGCCAAAGTACCTGGGGTGGAACAGGGTGGAATCAGGTGAGTTCCTAAGATGCCTCTCTTGCAATGAACATGTCTGGTTCAGTGTAGTGCCAGAGGCCAAAGTACCTGGGGTGGAACAGGGTGGAATCAGGTGAGTTCCTAAGATGCCTCTCTTGCAATGAACATGTCTGGTTCAGTGTAGTGCCAGAGGCCAAAGTACCTGGGGTGGAACAGGGTGGAATCAGGTGAGTTCCTAAGATGCCTCTCTTGCAATGAACATGTCTGGTTCAGTGTAGTGCCAGAGGCCAAAGTACCTGGGGTGGAACAGGGTGGAATCAGGTGAGTTCCTAAGATGCCTCTCTTGCAATGAACATGTCTGGTTCAGTGTAGTGCCAGAGGCCAAAGTACCTGGGGTGGAACAGGGTGGAATCAGGTGAGTTCCTAAGATGCCTCTCTTGCAATGAACATGTCTGGTTCAGTGTAGTGCCAGAGGCCAAAGTACCTGGGGTGGAACAGGGTGGAATCAGGTGAGTTCCTAAGATGCCTCTCTTGCAATGAACATGTCTGGTTCAGTGTAGTGCCAGAGGCCAAAGTACCTGGGGTGGAACAGGGTGGAATCAGGTGAGTTCCTAAGATGCCTCTCTTGCAATGAACATGTCTGGTTCAGTGTAGTGCCAGAGGCCAAAGTACCTGGGGTGGAACAGGGTGGAATCAGGTGAGTTCCTAAGATGCCTCTCTTGCAATGAACATGTCTGGTTCAGTGTAGTGCCAGAGGCCAAAGTACCTGGGGTGGAACAGGGTGGAATCAGGTGAGTTCCTAAGATGCCTCTCTTGCAATGAACATGTCTGGTTCAGTGTAGTGCCAGAGGCCAAAGTACCTGGGGTGGGGTGGGGAACGGTGGGGCACAGTGTGGTGGGGTGGGGTGCGGTGCGGTGGGGTGGAAACAGGGTGGAATCAGGGTGCAAGATGCCTCTCTTGCAACGAACATGTCTGGTTCGATGTAGTGCCAGAGGCACCAGTACCTGGGGTGGGACAGGGTGGGGCAGGGTCAGATGGGGTGGGGCAGGGTGGGGCAGGGTCAGATGGGATGGGGCAGGGTGGGCCAGGGTCAGATGGGGTGGGTGGGGAAAGGTGGGGAAGGATGGGGCGGGGTGGAGCAGGGTAGGGACTGGTAGTCTGTGAAGATGCCACAGACCAAAACAGAAAAAGAAACTATTTCAGGAATGAAGGTGTCTCCAGCATCGAAACGCCCCTACGATTCGTAACTACTTTTCAAAATATCACATCATTTTATGCATTTCTCTGTGGCTGGAGGGTTGAAGGCGGCAGAAGAGGACAAAGAAAGAAACTAGTTGGCACATAGCACAGTCACCTTCGCTAGCAGCACATTTCGTCTCAAAACTATTATAAGCACTCCCTCAGACTCACTTCATTATGAGCACTTCTGAGGCGGGAGCACCGATGGCGACAAAGAGGGCGAGGAGGTACCCAGGGAGGGTGCGGTCAAAGGCAAACCAATTGGCATGGGCGCACAGAGCGAGGATAGCGAAGATGCCTGTAGAGGGGATGGAATGACCCTCGAACAGCTGAGAGCTGAAGTGGAGAAGGCTGATGAGCACTCTGGGGGGTGGGCAGGGGAGGGGAGGGGGGATATGGGAGGGGGACAACGTGATAAGCACAGAGCGAGGATAGCGAAGATGCCTGTAGAGGGGATGGAATGACCCTCGAAGAGCTGAGAGCTGAAGTGGAGGAGGCTGATCAGCACACTGAGAGGGGGGGAGGGGTGCGGAAGGGGGATATGGGACGGAAAGGGAGCAGGGAAGGAGTGAAAAGCAGGGTGAAGGGACAGTGCATGACTGTAGAGGGGATGGCATGAGCTTTGAAGAGCTGGGAGCTGAAGTGGAGGAGGCTGATGAGCACCCTGGGAGGGGGGAGAGGAGGAGAAGGGGGATGAGAGTGCGATGCTTGTAGAGGGGATGGCATGGGCCTCGAAGAGCTGGGAGCTGAAGTGGAGGAGGCTGATGAGCGCCCTGAGAGGGGGGAAGAGGGGGGAAAGGGGATTTGGGAGGGAATGGTTGCAGAAAGGACAGAGACATTGCCTGTAGAGTGGTTGGCATGAGCCTTGAAGAGCTGGGAGCTGAAGTGGAGGAGGCTGATGAGCACACTGAGAGGGGGGGAAGAGGGGGGAAAGGGGATTTGGGAGGGAATGGTTGCAGAAAGGACAGGGACATTGCCTGTAGAGTGGTTGGCATGAGCCTTGAAGAGCTGGGAGCTGAAGTGGAGGAGGCTGATGAGCACACTGAGAGGGGGGGAAGAGGGGGGAAAGGGGATTTGGGAGGGAATGGTTGCAGAAAGGACAGAGGCATTGCGTGTAGAGTGGTTGGCACGGGCCTCGAAGAGCTAGGAGCTGAAGTGGAGGAGGCTGATGAGCGCCCTGATAGGAGGGGAGGGGGGGAAGGTGAGGGTGGAGGGGTGGAGGCGAGAGGGGCAGTCGGGGTATAGAGGAATGGAGGAGGTGAGAAGGGACTGATGAGCACCCTGATAGGAGAAGAGTGCTGGGAGAAACAGGTTTATGGGAGGACAGAGCTAGAAACATATGATAAAGCACGAGAGTGAATAATAATTCGTCTTTGAAATACTGTTTTGAGAAAAAAAACACTAACAATCAAAGAAGCAAACAAAGAAACCTGTGCTCACCCCATGCAGCTCAGCAAGCGCAACCAAGAGCCCCTGGGGGGGGAGGAGGCGAGGGAAACCCATCACATGTACCAACCAATGCTCTTAGGCACCTTATAACGCGTACAGACACCAGATCACAGCAAGCCACTCACCCCATGCAGCTGAGCAAGCGCAACCAGGAGCCCCTGGGGGGGGAGGAGGCGAGGGAAAACCAGGAGGAGGAGGAAGAGGAGGAGGAAGAGGAGGAGGAAGAGGAGGAGGAAGAGGAGGAGGAAGAGGAGGAGGAAGATGCTGGTCCTGGTTGCAGCTCTTCCCGAGGCGAGGCAGAACTATCAGAGGGCGACACTCCCAGAGCAAGAGAATTATCCAGGTGCTGAGACCCCGATTTGAAAGCTAATTGGTCTATCAACAGCTGCAGGGCGCCAACAACGGCGTACATGGCGCCCAGCAGAGGGAAGACCCACACGCTCGTGTACAGGCCGTCCGGGCCCCCTATTATGAGGCCCCCATTCACGTCGTACACCTGATGGTGGTGCGGGAGATAGGCTAGTTGCTTGAGAGCAGGGAGAGGATAGGGCAGGGCGAGAGCAGGGAGAGGGTGAGAAAACGGATAGCATGGAAGCGCAGGGGAGAAGGACGCACCTCAGGCCTCCAACGGAGTGGAGGCCCTCCAGAAGCGGACCCAGGGCGTGTTTTGAGTCCAGGAGCAGGGAACGAAAGCAGGGAGAGGGCAGAGCTGAGGGCATACCTGCAGGCAGAGAGACGCACCTGCAGGCCCACGACGGAGTGAATGCCGTCCAGAGGCGGTCCCAGGGCGAATCCAGCCGCAAACAGACAAGCCAGCACAGTGGGCCAGCTGAAGTGGGCGGCTGTCAGGGAGATTCCCGGAAAAAAGCGGGTCGTGCATGCGTGGATCATGTGTGGGACAGGGGCAAAAGCGGTGAGATCGACTATCAGACTCAAGCTGACCGCCTCACACTGAAAAAGTAGATTGCAGTCAACGCCTGTTTTTGTAAACGCCCCTCTCATTCACCTCAAACCCCTCTCACTCACCTCACGCCGCTCTCAATCACCTCACACCCCTCTCACCCACCTCTCACCCCTCTCACTCAACTCACACCGCTCTCACTCAACTTACACTTCCTCTCACCCATGCCCTGACTCACCTTCTTCCGACACTGGCCGTGCTTCCGACACAGAGTAAACGCCCTCGCCAGAAGCACCTGTGTCTGGCTTCTGCTGCTGGTGCTGTTGCTCCTGCAGCAGCTGCGTGTCCACTGGTCCCTGCTCATCCTGCTTTTCTGCAGCAGGCGGCGTCGGGGATTGCGGAGAGCCGGAGGAAGACGCACGCGTGGTTCCCAATCGAGACGATTTCCGGCAACTGACAGAAACTGAAGAACTCATGGACGGAATCTGCTCGACGGACACGTGCATTCGACTTCCAATCCCGGTTGCATAAGACGTCCTCGCAGAACAGTTATTACGTGGGCTATCAGACCAGAAGCCTAAGATCGCAAGCGAGGCGTGCGCCTTAGTTATCCTCTCTGAACAGGGAAGTCGCCGCGGGCCGACGTTTTTCAAGAAACTGGCCGCCATAGTCGCTGCTTTCTAGCGCCAAGTTCGCAAGAGTTGTGCTGGATGAGAAAGGACGAGCAAAAATTGCATTCAGGGGCAAAAAAACTACGTGCTCTGCAAAGCGTAATTTCTGAAGTAGGCTGCGCTTCGTGACCTGCCGTGTAGAGGAGAGCCGTGATGGGAAAGGCGAGACGACGAGCTATGAGAAGATTGGAGGAGAGAGAGAAGTGGAGCAAATTGCAAGGTGAGGCGAACATTTGTGGGCGAATCTGTGCCACGTTATCTCAGGTTCCCCTCCCCCCAAGTTTCAGGAAAAGGGAGTTGTCGAGGTGGCTTTTGACGAATCGCGAGAAAGTGGGGTTATTGTGCGCTTCGATATCATACAGATGACTAAGGTATGTTCATTAACAGGAAAGTGAACAGCTTCAGAAGCACTCAAATTTAGGTCGTATCCCTGCCTAGTGTCAAGAAGTTGGTGTCAAGAAGTTTGCGCATGTGATTGGTTAAAAAAAAACGATTGACCAATCGCATTGGCCAGAAATTTGTTCTAAATCAATAGGGTGCGCGCACTTCTTGACACTAACTTCTTGACACTAGGCAGGGATACGACCTTATTTCTACATTGTATATACCATATTAGACAAATATATTTTAACGGCACAAGAGAGTCAGAACTGTATGTACATCGTATCCAACCAGCAATATCCAATGCGTAGTGGTGACGCCTTGAGCTAGGACAACCATAAACACCTTAGCTCAGCCTCCAGCAAACCCCACCACAACATCACCAGCATTCTCATCTCCAGCACCCAATCACCCGCATTCTCATCTCCATCTTGTCGCTCCCACCTTCCCTCACTCCTCTCATTTCCATTCCCCATCCCATATCCAGCAAACCCCTCCTTCCCCCCTCTCCATACTCCATCCTCAAAACTGCCTTTCCTCTGCAATCCAACTTCCGTCTCTTATCCCTCCTCATTCCTCCGCTGCGCCACCCTCCAATCCTTCACCTGACCGAACCTGCTTCCCAAGACGAACCAACTGTTGCTGCAAGGCGGCCACTTCCATAGCCACGGCGAGCGCGCGCGCGAATCTGCTCTGCGCCGACCGCAGGGTGGGATGAGCCAATCCCGCCAGGGGTAGCGGCTTCCCGTGGCTTGCACCCGCCGCAGATCTCGTTCCTGGGTGACCGGGATCTGCGGAATCTCCGTTGGCAGGAATTCGTTTTTCAACAGATAGCTCTGAAAGTGCAGAATCCGTCTCGTGGAGGATCCAGCAACCAACGCAGCCTCTGCTGTTGCCGGCGCCACCACTGCTGCCGGCGCTGCTGCTGGTTGTTGAGTCGCCTTTGCAAGTAGGAGCGCACGGCCACTGGATCTGAAAATCTGGACACGTGGCGCTTTCGTCTTCAACGCGAACCCTGACAAGCCTAGGATCGGCTCGTTCCTCTTCATCGTCGCTGACTCCATTCGCGTCACCTGGCGACGCCCTGTGCGCCGTCGCACACCCGACGAGATGCATCAGCCCACCGTCGCCCAAAGGCGACGATGCGTGACTGTAACGAGCGGCAGCAAGGTCCATCCAGCCATGCTGCAGCTGCGTCGCGAGCACGTGGCGCAGCCGCACGACGGCGTCGGTGCTATCCAACAGCTGTAACGTGGAGGACTCCATCGTCTACGAACGGCCTGTTTCGTTACGCGCGAGTGGTAACCCAAGCCAAGCAACACGAATTGGAAATCTCAAGAATGTGCCAGCTTGTGGTGGTGGTGGGTGAGGGAACAGAGACGGGTGGCGGAATAGAGTTGTGCCCCTGGGCGTGAATCTGAGGGGGGGAACGAGCGAGGGGGGGCGGAAGGAGGCGGGAGTGCGCCTGGACCTGGACTGCTGCTTTTTGCGGAATCGGAGATTCACGTGATTGACCCCCGTGTCGATCCAATGCAGCCTCTGATTGGACAGAATCTACGAGCCTGCTTAGGGTAAATTTATTTTGTGAACCTCGAAATAATGAAAACGCAGTGGACGCAAAGGAACACGCATAGAGCACTCTCATATATACAAGGACGAAAGAACCTTTCTTTTGTGGCTCAGGTCAGGTTTGGCTTGCGAACTCATTGGGTGAACCCAGCCAAGACAAGGAACAGGTCAGGTGGGGTAGAAATTTGGGGTTGCCTAGGCAGGGCGCTCTGCATCTCAGGCAGGGCTCCGCCTACCCCCACGGTTTTCCGCTAATAAGGCGGAACATGTCGTCGAACCGAATCCCGCCCGCTCCGCCAATTGCGTTCCAGCCACACATCGTACAGCTTCCCCCACTCCGTCCCCGCTCAATTCTCTTCACTCCGCGAAATTCCCAACAGGCAGCTGGACTTCGTTCGTTCCCCTTCGACTCCCTATTCCGCTCCGCATTCATCCTCCCCCTCCCCCCTTTCCCCCTATTATCGCCTCTCCCTCCTCCCGTCTTACCGGGCTCTTCCCCCTAATATCTGTTTCTCCCTTTACAGAGAGCTCCAGATTTCAGACTAGTATTGATGTTGCTCTGCTGCTTGTTTCTGGAACCTGCCAGTTTTTTGCCGTCTAATCCCTCCACCAGCCTAGGCTAAGTCAATGTGCACTCTACTTCTTCCGTGTTGCCTGTCAGTGCTGATATTCTTGATTTAGCGGAACACCATAATGCTCCCTGTTATCGTTCCTCCGCAAGGAGGCGTTCGGCTTTTGTCCGAAGTGCCTTTGTTGGATTCGCCTCGTCTCAGCCTTCTAGGCTTGCGGAATAGGCGCGGAGCAACTCAATGTGGGGCAAAGATTTCTTCTTCAGCTACTCGGGCCTCTATTCCACAAAAGGTTAAAACTTTAATGCTTTTCCCATTCCATGCAGCTTATTCCGGACTTTGGTTAACGGTTTTTCCATGCCATAGGCGTCAGTATGACGCAAATGCCTACTGCACTTGTTTTCTCCCTGGGAATTTGGAATTCCTGAATCTGTTCTCGCCTTGATTCCGTCCCTCACTGCCTTTCCCAGGAGCATCACTACGGGCATTTGACTAGCGGTCACGACCACAAACGAGCAGTACGCGGTCCCGCCGTTGTAAAACACGAGAATGACGTCGACAACGTCACAATCGATAACGGGGTTCGCGGTGATAGTAACCTCCGCACGAACAGCGCTTCATCACATGGCGATAAAATAACGGTCTCAGTGCGAATCCACTCCGTGTCCGCCGGAGAAACCGTTTCTTCTATCGCATCCAGCTACTCCATTCCTGTGGACGCTCTTCTCGCGGCTAACGGCAAATCGTCACCAAGCATTCGCGTCGGTGAGGTGCTTTATCTCCCGTCCTCTTCGGCACCTTCCGTCGCATCATCGCAGTCGAAGGCGCACTCGGGGCCGCAGTCAGGACACTCTCAATTTGTGTCTCTGCACATTCGTGAGAACCACGGAACGAGCTCCAGGCAGTCGATTTTCCCCACCGGCTCGCAAGAATGCGTCCGTTTGTGCACGGACAGCAGCGCTACCATCGCTGACGCAACTTCCATCTCCACCGGGACCGCCACCACCAGTACCAGCAGCAGCAGCAGCAGCAGCGGCAGCGGTGAGGTGCTTTATCTCCCGTCCTCTTCGGCTGGCGCCGCTGCTGCAGCATCTGCGCCTGTCGCTACCGCGGGGCGCGTGTGCCTCACTAGCTGCCGGACCGCTCCCACTGGCAGGGAAGCGGGAATGCGGATGAGGGTGAGGGGATGGCTAAAGAATTCCTCTGGTGCTGTCAGTGCGAGTCCTGATACTCGCGTCATTGTGTCACCCGCTGCTCCTTGTGAGGGAACTTCGCTTCCTCTGCTGGTAACATCCGCCCCTGCTGCTCCTGCTGCTGCTCCTGCTGTTCTTGCTGCTGCTTCAGCTGCTGCTGTTGCTGATGCTTCTGCTGGAGGTTCTACTCATGTCGTCGACGCTCCTGATGCTCACTCCCAGGCTGCATCTGTTGCTGCCACTGCCGCAGCCACGTCTGCCGCTGCCGAGTACGAGCTGAGCGGGTTTGCTAACTTCTTCGCTGCCAGAAAGCACCTCAGTCGGACCATGTACCTTGACGGGTGGCAAAAGGGCCCTGGGGGTACCCACACAGGGAGTGACGGTCCAAGACAGGGTGTGGTGGCGTCGGTGACTCAGGCGTTAGTTCCTGTAAGAGGGGGTGAGGTGCAGCAATCGCTGCCGTTGATTGGCCTCGGAGTCGCTATCACTGTCGCTGCGGGAGCTCTTGCTGTGCGCTCGGGATTGCATGATCTGGTCCGTGCCGCCTTGCTGCTGCGGCTGCAGGGTTTCTCGCAGAAGCAACACGACCAGAGACAGCAGCAGCAGGAGCAGGAGAAGGAGCAGCAGGGGGAGGGAAGTGAGCAGAACGTGGGAAGAATGAACGAGCAGGAGTCGCTCCAGCGTGCGAAGGACGAGAAACGGCTAGAGTTTTCGAAAAGGGCTCTCAAGAACTACCTAGACCTGCAGAAACGAGAGGTCAAGCGGTCTGGCATGGAAGGAGCTGCTCTGCGGCTCAAGATGAAAATGGCCAAGGCGAACGGGAAGGACCCTCTACCATTCGCCCCGTTACAAGATAAGATGGGCCCGCGACGAAACGTGATGGCCGAAATCCGCAGTGTTGTGGCCGAGGCAGTGGCAGAGGTGGTAGAAGGAGAGGAATGCATGGTCGTACTTGAGAGGAGCAAGGCATTGGTGAAGGACGCAGAGAGCACTGGGGAGCCGATGGTAGTGGAGAAGGGGATTATTATGGGAAACGATACTGGTCGAGGGGCAGAGGAGGCGGGAAGAATGATTGAGATGATGGAGAAGGGATGGTTTGGTGGAGCTGTTGAAGCAGAGTCAGGAAGAATGACGGGTCCTGAAGAGGATGAGTATGGGCTGGGAGAGGTGGGGCCGGAGGTATTTCTGGAGTGGAGCGTGGAGAAGGCTAGGGAGGCTAACGCTCATGCTGCCATGAGACTGCCAATAAATACAAATGAAAGAGGCTAAGAATGCTGGATGCAGCTGAACGGGAGGCACGGGACTCCTGGATGAGAAACTACTGACAGCACATGGCCTGTATTTATACTGACAGTGCAACTGACTTGCATTGACAGTTACATTCTGATTTTGAAGATGTAGTGGGTGCTGGTGAATATACTGCGGGATATAACTCGCTAGTGCTTGTGTTTGATCATTTACAAATTGCAATCTATATGTTACTGGTATGTGGAGTTGGATTATTTGGTTATAATCTCGAAATTGTGTCACAAAACACGGACAGTTAGCAATGTTCGATTTACCTAAAGACATTCAAACGAACAATCTAAAGGGGGGTGTAAGTCGGCGTCGAGCCCCAGTTTGAAAACCAGGGTCTGACAGAATGAGCAAGATGCGGCTCGAGCGAAGCCATACGTAGCATTTTCTGTTTGGTGTTGACAGCCCATGCCGTCCACATCATGCTTTGCCAAGGAAAGCAGCCTCAATGCGCCTTGTCCACTTTTCGGCGCTGAGCCAAAATGCCCCACATAAGCATCCTCAACCAGCAGCCGATTCGGATCATGACATGTAACACTTTTCGCATTCATGCTGATGTTTCGCACATGGCTACATTTTCCCGCGAACGGTCGCACAGCGCGCGCAGCCCAACACAGTTTCCGACGGCGCGCGCTGCAGCGCAACACTGTTCCCGCTTTCCTTCACTTTTACTGGCCGAAGTTTTCCCGCTTCCCGCCTGTCAGCGGAGCCTGCCCATTCACTTCGCTACGGCTTCCCCTCCACTTGCAGTGGTTTCGTATGGCGAGCGACTCCGCTCGTTGCTGCTTTCGCTTCCCTTTCGCTGTCTCTCATGCAATCAATCAGAGAACCTTTCTGAAATTCTCTCAATTCCTTCCAACCCACTTCTAACCCTCCAACCTCCCTTCACTTCCATCCCCTTCCCTCACTACCTTACCAATTTGCCATCCACTCACACCTGGTCCTCCGTGAGCCCTTCACGAGTTTCTCGACATTCCCTAGGCAGAGTAATCTTCTGGTGTTTCTCCGAGTCTATGGCTTCCTCCGTTGTGACTACAGCCTTATTCATGGCTTCCCCCGTTGTGACCACAGCGTTATTCGCACTTCCGTTGATGGTAGATAATAACTTAAAATTAGCCGGACTAGAGACTGATTAGAGTTCAGACTTCCGATCGCTAAGCTCTCTAAACAGACTGTCAGCCTGATGATTTAACCCTCAAAAGTTACGACGGTCGGTCGGTCGTTACCATCAGAGTTACAACATCGGACCTTACGCAGATTATATTCGTTAGATTGAGAATATCGGTGGATCCCTTCCAAGCATCAGCTCCTAATGTTCGTCGAATCCATGACATTTCAGTTCATCAAATCACGCTCTTACTGAGCGTCACGCTCTTCTTCGAGTCGAACGCGCATCAGCTCTTTCGTCAGATATTCAACTTGATGCTTCCTTCCTACGCTCGTGTCGCCGCTCGTGCTTCTTACGAAGCGTTACAGCAGTTGATTTGGAGTCTAAATCGATAATTCTTCCTACGACGACGCCGTCGGTCATGCGTTTTCCTCGCACATCTCGCTCGCGACGTTACGACGGATGATGAGGAGTTTCTCTTCGGCTAGTGTTAGAGAACATCGGATCAGGATTTCACAGCATCCATGGCCGACGCAGCAAGCATCAGTTGATCTCGCAACATCCATGGCCGCCTGCAACAACTACCGACGCTTGCGAAGCTAACAAGGACGACGTACGGCGCATACCACGCGAAGGCTCTTCGGACGTCCGACAATGAGGAATAAGCTACTTACGGCGAAGCAGCTTCATCATTTTGACGCTAAAGCTCGCGAAGGCGTTGACGCACGCCGCGAAGGAGGACCTCGCGACGTTACCACGGAACAATTCTTCTTCGTGAAATCGAGTATGGAAGAGTCCGCGAACTTCGCGGATGGAGGGCGGAGGAGCTCGCGACGCTGGTTTTACGAAAAAGCTTCTTCGTTATTCGACTACCGCCATCGGACTGATCCGTGTAGTGCTCTTCGACGCTTGATGGAGGAGCTCGCGACGCGGAACGACGCTAACGGAGGAGATTGCGACGCTGAACGGAGGAGATTGCGACGCTGAACGGAGGAGATTGCGACGCTGAACGGATGATGTGGTTGACCTGCGCGGATGATGACGTTGAGCTGCGCGGATGAACGGTTGAGCTGCGCGGATGATGCGGTTGACCTGCGCGGATGAACGGTTGAGCTGCGCGGATGATGCGGTTGACCTGCGCGGATGATGCGGTTGACCTGCGCGGATGATAGGGTTGAGCTGCGTGGATGAACGGCTGACCTGCGCGGATGATGCGGTTGACCTGCGGATGAGCGGTTGACCTGCACGGATTGATCAGACGGATGATGCGGATCGAACTGTCTCCGGCAATCTTCCTGTCGACGGACGGATGCAAGTTGAACGGACGGATGCCATCCTCTTGTCATCACCGCCTGTCGCTGTAACGCATGACCTACTCTTCCTAATCTACGGCTAACTTCCTTCAGTCAAACATCGAGAGACTTCCTCGATGAGAAATGACGTGAAGGAAATTGGGAAGGTTGAGTTGGAGAAGAACATTGCTTTGGTTTTCCCAACCCTCAACCTGGAGGCTTGGGACTTTCCAACCCAACAAATGTGAAGGTTGGGAAGTTTTCCAACCCAACCAAATGAATGTGCAAGGTTGGATTTCCAACCAATGGGAAGTTGACAGTTGTTGTTACAATCCACACAAAGTTTAAAACAACCATACAATTGTGCTAAGTTGGGTTTTCCCCAACCAAACTAAAGTGCCACATAGGCTCCAAGCCTATTAGCTCCCCAACCATGGAAGCCATGGTTGGGAAGAGCCCCAAGGGGTATGATGGAAGGGGTTGGAGCTTTCAAGCTCATTCCTACTTCCCAACTCCAACTTACCAACTTGGAAATGGGATCTCTCTAAGTTACTTTGGCTCTCCTAACAAGCCCTCCTACACAACTAGACTTGTGTTATTTTCAAGGATAAGCTCTACAAGAAGCTACTTATCTACCCAAGTTTCTTCAAGAGCTACAACTTCTCCTCTCAAGATCCTTTAAGCTTAGGCTAAGGCTTGATTATCCCTTGATGGGATTAATTAGATAATTTCAAGCATTGTAACTTTGATTTTATATAAATTGTCAAGGAGGATTTACATTGAACCCGCGGTTGCCTGTTGTTATAAGGGCCGTGGTTGTTACATTGGTATCTAGAGCTAGGGTTATCCTAAGCCTAGTGGGGATTTTGCCCCTATAGATTTTTTTTTTTTATAGATCTTAGAGTTGTGATTTCTCTTTAAAGAGAATACTCAAGATCTGGAAGCTTGAAGAGTTCAAGATCTACAATATCTACAACTGCAATTTCAAGTTAAGAAGAGAGATTTTTATCTCTCTTGCCCACCTTTTGGTGGAAGACTCTCTACTGTTGAGTAGTGGAGTATAAAATTGGATCTGGAGGATTTGTTTAGGGTTATACAAGTTCTCTTCATTGAGATTTGGATAGACCCTGCCCTTTCACTTGGTGATTAGGAATGCTTGACAACAAATCTGTTACCTTTGGTGACATTGGATTATTCTGTAGAAGAAATTTCTTATATAAGAATTTCTTGCTTTACCATTGAGTTGGTAAAAGGTTTTTAACAGAATCAACCCAGATCTTACAAGCTCCCTTAATCCTTATGGCATCTGGCCAAGAGAAGGATATGGCAAGGGAGGAAGGGCCCACTGCACCTAATGAGGTGGTGAACAATGCTGCTGACATTGACCTCAATCAAGATGAGGCAATGGATGACATTGAGCTGGATGATATTGAGGACTTGGACCTGGACCTTGGAGATGAGCATCACCATGGTGAAGCTGAGAACCATGATGAAGCAGAGAACCATGGTGAAGCAGAGAACCATGGTGAAGCTGAGAACCATGGTGAAGCTGACAACCTTGGGGAAGAGGATAACACCGGTGGAAAGGAGGCCTCTGGTGATGAAAATGACTTCACTGAGGGTGAAGGCATGACTTATCCTATTTCCGAGGAGATTGTCCAACTCCAGGCTAAGGTGGCAACTCAGAATATCACCATCCTGCAGCAGCAGACGTCCATTGATGGACTCAAAAAGCACACTCGGAACCTCGAGGCTAGACTGAGCATAACCATGAAGGAGGTTACTGAGTTCCGTCGCAGCCTGGGCACTAAGAACCGTGAAATTGAGTGGCTTCAGAAGACTTGCAATAATCTGCAAGTATCATTCAACAAGCTCAATGAGCAGGTGACCAAACTTAGGAGGGAGGGTATCTACGAACCTCCTGCTGGGCGTAGGCCCGCTCCTGCTGCTCAGTCGGCACCCGCTCCGCCCGCACCCCCAGCGGTAGGCGCTGCGACGGCTATGCATCAGCCACCTCCAACTGAGACCTCGCCCTTTGGGTCTCTCTCGGCGCCTCTGCCTGAGTTTAACCATCGCAAGACGGAGGTGCAGCCTTGGCTTGATCTGGTGAATGAAACCATGATCCTTGCGAATGTGCGTCCTGAGGCTCGCGTTACTGCAGCCACTCGTGCATTGGACGAGGTGGCCCGCAGGGCAGTGTATGGCGCTAAGAAGCAGGCGCATGGACCATTTGGGTGGCCGGAGTTTTGCACCGCGCTGAAAGAGGCATTCATGGTCAAGAAGTCCGACCCGGAACTGCGCGGACGCCTTGAGCATATCAAGTGTCATGACCGTCCGGTGCAGGAATATGCGGTCGAGTTGGAGGCCGCAGCACGCTCGCTCCAGAAGCCCTTGTCTGAGGAGGAGATGATGCACCTCTTTATGAAAGGCCTCCCTGTCAACCTGCAAGAGGCACACATGATTGGCGGCATGACCAATTGGACGACTTACAAGGAGCTGAAGGAGCAGGTGATCAAAACTGACACCGTCATTCGCACATATATCCATGGTCCTGCAAAGGCGGACCAGCAGCCCCGTGCTGAGGGCTCCGGTGGTCGTGGGAACCGGCCCCAGAACGCCAATGTCGGAGGCGGTTCGAATAAGCGACCTTTCCAGCAGCGTGAGCACCAGCCTGGACCACAGGCCAAGAGGGCTAACGGGGGGGGAGGTCATGGCCCTAACAAGCCGGACTTCTCCAAGATGCGGTGTCACGGCTGTGGATTTATTGGACACATCCAAAAGCAGTGCCGTAACAAGAACCCAATCAAGTACTCTTGGAAGCCGAAGCCAGGCGGCGCGGGACCTTCTGGAAAGAAGGATTTTCAGAAGCCCAACTAGGGTGTGGGTACCTAGTTGGAGGAGTAGATCGAGTGGATGAGGCATATGTGCTATGTGATGATGATCTATTAAAGCTAGAGAAGCTTGCTGATTGCAAAATCTCTTGTTTGTTTGCCTCTTCTTTTAATAAAAACTCTGTTTTTTACCCTCGATTGTACCCACTTGAGAACATCACCATGGCAGCAATGCAAGATAAGTTTTCAATCATTTTCTGTGGCTTGGACATTCTGCCTTCGGTCATTGAGATTGTGAGTCGTTGCACTCAAGAGCACCCCCTGACTTCGGTCGCGTTGGTGACTCGCACAGTGAAAGGCGAATTGTTCCATGCGCTTCGTGGATGGCCGGTCCTAGCGGCGTGGGACAAGGGACACCATGTGTGGTGGATCAACTCTCAGTCACATGGACGCGCTCGTCACAACGTCAAGGTGTACTTCAAACCCTCGACGAGTATTGTGGCATGTCCTATTCGCCCAAAGCATCAACAAAATTTGTTGCTTGCGGGTAGCGTGAACGGGGAAAACGCAAAAATCCTTGTTGACACGGGTGCAACTGTTTCCCTCTTTGACGAAAAGTGGGCCACAGCACGCACGATCCTCGTTGAAGGACCGTCTTGCCCCATTCGCCTTGGTGATGATAGCATTATCCCAAGCAAAGGGCAGACACGGATCAACATGGATATTGAGGGTTATCACGAAGAAATTTGCGCGTATGTTTTACCCCTTCTCGCAGGCGTCGACCTTGTCCTTGGAATCGATTGGCTTCGAGCGAATGAAGTCAAGCTCGATTTCCAGGACAATACTGTCTCATTCTCAAAGAATGGTGACACAGTCCAATGGCAAGTGCCTAACGACTTGATCACAAACGAACAACAAACGTCGGAGCGTCCCGATGTGAGTTTTGCGCTCGCAAACGAGTTCGGACAGCATGTTCGACAAGCCGATACCTTCTTTGTGGTACAGCTTGAGAATGCTGAACACGAGATGCATGGGGTCGAGGATTTCCCGCCTCAGATGAGAGCACTGGCGGACGAATTTGCAGAGGTTTTTGAGCCCATCCCAGATGGCCTTCCTCCAGACCGTGCTGTCGGTCACACCATCCCAGTGGAGCCTGGAAAGCTCCCACCGTTTAGACCTCTGTATCGCCTCAGTCCAGCTGAGTACGCGGAGGCTAAACAACAAATTGAGGAGTACCTCAGGAAGGGATGGATTGAACCAAGCGCATCACCTTACGGAGCGCCGATCTTGTTCGTGAACAAAAAGGGCGGAGGGTTACGCATGTGCGTAGACTATCGTGCTCTGAACAAGATAACGGTGAAGAACAGGTATCCCCTACCGAGAATAGAGGACCTGTTCGACAAAATCCAGGGTGCCCAGTGGTTCAGCGCATTGGACCTCGCACAAGGGTATCACTAATTGCGCATCACTGAAGAAGATGTACCCAAGACGGCTTTCCGATCGCCGTTTGGTCATTTTCAGTGGCGAGTGCTGAGCTTTGGCTTGACCAATGCTCCTGCATCTTTTCAAAGAGCTATGAATGATGTCTTTCGCGAGGCGACTGGACAGTTCGTTCTAGTCTATCTGGATGACATCTTGGTTTATTCCAAGACGGAAGAAGAGCACACGAGACACCTTAAATGGGTGTTAGGGAAACTCCGAGAGCATAAGTTCTATGCTCGCCTATGGAAATGTCATTTCTACAAACGCGAGTTGGAATATCTTGGCCATCTCGTGGGAAATGATGGTCTCAAAGTAGACCCAAAGAAAGTTGTCGCAGTCCAAAACTGGCCGGTGCCACAAGATGTGGGTCAAATCAGGTCGTTTTTAGGACTGGCGAACTATTTTCGTCGATTTTTGCAGAATTATTCTACCGTTGTTGCTCCATTGACGGCCCTCACTCGCAAGAGTAGTGCTTGGCAATGGACACAACAATGCCAAAACGCATTCGACGAGGTCAAGCGAATGTTGACCAATGCTCCGGTACTGGTTTTACCAGATCCGACAAAGCCCTATGAGGTTGTTACTGACGCCTCATTGATTGGGATTGGGGCGGTCCTCTTGCAAGAAGGGAGACCAGTGGCATTTGAGAGTCAAAAGCTCTCCCCGACAGAGCAGCGCTATACGACGTCTGAACAAGAACTGTTGGCGGTCGTTCATGCGCTACGCACATGGCGATGTTATCTGGAGGGTGTGGACTTTGTGGTTACGACTGATCACTGTCCAAACACCTATTTCGCCACCCAAGCCACGCTTACTCGACGTCAAGCCCGATGGGCGGAACTCCTTAGTGGGTTCACCTTCGATATTCGATATCGAGCAGGCTCGACGAACCTGGCAGCAGACAACCGATAGGGGCACCAACATGGCTAGACGACACAGAAGATGCGGCAGTATTTTCTGCTTGCTTCAGTGTCCTAGCAACGGCTCGAGTGAGTGAGATTACCTTCAGTGGTTTTCTGAAACGCATCCGCACAGGGTATCAGATTGACCCCTGGTTTCAGAACCCACGAAACACGAAGGAACTCGAGTGGGAGCACGAGCTGTGGTGGCGTAAGAATGAGATTGTTGTACCTCACGTGGGTAACCTGCGGAATGATATTCTGGAAGAAATGCATGCCGCTAAGTACGGAGGACACCTAGGGGTCAAGAAGACGAGGTGGGCCTTGAGTGATGTGTACTGGTGGCCGGGATTGGGCACTGAGGTCCAACAATTCGTGGCGCGATGCGATGCATGCGCACGAAATAAAACGGACACAAAGAAGCCTGGTGGTTTGCTTCAACCACTCGAGATCCCGAATGAACCTTGGGAGAGCGTATCCTTGGATTTTATCACGGATCTTCCCAAGTCTCACGATGGCCATACAGCGATCCTAGTGTTTGTGGATCGTCTGACAAAAATGGTGCATTTCGTGGCTACGACAACTGACGTATCTGCGGAAGATGCGGCCAAATTGTTTGTGGCGCACGTTTTCCGCTTACACGGGTTACCACGTGTCTTGGTGTCCGACCGGGATCCGTGCTTCACAAGCCGGTTCTGGCAAGAAGTCACACGGACACTAGGGACGAAGCTCAAGATGTCATCGACGTTCCACCCACAAACAGATGGGCAGACGGAACGAACAAACCGGACACTTGAACAGACGCTTCGTTCATTCATTGGCCCAACTCAGGATGATTGGGACGAGTTGTTGCCTGTCGTTGAATTCGCAGTGAACAATTCAGTTCATGAAGGTACACATGAGAAACCTTTCATTCTGAACTATGGTCGGCATCCCACAACACCTGCTACGCATGGGATCGGTGGATTGAAAATTCCTGCCGCTAAAGACTTTGTTGGCAAGCAGCAAGAAGCGCTTAAGTCTGCTCGCCATTGGCTGCAACTCTCTCAGCAGCGACAAAAGTCTTACGCCGACATGAAACGCCGGGAAGTCTCATTTGAGGTTGGAGACAAAGTTTTGTTGAGCACGAAGAACATTCGTCTCAAAATCCCTGGAGCACGAAAGCTGTTCCCTCGATGGATTGGGCCATTCGAGGTGATCAAGCGTGTTGGTGTGGTAGCCTACAAGCTTAAGCTACCTGATACACTACAGATTCACGACGTCTTCCACGTGTCTCTGTTGAACAAGTACGTTGCAGGGGGTAAGTACTTGCCGCCACCAACGATCGTCCTGGGGGAGGAACTATTTTATGAAGTCGAACGAGTGCTAATGCATCGTGATCGACAGCGCGGCCGCAAGACAGTACAAGAGTTCCTCATCAAGTGGAAAGGCTACGGGCCTGAACACAACACATGGGAGCCAGAAGAGCATCTGACTGAAACTGCAGTTCAGTCATACATGGCAGATCTGGCCCGGCGAGCTGCCGCACAACCAGTGGATGGTGTTGACCCTGGTCGTAATGTGACACGGCGTGCTCGAAGCGCTCGTCCTCAGAAGCACCCTAAGGCAACGGGAACGTTGCCACCTAGGGGGGGAGGAGTGTAACGCATGACCTACTCTGCCTAATCTACGGCTAACTTCCTAAAGTCAAACATCGAGAGACTTCCTCGATGAGAAATGACGTGAAGGAAATTGGGAAGGTTGAGTTGGAGAAGAACATTGCTTTGGTTTTCCCAACCCTCAACCTGGAGGCTTGGGACTTTCCAACCCAACAAATGTGAAGGTTGGGAAGTTTTCCAACCCAACCAAATGAATGTGCAAGGTTGGATTTCCAACCAATGGGAAGTTGACAGTTGTTGTTACAATCCACACAAAGTTTAAAACAACCATACAATTGTGCTAAGTTGGGTTTTCCCCAACCAAACTAAAGTGCCACATAGGCTCCAAGCCTATTAGCTCCCCAACCATGGAAGCCATGGTTGGGAAGAGCCCCAAGGGGTATGATGGAAGGGGTTGGAGCTTTCAAGCTCATTCCTACTTCCCAACTCCAACTTACCAACTTGGAAATGGGATCTCTCTAAGTTACTTTGGCTCTCCTAACAAGCCCTCCTACACAACTAGACTTGTGTTATTTTCAAGGATAAGCTCTACAAGAAGCTACTTATCTACCCAAGTTTCTTCAAGAGCTACAACTTCTCCTCTCAAGATCCTTTAAGCTTAGGCTAAGGCTTGATTATCCCTTGGTGGGATTAATTAGATAATTTCAAGCATTGTAACTTTGATTTTATATAAATTGTCAAGGAGGATTTACATTGAACCCGCGGTTGCCTGTTGTTATAAGGGCCGTGGTTGTTACAGTCGCGGCGTTGGGCGAATGGCTGAGCAAGCAGGGTCAACGGGAGTCACTAGTATGCTGGGTAAGATCTCACTCTTCATTAGTCCCTTATTCCGTCTATTACTCAAACCCTAATTCCTCCTTTACTCTGTCGAGCCTTAGTTCTGCTTCCGTTGTTCCTGTTTTCCTTTACTTCGTCTGCTTGATGGTGTTTTAAACAATTCTGTTTTTCGTGCTCTATTTGCCTTGCCCTGTGTGCCTTGTCCGAGCAGAATGTGGGGGAGAGGAGAGGAGAGGAGTCAATAGAGGTGGCAGCAGAGGAGAAATGGAGCGAGCACGGGCTGCTGGACTGCTGCTGGCTGATCCTGGCGCTGCTGAGGTGGACGGGTGCGGTGGGATGACGCACGGCCGGCAGCCACTGGCGTGTGGCTGCCTCTATCCGCTCTGCTGATCACCCGCTCGTGGAGCAGCAAGGCATCAATGGCATCTCGTGGCCAGCAAAGCAACTGGGAAGTGTCTTTCCCCTCGCCTTCCCTTCTCGTCACCTTCCATTCGTTTCGTTTCGCCATTCCGTGTTTTCCGCACCTCGTTCTTCACTCCATCGTCCTGCACTTCGCGTTCATGCACGTCCCTCTGATACGTTCGGCTGCAGCCTAGTAGGTGTCCTCCTCGGGTTTTGGGTAGCATAGATTTTGGGTTGGGTAGCATAGAGTTTGGGTTTTGGGTAGCATAGCTCCTCCCTCTGCTAGCTGCAGCCGGCGTATCATGGACGTGCATCCATCCCACCACCCACCTCATTTCCACGTGTTGTTCTCCGCTCTCAATTTCGCACTTCGTTTCCGCTTTCAATTCCGCATTTCGTTTCCTTGTGTTTGCTTTGCTTTCTTTTTCATTTCGCAGTTCTGTTTACTGACTTGGTGCATCTGTCTATGTGTTCCCTCGCCCTGTTTTACAGCAACCATGGGTTCTTCACTGGGGAGGAGCAGAGGACAGCAGCAGCGACTCGGGAGGACGGCAGCAATGAGAGGGAGAAGCGAGGGGTGGGATGACGCACAGCCGGCAGCCACACGGCTGCCTCCCACCCGCCCTGCTGACCACCCGCTCTGCTCGAGGCGGGCTCTTCGGGCAAGGCGGTGGCACCTCAGCAGAGGTGTAGTGCGGTGTGGAATGGTATGGTGCGGCATGAGGAGGAGGCGGACACTTCGGGCAACGAGCCGGCGCGGAGGCAAGGAGGCGGCACTTCAGCAGAGGTGTAGTGCGGTGTGGAATGGTGTGGTGTGGCATGAGGAGGAGGCGGACACTTCGGGCAACGAGCCAGCGCGGAGGCAAGGAGACGGCACTTCAGCAGAGGTGTGTAGTGTGCTGTGGCACTTGAGGTGAGGAGGCAAGGAGAGGCAGCACTTCACTCAAGATGGCTTCTTCACTCAACATGGCTTCTTCACTCAAGAACAGAGGTGCCTGCAGAGGAGCAGGTGTAGTGCTGTGTGGTATGGTGTGGTCTGGTTTTGTGTGGTGTAGTGGAGCGAGGAGGACGGGCGATTGGTGAGGGCAGTGTTGGCAGGGCAGTGTTGGCAGGGCAGTGTTGGCAGATGGCTTCTTCACTCAGGTCAGGAGGCAAGGAGAGGCAGCACTTCACTCAAGATGGAAGATGCAGAGGAGCAGGTGTAGTGCTGTGTCGTATGGTGTGGTCTGGTGTGGTCTGGTTTTGTGTTGTGTGGTGGAGCGAGGAGGACGGGCGAGCGTGGTGGGATGACGCACGGCCGGCAGCCACTGGCGTGTGGCTGCCTCCTACTCGCCCTGCTGGCCACCCGCTCAAGGCAAGGAGGACACTTGGGGCAAGGAGGTAAGCATGGAGGACACTTGGGGCTCAAGGCAGGGAGGACACGTGGGGAAAGGAGGAGGAGGCAACCAGGCGGCACTTCAGGTGAGGGGACGAAGAGGAAAGTTGGCGGCACTTGAGACGAGGAGGCAGCACTTCAGGCGAGGACGCGGCACGTCCGGCACGGGGTGAGGCGGAGGAACGTGAGGGAGTGGTTGATGGGTTGGACGAGTGGATGCATGGAGGGGGATGCAGTGGAAAGTGGAACGGAGAGTAGCGGTGGGACGTGTTGAGGCGGAGAGGGTGGTGCCACTGTCTCTCGTAAGTCCTCCTCACGGCTGGCCCCGCTCATCGCTGCTCCTCGTCTTCTTTCTTCAGCACCGCCCTCCCTGCACCTCCTCTTCCAGCTTTGACGCCCAACCTGACCTGCCCCGCTCATCGCTGCTTTGGTGTGGACTGGTGTGGAGTGGTGTGGTGTGGTGTGGTGTGGTGTGGCAGCGAGGAGGGGGGAGCGGCAGCTTGGAGGGCAGTCAACACCGTCACTGACATGTAAGTCTCTTCTTTGGTAGGGCGGAGAGGGGAGTAGCAGCATGAAGGGGAGTCAACACCGTCACCGACATGTAAGTCTCTGCTTTGGCAGGTCGGCGGGGGAGCAGCAGCTTGGAGGGTCAACACCGTCACCGACATGTAAGTCTCTGCGTTTCCAGTTTCTTGCATCTTTGTTCTTTGTTTCTTTTTCCAGTTTTTCACGTGCTAATGTCGTCTTGTGTTTCTGGTTTTGTTTAGCCAGGGAGGAGTGGCAGGAGCGGAGCGGAGCAGCAGAGGAGGAACAGGAGCAGACGCTTTTGCTCTTCTCTTGTAAGCCTCTTTTCTCGCCTTGATTTTGTTGCATTGTTTTTGTATGCATTGAATCTTTTCAGCCATGTGTGATGTCTTGGCAGTAGGTCCACTACTGCATTCCTAGACTGAGTTTTTGTGACTCTGTGTCTTCCCGTTTCACAGAGGAGATACAGCTGAGGCGAGGAGGGGCAGAGGAGAGGAGGGGAAGAGGGGGGGAGGAACAGGAGCAGCCGGCTCTGCTCTTCTCTTGTAAGCCTCATTTCTCGCCTTGATTTTTGTTGCATTGTATTTGTATGCATTGAATCTTTTCAGCCATGTGTGATATCTTGGCAGTAGGTCCGCTAGTGCATTTCTTGGCTGAGTTTTTGTGACTCTGTGTCTTCCCGTTTCACAGAGGAGATGCAGCGGAGGCGAGGAGGGGCAGAGGAGAGGAGGGGAAGAGGGGGGGAGGAACAGGAGCAGCCGGCTCTGCTCTTCTCTTGTAAGCCTCATTTCTCGCCTTGATTTTTGTTGCATTGTTTTTGTATGCATTGAATCTTTTCAGCCATGTGTGATATCTTGGCATTAGGTCCGCTAGTGCATTTCTAGGCTGAGTTTTTGTGACTCTGTGTCTTCCCGTTTCACAGAGGAGATGCAGCGGAGGCGAGGAGGGGGAGAGGAGAGGAGGGGAAGAGGGGAGGAGGAACAGGAGCAGCCGCTTCTGGTCTTCTCTTGTAAGCCTCATTTCTTGCCTTGATTTTTGTTGCATTGTTTTTGTATGCATTGAATCTTTTCAGCCATGTGTGAAATCTTGGCAGTAGGTCCGCTAGTGCATTTCTAGGCTGAGTTTTTGTGACTCTGTGTCTTCCCGTTTCACAGAGGAAATGCAGCGGAGGCGAGGAGGGGCAGAGGAGAGGAGGGGAAGAGGGGAGGAGGAACAGGGGCAGCCGCTTCTGCTTTTCTCTTGTAGGCCTCTTTTCTCGCCTTGAGTTTTTGTTGCATTGTTTTTGTATGCATTGAATCTTTTCAGCCATGTGTGATATCTTGGCAGTAGGTCCACTAGTGCATTTCTAGACTGAGTTTTTTGTGACTCTGTGTCTTCCCGTTTCACAGAGGAAATGCAGCGGAGGCGAGGAGGGGCAGAGGAGAGGAGGGGAAGAGGGAAGGAGGAACAGGGGCAGCCGCTTATGCTTTTCTCTTGTAGGCCTCTTTTCTCGCCTTGAGTTTTTGTTGCATTTTTTTTGTATGCATTGAATCTTTTCAGCCATGTGTGATATCTTGGCAGTAGGTCCGCTTGTGCATTTCTAGACTGAGTTTTTTGTGACTCTGTGTCTTCCCGTTTCACAGAGGAGATGCAGCAGATGCGAGGAGGGGCAGAGGAGAGGAGGGGAAGAGGGGAGGAGGAACAGGAGCAGCCGCTTCTGCTCTTCTCTTGTAAGGCTCTTTTCTCGCCTTGATTTTGTTGCATTGTTTTTGTGTGCATTGAATCTTTTCAGCCATGGGTGATATCTTGGCAGTAGGTCCGCTAGTGCATTCCTAGGCTGAGTTTCTGTGACTCTGTGTCTTCCCGTTTCACAGAGGAGATGCAGCGGAGGCGAGGAGGGGCGGAGGAGAGGAGGGGAAGAGGAGAGGAGGAACAGGAGCAGACGCTTCTGCTCTTCACTTGTAAGCCTCTTTCTCGCCTTGATTTTGTTGCATTGTTTTTGTATGCATTTAATATTTTCAGCCATGGGTGATATCTTGGCAGTAGGTCCGCTAGTGCATTCCTAGGCTGAGTTTTTGTGACTCTGTGTCTTCCCGTTTCACAGAGGAGATGCAGCGGAGGCGAGGAGGGGCGGAGGAGAGGAGGGGAAGAGGAGAGGAGGAACAGGAGCAGCCGCTTCTGCTCTTCTCTGGTACGCCTCTTTTCTAGCCTTTTTTTTGCATTGCTTCTGTATGCGTTGGTTCTGTTCAGCCATGTATATGTTGGTTCTGTTCAGCCATGGTGCATTTTTGTGACTCTGCCTCTTCCCGTTACACAGGAGGAGATGCAGCAGAGGCGAGGAGGAGTCTAGGAGCGGAGGAACATGAGCAGTCCACGCCTCTTTTCTCGACTTGATTCTGTTTGCATTGACTCTGTATTAGTTACTATTTTTCACTTTCCGTGAGCTCAGTTCCTCTTGTCCTTAATCTGTCTGTCTTCTCTGTTTCCTCCATCTGTATGCCTTAACACTGTCTCCTGTATTCAGAAAATGCAGCAGAGGCGAGGAGGAGCAGAGGGACAGTAGCATTCTCCTCTTCACTTTCCTGGTAAGCCTCTTGTCTCACCATTTCTCACTTTCCGTGAGCTCAAGTTGCCTAGTTTCCTTCTTGTCTGCTTTTACGCTTTTTTTTTCTCTTCTTTCTTTCTTCCTTTCCTTCTTGATTCTGTTTGCTCTGATTCTGTTTCCCTCGTTCTGTTTGTCTTGTTCTGGTCTTTTCAGAGGAGAAGTGGAGCAGAGGACAGCAGAGGACGGCAGAGGACAGCAGAGGACAGCAGAGGACAGCAGAGGACAGCAGAGGACAGCAGAGGACAGCAGAGGAGCCTGCAGAGGAGCAGAGCAGCACTGGAACAGAGAATGAAAGGTGGAGTCCGGTGTGGAATGGTATGGTGTGGGTGGGGTGGGGTCGGGTGGCATGGTGTGGCATGGCGTGGTGTGGTGTGGAGTGGTGTGGTGTGGCTTGGTGTGGTGTGCCTGGTGTGGTGTGACAGTGTGGTGTGGAGTGGTGTGGTGTGGTGTGGTGTGGAGTGGTGTGGAGTGGAGTGAGGCGTGTCTCGTGTGAGGCGTGCGTGGTGTGAGGCGTGTCTGGTGTGAGGCGTGTCTGGTGTGAGGCGTGCCTGGTGTGAGGCGTGTCTGGTGTGAGGCGTGTCTGGTGTGAGGCGTGCCTGGTGTGAGGCGTGTCTGGTGTGAGGCGTGCCTGGTGTGAGGCGTGTCTGGTGTGAGGCGTGTCTGGTGTGAGGCGTGTCTGGTGTGAGGCGTGCCTGGTGTGGTGTGGTGTGGTGTGCTGTTACCTTCTTTCTCCCTCTCTCTCTCCCCTCTCTCCCCCCCCTCCCGCCCCCCATCCCCTCCCCCCAACAGGTGTCCTAAGCGATAGCCCCCACCTCAACGCAGGGGCTCTGCCCCCTGCGGCCAAGAGGGGTCCAACATTCAGAGCGGTGGACAGTGGAGCAGCGCCTCATAGCGTGTGGATAGTGGAGCAGCAGCACCCAACATTCGTATCAATTGTGATGCAATAATTAGATATTAACTGCTACAATTTGCTGAAGTTACAATAACTGTAGGATGCATGTAATGCAATAAACTTGCTGCCATGATACAATATGGTAGTCATTGACATTAAAGTAATTATCTTCTGGACAGCACTGCACTGAACCTGGATGGCTCAATCACATTCATGAAATGACATCCTAGCAGTAGATATACACCGTACTACAGGTACCGGCAGATACGGTTTCAACTAAACAAGACCGGATGTGTATAGGGGCACTGTCCTCATGAGTGCATAAATGCACCTGATGTGTACATGTTCTCATCCTAGCTCACATGATCTTAGGCTGACTGAATGGCATTCTGCTTCAGGTATGTTTGCCCTGACTTGAATGGAAGAGTGGCTGGCAAGCAATCATCTAAACTCTCTACCCCTTAACACAAAGGGAGCAATGAGCGTCCACAGATAAACCAACGCAGATAACCACAGCAAAGCCATCTTGACCCAGGTGCTAATCCAACCAGCATCGATGCTCCACTCAACCGGGGTTTGATTCATATTCCACCCCAGGAATATCATAGCCATATACATTGAGCCTGTAAGAAACACGAGATGGAAGAAGCCGTAACCATAGGGCACCTCTCCGTTACCGGCGGATTCCTCGTCTTTAGGCCGGAGCGAGAAGCATCGGGAGTCAATTCCTGTGGCATAGACTGAAATGGCAATGCTTATGAGTGCCACTATAAATGCCTGGGTGTTGTGAAGACGGGGGGGAGGGGGAAAAGAAGGAGAATAAGTACAACATGTTCATGGGTGCCTCTATGAATGCCTGAGTGCACAGGCAGAATGGAAAGAAGAATGAAGCATAAGTAGCAGTTTGTCAGTTACAAAAAATGATTGGCGAATGCTGGAAAATAATGAATTTAAGTATGAGTAATAAGTGTGCGAAGTGGAAAAATAGCAACTTGGGATGTTCTCACCAGAATATCAAGCCACCCGCCGTATCCGGTCTGGCGAGGGCGAGTGTTGCATGCCTCAGCGGGCGGCTCACTCATGATTGCCGACCAGCAGAGGAAGACAAAATACACCGCCATGACACCTGTGGTGAGAGGCCCTGCGTCCACCTGCACACACACACATACAGATGCAGATGCATGCAAGAAGTATAGGAGGGTACTGGATGGCTTGGCACTGTTTACTGTCATTTAGCATCACGTAATTGACCTATCAATGCAGCATAACGACTGTTTTGAAAATCACTTCATTTTGCATCATGTAATTGACTTACCAATGCAGCATCGGCCCATGAAGCACCAGGCAACCACACCCAGGGATAAACAGAAATGGTGTTGAGAACCGCGGGAAAGATGATGAGAAGGTGAGCCTCGGATGTGGGATGGGCGGCTCACCTTGGGATGGACGGAGATTGCGGTGAGAGCGACGACGAGGACGAGGAGGAAGGTGATGAAGAAGATGTTGAGCGAGCAGGAGGAGGAGGGCGCGAAGTAGATATACATGAGGATGATGCCTGTGAGGAAGAGCAGGTAGCACACGATTGATACCACAGCCATCCATTTGTGCCTGCACACATGACATGCAAGTAGGGGTGGGTGGAGAAGGCACACATGCCATGACACACATGCATGCGTAAGTGGGTGATACTTTTACACATGTATGAACACACAAAGTAGTCCGTGCATATCTGTGCGTCTACAAGACAAATGATGGGTGAACATTCGCCAGAATCGAAGCGTTTGGAGCGGCCGAAAACTAAGCGCAAGTTCTCACATCTTATCGTTGTTGAGCCAAGAGTCATTCCAGACGTAGATGAAATTGATGATGCTCACTAGCTGAATTACCAGAAATACTGCTGCTCCCGCTATCGCCACCTCGCCATACACCTGAAACACCTCTGTTCAGGTGAAAACCACAGAAGGACCGAAGCGTCAGTGGGAGGGAGTGAGGGATGAAGCAGTGAACATGAATAAACGGATCCAGTCCATAACGGGACTGAGGCAAGAAGAACACAGGAGCCGGACACGCGCAGAAGCAGGAGGAAGCACACAACAGACATACGGTATGGAGGAGAAAAGAGCGTACATACGGTAGGGGAGGAGGAAGGGGAGGAAGAGCAGCAGCAGCCAGAGGATGAGCTTGGGAGGCCACCAGCCGGAGTGCCAGAGGTCACGACAGCTGTCCTCGAGCTTGGCACCGGCTGTGGTGGCGAGCATGAGCGCGAAGAAGAGGCACAGGCCGAAGCTCAGTCGCAGCACTGCTAGCGCGCCCACACACCCAGGGTTGTTCGGCCCGCACGACTGGAAGCCTGGTGGGAAGGGAGTACGGGACGAAAGAGGGTGGAAAGAAGGAAAAGAGGGGAAGGGGGGGAGGAGATGACCAGGCGAAGTGGATTTGTGCTTCATGTGAGAAGAATGGGTGGGAAAACAGGAGGAAAGGAAGGTGGGAGGATAAAGGGAACGCTACAAACAGTGACGGGAATAGAAGGAACGACGAATGAAATGCGGCTTTTCTCCGCAATGCAAACGTTGTTACCACCACAGCATTCCAATAACTGAATCACTATGATTAGCTCCGAATGTAGTGTGCGGATCGCACTCACTGTAGAGATTGTAGAGTTCATCGGTGGCGTAGTCTCTAAGAACCCACGCGACAACAACAGAGGCCAGGAACATCCCTCCATATAAGAACTTCGCCGCGACGCGCGACGGGCCGAAGGAGCAGCAGGAGCAGAGGCAGTGACCCAAGGCGGTACCGGCGAAAGCACCGCAGCAGCCGGTGCAGAATCCGATGCACATCCTGTCTCGCCCGCTTACTAATGCTCCTGATGCTAATCGCGGATCGCTGCTGATCGCTTGATGCTGATCGTCGATCGTTAATCTCTGATCGACGGACTTCGCCGAACCGCTTTGGATTATCGGCTCTCTTTATTATGACGCTCTACCCAGCATTGACGGCTGATGCGTCCGAAGAGTCGACAATGGGTTAATTAATGCAATGTTGGAGGCTGATCATGGTGCTGGCTGCCGTCTATGAGTCGGTTGATTCAGCATTTTCGCTTGCTAACACGGTTCGTTTTCGCGAATGCCAGAAGTTTGACACACGATACGTATGGGTGTGTTGGAAGCGAACCAATGAAAGTTATTTTGCCTGAACACTACTCACGAGTTTACGACGGAAGCACAGTCAAGCTAATCTGATCCAATACAGACCGCACGCCATAAGGACATGAAAGGCATATAAGACGTGACAATGATTTGGTTTGGACCAGACAGATAGGTGAAAGAGGAAGCCACGGACATGCTTCAAGCTAGCGTGCTGAAATGAAGCAATGGAGCTCTGAATAATGTCGGTCGCTTTCACGCGAGAAATCACCGATTTTCACTTTCGCTCAGTACCGCACTCAACGTTTTGTATGCTAAAATGAATCGCTTTTGAACTCAGTGAACAGCACAGGTTCGTTTGTACATCCGCGTTAATGGATACTTCACTCCTCACCCTCGGTTTTCATTTTTGTTTTTCTGGAATACTTATCCTGCCTCCAAGATGGCCACCGCCAAATCCCCCTTTTGTCTTTCTGGCTCAGGGATTTTGGCATGCAACTGCATTGGATTCGCCTATCAAGTCAACTGCCTTGTGAGCAGCATCTGTCAGTCGCCACGCAAGTAATGGCGTGAATGCGTTGTCAGCAGCACGTCACTCCAGGCCATTCCATCTAATCTCAAGGCTGATGCAACATTTCACGGCTCGGATGCAACCAGTTCAGGCACGAGTTGAAGCACCAGTTCAGCCAGGATAACTGGCCAGCCTTTTCTTTCCCGGTCGCTGCGGTTTAGAAGACTTACCGCGGTACGAGGCGAGGCTTCCGGTCGTAATAATTTCTCACCGGAAACCGGCGAGTCGTTAGCTTGGAAGCTCGAGCCGCGAAGATTTTTGTTTTGTTTTGTTCTTCAACCAAACTAGGAGGCATTTGCGAGTCGCGGGGAAGAAGTGAGGCTTGAATACTCGCATTTTGCAATCATGCGGCTGCTCCTCCAGTCGTCACGAGCGGAGCGGGTCGTGCGCGCGGGACTGGCGGCGGGATTCCGACGAGCTTGGAGTCCCGCGCTTGGGAGTTCCGCCGTTCGAGATGCCGATGAAATCCGCGGCAGGAGCGACGCTGCTGACGTGGCCAAGCCCCGCTCTGACTTGGCGAGGCCGCGCGACGACATCGGAGGAAGGCGGGGTTACAGCAGCAGCAGCCTGGCGAGCCTGCTGTCTCCTCGTGCTCCGCCGCTTACCCTAGATACAATCAATTCGCTGGTATCACAACTCCTATTTTCCCGTACTCGTCATGCCCTTTATTTCTTCCTGTTTGATTGGTTGCATTTTCACCTACCCTCGTCCCTCCTTACATGACATCTCCTTCCCTCGCCTCTCCTTTCCCCGCCTACCTGTCTCCCGCACCAGGTGCGCGAGTGTGAGTACGCAGTGCGGGGCGAGATAGTCGCAAGAGCGCTCATGCTCGAGTCTCAGCTGGCAGCAAAGCCGGGCACATTGCCCTTTAATGAGGTGGGATGCATTGTCCCTGATGTCAATCCGAGGCATTTTACCAGACAGTTCCCTTCGCGTGCACTGCAGTCGTAGAGACCTCCACTCCACCTAGAATCGCATTTCTTGAGCCTTCTTTTCTGCCACCCCCCTCGCCCCATCAGATCATCTATTGCAACATCGGCAACCCCCAGGCTCTCGGGCAGCCACCCATCACCTTTTACAGAGAGGTGAGTCTCGGCCTTGGATAAGGTACACACCATGCTATGCCATGCCACGGCCTCCTGGCAGGCCTTTCCTCAGCCACGTAAGAGGAGAGGGTCTCAAATAAAGAATCTGGTAAAGAGCCCTCACTCCTCCCGTCCTCCCCCCCTCAATCCCACCAGGTCCTCGCTCTCTGCGACCACCCTTCTCTTCTGCACGTCAAGAATCCAGACGGCTCGTCTCCTTTCAGTGCCACGGCGAGGCAGCGGGCGCAGCAGATGCTGGACTCCATTCCGTGTGCTGCCACGGGCGCGTACAGCCACAGCCAGGGGCTGCCGCTGTGCCGGCAGGTCGTGGCCGAGGGGATTGCGCAGAGAGACGGCCATGCTGCCTCGGCTGATGATATCTTTCTCACTGACGGCGCCAGCCCTGCTGTATGTCTTTGTTGCTGTTACTGTTGATGCTAGTGCTGTTATCACTGCTGTCAGTGCTGTCAGTGCTGCCATCGCTTTGTACAGGAGAGACGGCCATGCTGCCTTGCCTCGGCTGATGATATCTTCCTCACTGACGGCGCCAGCCCTGCTGTATGTGTGCCCGTGTGCTAGCTATCACTGCTGCCTTGCGTTGCATTGCTCCGTTTTCTTCCCACTCATCAACCATTCCTTTGCCCTCCATCTCTGATCATCCCCACTCGTATTCCGTCCAACACCACCACTTTCCTTCTTCTGCCCTTTTTCCTCCCTTCTGCTCCTCCACGTGTCACCATCAGGTGCAAATGATCCTCAAGCTTCTCGTGCGCAGCAAGGCGGACGGCGTGCTCTGTCCCATCCCGCAGTACCCTCTATACTCAGCCTCGCTTGCACTCAACGGCGGCACCCTAGTGCCCTACTATTTGGATGAGGGGGCGCGCTGGAGACTCGACCCCGCCCATCTGCAAACGGCAGTGGAGAAGGCAGGAGAGGAGGGCGTGTGTGTTCGGGCGCTCTGTGTGATCAACCCAGGGAACCCCACCGGGCAGGTGAGAACCAATGGAGCCCACAGGGCTTGAGGTGTTTTCAGGTGCCCACTCAGGCCAACCTGCCTATGTGCGGGTGCTCTGAGTGATCAACCCAGGGAACCCCGCGGGACAGGTGAGGGTAGACCAGAGAAGCAGATCGACAGGCACCATTGCAGTGCAACGTAATTGTAACGAGCAGACCAACAGGGGAAGGGGGGCAACATTGGTCGGGCTCAGCTCAGAAGCCTATGTTCTATGCCTGTGATGATGGTCCCCTGTGATGATGGTCCCCTGTGATGATGGTCCCCTGTGATGATGGTCCCCTGTGATGATGGTCCCCTGTGATGATGGTCCCCTGTGATGATGGTCCCCTGTGATGATGGTCCCCTGTGATGATTGGTCCCCTGTGATGATGGTCCCCTGTGATGATGGTCCCCTGTGATGATGGTCCCCTGTGATGATGGTCCCCTGTGATGATGGTCCCCTGTGATGATGGTCCCCTGTGATGATGGTCCCCTGTGATGATGGTCCCCTGCGATGATGGTCCCCTGTGATGATGGTCCCCTGTGATGATGGTCCTCTGTGATGATGGTCCTCTGTGATGATGGTCCTCTGTGATGATGGTCCTCTGTGATGATGGTCCTCTGTGATGATGGTCCCCTGTGATGACTCGCATACCCATGTCCCATGCTGCGTGCCCCTGTTATGTGCCTTGGCCCCCATGCCCCGTGTTCCAATCCCTGCAGGTACTGGAGGAGGCGGATCAGCAGGCGATAGTGCGCTTCTGTGTGGACAAGGGGCTGGTGCTGATCGCAGATGGGGCGATTCTCGATACCCCGTTTCCATTGCCAATAGCGTGGCCCATACCCCATTCCCGATGCCCCATGCTCCATGTCCTGTAACCCACCCCTGGCAGGTGCTAGAGGAGGCGGATCAGCAGGCGATAGTGCGCTTCTGTGTGGACAAGGGGTTGGTGCTGATCGCAGATGAGGTGTACCAGGAGAACGTCTACGCACCCGACCGCAGGTTCCTGTCCTTCAAGAAGGTCGCAAGGGACATGGGCGTTGGTGCTTCTGACCTTGCGCTAATCTCCTGCCACTCCTCCTCCAAAGGTAAGCACCTAGGCGTCTAGTTGCTGGCTTCGCTGCTGAGGAGATGGTTCAGGCTGAAGCCAGTTGTTCACGAATCTGAAGTGACATAAGTTCCTCACCTTTCCTTGAGGTGACTTTTGAGTCAACTCAAAAGGCTGCTCGTTGTGCCAGGTAGCGCCTCAGGAGATGGTTCAGGCTGAAGCCAGTTGTTCACGAATCTGAAGTGACATAAGTTCCTTGCCTTGCCGTGCCTGTGTGTATGCAGGGTTCTACGGCGAGTGTGGCAGAAGAGGAGGCTACATGGAGGTTACAGGTAACTGGGACTATCTGTCTGATGTGGCCTTTGGTAACCCATTTTTTATGCGCGGCAACTTGTCTGTGCTCGCACTTCCTGTTGCATGCATGCAAGCATGCTACATCACTCCTCATCTGACTTTTTCCTGTTGCATGCATGCTACATGGCTTTGGATCGCAAGCATGAGATTAGAGCATTCACGGTGAGGTACCCTTGAACGTCCCTTGCGATATGCATCTGCGTCACCAAAGCAACCCCATGCATGCACCCATGCAGGTCTGCCCTCGGAGGTGTGGGAAGCCATGTACAAGATGGCATCCGTGAATCTTTGCTCCAACATGTCCTGACCGTCCCTTGCTACGTGCTCTTGCCTCGCCAAAGAAACTCTACGCCTTGTTGCCCATGCAGGTCTGCCCTCTGAGGTGCGCGAGGCCATGTACAAGATGGCATCTGTGAATCTTTGCTCCAACGTACCGGGACAGATCCTCATGTCACTCATTGCGTCTCCACCTCAGGCAAGTTTCTCTTAATTGTGATTCTCTACTGTATTTCTCTCCACATTCTGCAATATTCCAGGCAGCAGTTGATATTGTTTCTTGCCATGCTTGGAAAGAGTGCCGTTAATGCACTGTTCAGGGTCAACTTGGGTTCATAGCATGTCGTCACTTCATGATTGCGTCTGTGCATGTGGATGGCTGTGGTCGTGTGTGTTGTGGGTGTGCAATGGTGGGATGCTGTGGGGCATGTACTTACATACGTTGTATGCTTGCAGGAGGGGGACGATGCCTTTCCTGTCTTCGCTGCGGAGAGAGATGCCATCCTCTCCTCACTCGCTCGTCGAGCCAAGGTCTGTCCCACAGTCCACATCTTGACTGTTGCACTTTGCAAACAATGCCAGCTCCACTTCCACGAATTTTTATTGCCTCTCGTTCATGTCCTCACTGCCCACCACTCAAGCAGGCCTTCTCTTATGCCATTCCGAGGGTGCTATGTATGTCTTCCCAGACTGCCTTTCTTTTCACCTCTCGTCCATGCAATCCTGTCCTTCTTCCAACCCGACCCCAAATATGCCAGCTGCTAGTTGATGTGCTCAACTCACTACCAGGCATCACCTGCAACCCCTCTGAAGGCGCCATGTACGCCTTCCCCAGGCTGCACCTCCCCCCCCGAGCAGTGGAAGCAGCAGCAGCAGTGGGCATGCTAGCAGACACTTTCTACGCGCGCCGATTGCTCGATGCCACAGGGATTGTTGTGGTACCGGGATCGGGATTCGGGCAGGAGCCTGGGACATGGCACGTGCGGTTCACGATCTTGCCAAGTGAAGATAAGATCTCGGGAATGATGGAGCGGTTTGCTGAGTTCCATGATAGATTCATGCGGGAGTTCACTGTTTGAGGTGTAGTGCAATTGGAAAGAACGGTTCTAGTCAGTGCACTGTTATGGCAAAATCTCGGATATGGGTGTATGATCATCTTCACAGTTTCCGTGTTCGTGAGTCGTGTAAAGCATCGCTCTTGCACCATCACATCCCACGAATTGTTTGATGGAGGTTTACCAATAACGTAGCTGCCCACTTGTATAGTTTGTGACTGAGGAAATCTGTATCGAGGACAGATATTTTCATTCTTTGCATCAGCCCCGCCTATGCAGACAGACGAGAGCTAAGGCAATCGAGCATCTGGCTTTCAGTGTACGGCCTGAATGCTTGTTGCAAGCACTCGCGTCTCATAAACAGCATTTCCTTTTTCGTCAGTGGAATACCCACATGCGCACGCGTTTGTCTGCTACGAACGCCATCTCTAGGGTCGCCTTGTGACGCTCTGGTAGTTCTAACATCCGCGTGACCGTCTGCCGCTTACTGCCATCATGGCATGCTGCGAGATTCGCTGGAATTCACAACCTCTTGGGCTCGGCTTGAGGGCGACGAGAAGGATGGTTCAGAAGAACGTAGTAGCGTTACCCCTCGCTAATCGTTTTACAGAGGCATGTAAAGAAAGTGCTTTTCTTCTGCTGCTTGCGTGCTACACCTCCGGTCGTTCATGTTTAGGTATTTTCTTTGTTGCCTCAGTCAACAGACCACTGTGAGTTGACGGTTCTCGTACTACTTCATCCGCGGTTGCTCGTGTGTGCTCCAGAACGAGCGGATGCGAAAGTTAGCAACACGTTCTGCCTCGTCGGACGAGTGGAGTTTCACGCGACCAGACGAGGCTGACAGGTCAAGAGAATTTGCAGCAAGACTTGAGCAAGCCTGGAGCATAAGAAAGGTGCATTCTTCTGCTTTCGCTGACACATGCATGTCAACTTTATTTACTTACGTACCCCTGTCTCTTCTGCATACCCCTGTAGCAATAGCATTCTGACTGACGCTCTCCACTTTGTTGACTATCCTGGCTCTCTTCCATCTCTGGTTTTTTTTAATGAGCAGAACCAGGGTCCTGTCGCATGCGAGGAGTGCATGGCTCAGGGCTGTATCGAGTGCAAGTGGTGCCGTGGGACTGGCTATTTTATTGTGGGAGACAGTCTGCTATGCTCGGTATCCTCACGGAGCAGTACTTGCGTAATCTGCGGCGGGAAGGTGAGTCTACTCTTTGAAAGAGCATTGTGAGAAGGAACCTACTCATTGTCTCTTTTTTGGATGATGAATTATCCGTTCGTTTTCCTTCACTTGTTGGGGATGGTCGTTCTAATATGTATCTTTTGTGGCACACTTATGCAGGGTACTGTCCGTTGCCTTGACTGTGCTGGTACTGGTTTCAGAGCTCGTTGGCTCAAAAGACCTACCCCAGGGAAACAACCGTCAGGTTGAACATTTTTGTTCTCTTCCTGGCAAAGTGGTTCGAGATGTTGGCCAGGTTGGCACCTAAGGGGTCTGATGCGATCAGTTGCATCAGTTTCATTGTTTAGTTTGATTTGAGGGGCTTTTGATTTTTGTGCCCCACACCATGTACATAGATGACATAGAAATGCCAAGAATCTATAGATGGCTTGTAACGTTATTGCTCCCAATGCTTTCGCCATCAGTTCTGAAATACTTGTTACCTTCGCCAAGCATTCAGGCATCCAGAAAGGTCCGCTTGGCTGGCTCAACGATTCGATTCTTTCCGCGTTCTTTCTAACGGAGTTGATTGTGACGATTGCATGCCGCTAACGTTTTCCGTCATCTTACCCCGTTCTTGGCAAGGTTGGTTGGGTTGTCATGCTGCAACCCCTCCCCCCCTTCTTGCCTCAAAACCACTCATTTCCTTGTTACCACCTACCCCGCTCAACTCCTCTCCTACAGCCCTAAAACTGCTTCCTGCTACTTTCTAGCCTCGGAACCTAGCATGGTGCTATGAGGTTGCTCTAACAATGTTCTAGGGCTGTCCGACTGTGGTGCAGACCTGTTTAGTGTGTCGTGTCGGTAGCACAGGCCGATATTTAGATTGGTCTGGTGGTGAGGAAGCTTTTTGTTTTGGCTGGCGGAACTATGGAGCGATATGAGATCCTCAAGGATATTGGGTCGGGAAATTTCGGGATTGCGAAGTTAATGCGAGATAAGAGAACTAAGGAGATGGTGGCGGTGAAGTTCATTGAGCGTGGCGACAAGGCACGTGCATATTCGTTGCGTCCATTTTTCCTCCAACCGAGCTGGAATCGCGCTCTTTGTTTTGGTGAACGAGTCTTTGATTTTTCCAAAAGGGTTGCTTTATGTTCGCAGATCGACGAGAATGTTCAGCGTGAAATCATTAACCATCGCTCCCTTAGGCATCCTAACATCATCCGATTCCGTGAGGTTCGTCGCTCATCTTCCATTTGCTCCTCGTCTGCTTTAGGTTCCTCGTGTGGTTGTGCAGCTAGTGACCGTTGGGTTTTGTTTTTGTTGTTATTTTCCAGGTTTGCCTCACTCCGCAGCATTTGGCCATTATAATGGAATATGCGGCCGGTGGTGAGCTATTCGAGCGAATCTGCAACGCTGGTCGTTTCAGCGAAGACGAGGTACGTGTTGCACGCATTTGTGTCATCCGTCTTCCTTCTCACCGGCGCTTGGGTTGCAGTTGTTGACGCATTCTGTTCTGTCTTTCAGGCTCGATTTTTCTTTCAACAATTGGTCGCTGGCATCAGCTATTGTCACTCCATGGTAAGAATAACCCGCGTCATCTGTCTTGCATAGATTAACGGTCGCATACTAATTTATGAACCCTTCTCGTTTGCAGCAAATCTGCCATCGCGATCTGAAGCTTGAAAACACTCTTTTGGATGGAAGTCCTGCACCCCGTCTGAAAATTTGCGATTTCGGTTACTCAAAGGTACAGTGTGGAATAGAGGCTGGAGATGTAGCATTGTGAACCGGCACTAAGTATCCGCTCTTTCTACTTTTCAGTCCTCCCTGCTTCATTCACAACCGAAATCCACCGTGGGCACTCCAGCCTACATTGCACCTGAAGTTCTCTCAAAGAAGGAGTATGATGGAAAGGTAAGTAAGTTTTGACTGAATTTTGCAAAAGCGTCACGTAATGCTTCTTTCCTCGTCTGACTAAAGTGTTTCCATGTGGCAGACTGCTGACGTGTGGTCTTGTGGAGTCACACTATACGTCATGCTTGTAGGGGCTTATCCCTTTGAGGACCCTGATGACCCACGAAACTTCAGGAAAACCATTGGTGTATGTTTACATTGCCTCTTTTCTGCTGTTTCAGCTCCTTCCCCACGCCCACAGCATTCATGACTGTCTGCTTCTTCTGCTGCCATGCTTACAGCGCATCATGAGTGTCCAGTATCACGTTCCACCGTATGTGCGCCTCTCTCCGGAATGCAAGCACCTCTTGTCAAGAATCTTCACAGCAAACCCTACAAAGGTGAGTTTTAGTATTTAGCTGGTAGGTAGCCTTGGTTGTTCACAAATAGATTGAACTCTCACCTCCCTGTATCCCCTCACTCCCCCCCTTCCTCCCCCTTGTCGGCAGCGCATCACAATGCCGGAAATCAAGAGGCACCCTTGGTTCTTGCGGAACCTGCCAGCAGATCTGATGCATGAAAATGACCCGGGTTACCAGTACGATGATCCTAACCACCCGCCTCAAAGCATCGAGGAGATCATGAGGATATTGCAGGAAGCTCGGGTTCCAGGCATTGCTCAGCCTTCTGGCGATGGTTACCTCAACGATGACAGGGATGACGAGAGAGATGATGAGGACATGGACAATGACATGGATGACTTCGAGGGCAGTGGAGAGTTTGTCAATGCTCTTTAAGAGACTTGGGTCCTTTTATTCCATTTACATGGCTGCACAGCATGAGGTGGCTGGTGTATTGTTGCTCCTTGTGTGTTGCAGTTCACTTGCTAGTTCTAGTACAAATTTTAGTTTGACTCTGGCCGTTAGTTTCTTGTGCCAGCTTGCAGTAAGACATTGCCGACAACAGACTGATGTACAGGTGGATGGAATAACCTTTATTAAGAAGCGGCCAAGAAACAGGGTTTGTGGGGCACTTGAAAAGCACAATATTATAATTTGTATTGTAAAAGTGAGGACGTGGCCAATGCAGCAAAGGTAGCGGCTCTACGCTACTCACCCCTCTTTTGCCTACAAAACAGGAACGTGATTTCAGTAGCTCCACCCACGTTCTTCATTTCCAATTTCTAGTTTTACTTTCCCACCACCCACCCCATCGTGTATCATTGATGGACGAGAACGTTGTAACTTCCCATTTGGAATGAAGCACGCTGCCCCCGCAAGATGGACTAAGCAAAGCTTTCACAATGCACAGCGTATAAACAGTGAGCAATTATGCGCACAGTTCAGCCACCCCCGCTGGAGGTTTTTAACTGAATGGCTGCTAGTTCCTCCTCCACAAACTCTCCAGCAGGCTTGGGTGGAAAGCTAGATGCCAGTTTGCTAGCGGCGAAGTGCCAAATGGGCGTGAGGATCTCATCTGATGCTATGTGTGCAAAAACCTGCGCAAAAAAGACAGCCATAATGAGAAAGATCAGGCAAACCTGCTGCAAGAAAATCATTTTCTTCCCCAGCGTCATCAGCTTCTCCCTTCCAACTTACGAACCTCCAGACCATACCTGCTGCGTAAACTCCAAATCACAATGCACTGGGTAATAGTCCCTCCCGCGTACCGTACTGGAGACTCGCCAGAGGCTGCGCCCCTGCTGCTGTGCTCTCTGCACCGCCGCCACTGTGCCCTCATCCACCACCACCTCATGCATTCCCGCCGCCACCTCTCCTCCCGTCAGCCATTCCATCTGCCAAGTTACACATGCACACACATGCCACACCAGGAGGATGATGAAAGGAGGTTGTTCAACAATCTCGTCATGTTACCAGGAGAGCAGCAGCAGAACTCATCACATACACACAATGCAGTTGCTGGTGCTAATCGTAGTGCCACACAAGCAGGACTTGAGGGACCAGATGTCTCAAAGCTGTCATATCACATCAGAAACAGTGCAGACCACAGTCCCCTGCACCCACCTGTTTCCCTGCTTGAAGCAGCAGGCAGCCGTCAGGCACCGAGACACGGCAGCAGGTGCCATCCCTCAGCCAGATACGTAGGCCGGGGAATCTGCACCGTCCGTGGATGGTGAGGAAGTTGAGATCTGCATGATACCCCGCCAGGACTGTTCCAGGGGAGCCATGCTCTCCCAGGTCGCTGCCTGTGGGGGCCAGCAGGTGTGGGCCCTGGGGAGGAGTGGAGAAGGGATGGAGAACGTATAAATCATGAGTCAACTGAACAGTGGATGGTGAGGAATTTGCATCTGCATGATACCCCGCCAGGACCGTTCCAGGTGAGCCGTGCTCTCCCAGATCACTGCCTGTGGGGGCCAGCAGGTGTGGGCCCTGGGAAGGAAGGGGTGGAACAGGGGCCAGCAGGACGGAAGGATAGGGGAAAGGCAGTGGGAAGGTGGGCTGGCGAAGGGATGGAGTACAAGTGAGAAGAGGGGAATGGGGCAGTGGGAGGAGTGGGGATATGAGACCATGGGTGCAAGAGGACAGAAAAAGAGAAAAAGGACAGAAAAAGAGAAAAAGGACAGAAAAAAAGAGGTGAAGAAGGAAGGAATGGGAAGAGCAACGGTAGGGGCTCGAGAGTGCCAAAGGGGGGAGAGATATAGCAGCAATATGTGAAGTGGTTCGCACGACGTGCATGCGAGAGGTGCAGTGCGGTGACAAGGGGGTTCATACCATGTGCATGCGAGAGGTGAACGAGTCCTGTGGAAGATCAAATCCGATTGCCAGCATCTCAGCCACTGCCTGCAGATACACACACACACACACATTCATGCATTCCATGTCAACAAGTGAGACTTTCTAAGTCAGATCTGTCTACTACAGAGCAGCAAGCTCAAGTGGAAGAATGCTGCAAACTGCAAACCAATCCTGTTCCTTCTGGTCCATTGTCTCTTCCTAGATCGAATTTGCTTGTCCTTTTCCCTCCCCCTTGCCCCTCTCTCTGTTCCCCCCTGAGGCATCCCTCTCACCTCCACAGCAGCAGTCATATTGCATCCCCACCCATCCATAACCGCCGCCCACTGAGGGGACCCATTTGTGAGGCGCCTCAAAGAAAGACTCTCTCTCCCCTGCCGCCCATTCCCCTCACCTCCACTGCAGCAGTCACCTTGCATTCCCACCCATCCACCACCGCCGCTCACTGAGAAGAACCCACTTCTGAGGCGCCTAAAGATAGAATAGTTCTCTTCGTCCATCCCTCTCACCTCCACTGCAGCAGTCATCTTGCATCCCCACCCATCCATCACCGAAGCCCACTGCGGGAACCCCTCCGGCACCACCGGACTGGCGTTCAGCTCCTGTTACACGCACATTCGATATAGGCACGCAAACCAGGTATAATCATATCACATACACTCAAAAGCGGTGCGAACATGCGATGTCAATGGTAGGCGCGGGGCAGCAGCTAATTGCATACCTGGTATCTGGTGCGCACAGGACCTCCCCCACTCTCCCCAGCGCTCACCTGGTATCTGGTGCGCGCAAGACCTCCCCCACTCTCCCCAGCGCTCACCTGGTATCTGGTGCGCGCAAGACCTCCCCCACTCTCCCCAGCGCTCACCTGGTATCTGGTGCGCGCGGGCCGGGGCCCGACGCGCCACATGAACCGCCACTTGCAGTCGGGCCCGGAGGGCGCGTGGGGGCGGCTGTCCGCGGGGAGTTGCGCCATGCGCGCCTTCACCGCCTCGTCCAGCGCGCTCTGCGGCATCTCCACGCCCTCGGGGGTCACGCCCACCTGCTTGGGTCGGGGAAGGGCGCAGGAGAGGTGGGGGAGGGGAGGAAGGGAGCGCGGGGCAAGGAGGTGAGGATTGGGAACGGAGGTGCGAGTACGGCACGGCACGCCATCTGGAAACAACTTTTGAGGCGCCTCAAAAAAAAAACTTTTGAGGCGCCTCAAAAAAAAAACTTTTGAGGCGCCTCAAAAAAAAAACTTTTGAGGCGCCTCAAAAAAAAAAACTTTTGAGGCGCCTCAAAAAAAAAACTTTTGAGGCGCCTCAAAAAAAAAACTTTTGAGGCGCCTAAAAAAAAAAACTTTTGAGGCGCCTCAAAAAAAAAACTTTTGAGGCGCCTAAAAAAAAAAACTTTTGAGGCGCCTCAAAAAAAAAAACTTTTGAGGCGCCTAAAAAAAAAACTTGAGGCGCCTAAAAAAAAAAACTTTTGAGGCGCCTCAAAAAAAACTTTTGAGGCGCCTAAAAAAAAAAACTTTTGAGGCGCCTCAAAAAAAAAAACTTTTGAGGCGCCTCAAAAGTCGGAGGTGCGAGTACGGCACGGCACGCCATCTGGAAACAGAGGGCGGATAGACGCGGCTGTCCGCGGGGAGCTGCGCCATGCGCGCCTTCACCGCCTCGTCCAGCGCGCTCTGCGCCCTCGGGGGTCACTCCCACCTGCGCCGCGCATGGCGCGGCGCAACACGAGGGAGCGGGAATGGGGGGAGATGGTCGTTGAGACACTTGGGCATCGGCGGAAGAGCACCTCTTGGCAAGGGGAGACGGCACCTTTTGGCGAAGGCGAAATATCAGCACCTCTTGGCAAGGGGAGACGGCACCTTTTGGCGAAGGCGAAATATCAGCACCTCTTGGCAAGGAGAGACGGCACCTTTTGGCGAAGGCGAAATATCAGCACCTCTTGGGGACCGACAAATAGATTGCACGGGGCCTTATCAGTCTTACCTCTTGCCCTTATCACCAGTCGTACCTGATAGTGCAGCTCGGGCCGCGAGTGCGCGAGCTTGGTCGTCTTGGGCTGCGCGAAGTACGACTCCATCATATCGAGAAACCGGTCATTGTCCGCTTGCGCGCACCGTGGGTCGCGCACGATCAGCGCGCTCGTTGCGCGCAAACACTCCGCCATCGCGCGGCAGGTTTCCGCCACCGACGCGGGGATCGCCGGAGCTGCGGCTGCGCCTGGCGCGTCCGCAGCCGTCTGCCCTGCGGCATTTCCGCATTGCTCGCGACGTGCAGCCTCTTTCAGCTGCAGAAACTCCGCCAGATCGAACGGCTGCAGGGACGCCATCTGGGCCGTTGGACGGACAGTAACAGCAGAAGCAGCAGCAGCAGCGGCGTGTTCGACGCGCTGCTCGTTCCGTAGGATGCACTAACCGTCGCCGCAGCCTGTTTTTTCCGCGCTTGAATAAGATAATTCAACTGGGTCGATCCCGCGGCTCTTCTTCGCCACGGAGAAACTGTACGAAGGGCCGCTCACAGGTGTTAACGCGAGGAGGAATGCGGTTCTCGGATTCTGTAAGCAGAAACGGATGCTCAGGTGCGATTCTATAAGACAGATATTTACAGGTATAGTATAGCCCGCTTAGCCGTGAGCCAGAGTGACGGCCGACAGGGAACCTGGAACTGTCACGGAGAGCGAAAAAAACGGCACTGGCACGCGTCGAAGGAAGCGGGAAATACGGGTGAGCCGTGGAACCTAACATCAAGCCTCTGGACTTGTTGCCTCCATGGCAGATCGAAATCATTTTTCTGAATACGCTTTGGAGCTTCTGTTTGGGTTTGGCTCGGTTTGGCGAAAAAACAGGAAAATCTGCTGTGGCATTTGGTTTGAACTTTGAACGCTCAAACATCTGTGTGACTCGTTAGGGAGTGTCTCGATGGGATCCGAGTGGGTTTGGTGTTTGTTAGCGTGAAGTTGACGACCATTTCCAGCCTGCAAAAAACTGTTATTGTGTATATGTGCCACTTTTTGTGAAGGTGTTGTGTGGCCCTGTTGCGAAAGGATTCAATTCGGGAAGGTGTAACACCAGTATCTTCGCAGGTGTGATCTTCACAGGTATCAATGTGCGAATATAATTTCTTTCGTCAAGCCATGGATCCGTCCACCATTACCGACGAAAACCAAGTCGGGCATGGCTGCAGGAATGACCGTACGTGGTTGACCATATTCTTCATACTCCGTTATCGTTCACTGCAGGATGCACGGATTAAATTTCCGCATCTTGCGCCAGTACTCTTTTGCTCAAATTCGTTCCAATTCCATTTGCATTCGCGTTAGCATTCGCCAGTAACCTGGATTTTCCTGGATGTGATGATATTGAGGTTCGCATATGTCCTTTCCTTTCGTCAAGGCGAAACGTCCTCGCATCGCCGTCAACGAAATGGCCTTTTTGCCATCCGGGTACCCCGCTCTGGGCCTCGATCCTTCAGCGACTCACGCCATCTCCACGTCATGGTGGAATCTGGACCGTTCGTTGAACGCTCTGATCGAGGGAATCAACGGCCGGATTAGCAGCAGAGCATACAGCACGACAGAAGGCGACGGAAACAGCAAGAACGACGACACAATCGGGGGATTCGCGTGGAACGCGCATGGGCGGAGGCGCAGAGTTGTGAAATTCTGGCGGAATGGGGAGAGGCGGAAGGATCTGGCGGAGCTGTGCCGACGTGGCATGGGACAAGTGACGCTTGATTACGTCAGCGGGTGCCTGAAGGTGAGTGGGAGTGTATGAATCAGCCTATGCCTGCTGCTTTAACGGTCCTGATCGGAAGCTTAAAAAACGAGTACTTGCGCTGCAACAGCTCCTGCTCGCTCCTGTTACTAAATCGTCCGGCTTCTGTTCCCCTGTTCTTCCCTGCTCTCCCCTGCTGTCCCTGATCCCACGTCACATTCTAAATTCTCGTTTTCCTCTACCACGGCTTTCTTTGTACAGAGAAGTTTCCAGGAAACTGCTGTGCCCCGGTTTCAAAGAGCCATCAAGGAAGCAGCGAGTATTGGGGAAGGGGGAGGGAGGGGAGGGAATGGAGCAGGACGGGGGACAAAGAAGGGGGGTAAGCAGCACAGGCAGAAGGAAGCTGCCAGGAAATTACTTTTAGCTTTGAACGAGCTCTGTGCCGTGAAGCACGCTTTCACGTTAGTGCTTGCTGACGTGGCAGCTGACGTGGCACGATGCCATGCCAAGTATGGTGTTGAGGATACGTGGGGTCATCCGTGGGCTCAGGTAGGAGGGGCAGAGGAGGAGGAGGAGGAGGAGGAGGAGGAGGGGGAGGTGGGGCAAGAGGAGGGGAAGGAGGTGGGGGAAGCTGAGGGGGAGGAGGAGGAGAACGAAAAGGAAGAGAGTGGGGAGGACAGGGGAGCGGGAGAAGAGGAGGAGTGGGGAGGCGAAGAGGGAGGAGCGGTGGAGGAGTTGAGGGAGAGTATGCAAGCCATGCTGGTCAACGCCACACCCCCACAGCTCTACGGTGAGTGCGGTGTGCTCTCACCTGTATGGTATGTGTGCTGGGTGCTGTCTCAACACATGCAGGCCTGAATGGGGAAGTTATATACATATTGAGTGTGTTGAGCTTTGTTCGTATACCACAATGTGATGGGTCCAGCATTTTATACTGAGATTTCACAGTGTATGCATGCATATAAGCTGACTTTTGAGTCAACTCAAAAGTCAGCTCGCATTTCAAACTGAGATTTCACACTGCATGCATGCATATACTGCCTCTCCGAGGTGCAATATTCCCTGCACGCATCTTCAGACATCTCAACACGCTACGCTAGCACATTCTTCCCTGCTCGCACGCACGCACATGCATGCATGGCAGGGCTGCTGCAAGAGTTCCTCTCGTCTCGCTTCAAGGATGTTTCTGAGTGCATGCGCCCATTCTATAGCGAGGATGATGACGAGGAGGAGGAAGATGGGGAGGAAGAGGATGAAGAGGACGACGAAGAGGAGGTGGAGGAAGGGGAGGGGGAGGAGGAGGAGGCAGAGGATCTTGAGGAATCAGCAGAAAAGCTACATTCAACCCCAGTGGTAACATCTGCGACCCCTGTAGTTGCCACGGCCACTGCAGGGGGGGAGAGGTACCACCAGCACCCAGGTGAAAGACTCACACCTTTACTGGACGCAGAGAATCAGAACTTGCACGGAAGCTTCCCTGGGTTTGGGGAAGAGGAGGCGGGGAGCGAGGGCAAGGGGAGGGGACCGAGGAGACGACTGGAGGATGAAATGGCTGCGCTTGAAGCGAGGGGGAGAGGGGTAGTCGAGAGGGGAGCGGGAGAGGGAGAGGGAGACAGAGGTGAGGTGCGTGAAGCAGCGGGGGCAGTGAGCGGAGCGGAGCAGGAGACGCTTGCAGCGGTGCTAGATGGCTTGCTGGGCACTGCGGGTGAAGGGGAGGAGGGTTGGGGCGGGGAGGACGCAGCTTACGGGGACGGCGGGGGCTCTGGAGAGGGGGAGAATGCAGACTCGCCTGTGTGTTGGGCGGGGCGGTTGGAGGGGAGGATGGGGCGGGCGTGGGTGTGGCGCGTGCAGCAGGTGATGCGGGCTCTGGGGTTCTCAGGGCTGTCGTTCCTGTCTCATGCCGTGCTGTCTGCTGTGCTGCTAGCCCGGCTTAAGGCGCATGTGCATGCATCGGCAGGAGCCGTTTTCGACCGTCGGATCCTCCTGCGCCTGCACCGGTGGCTGCAGGTCACTGCGCTGCCCTTCGTTACTATCACCACCTGCACTGTCACCACTAAGGCCAGCACCACCGGTATTAGCACCAGCAGAGGTGATGCCTCTGCCATCTCCAGCTGTAGTTCTCGCGTGTCAGATCCGATCTCAGCCGCACATCTGCGGCAGTGGCACGCGTGGTTGCGCCACGTGGCAGGCAGGGAGCTGTGCGCTGTACGCACAGGGCAGCTATTTGACATCATAGTCGACTACCCCGACTCCACCCCCGCCCTCCTCGACCTTAAAGACTGCCTCGAGAATGGCGGTGCTGCTGCTGCTGCTGATGCCACTGCTGCTAACGCTGGTTCCACCGCTGATTTTGGTGGTGCTGCTGTTGTGGAGGGGTTTGGGACTGCCGCGTTTGCAGCCGCTGCTCCGCCTCTGATTGCTCTCGTGGCCGCGCAAGGAGGGAGCAGTTTGAGGGGAGCCATGGGAGGGGAGGGTGCCGGCCTGGGAAGGGAAGGTGGCAGTGGTGGTGGTGGCATTGGTGGTGTGGGGAACGCTTACGGGAGGCTGGTTGCGTCGTTCCGAGCGGCGCTGGCCAATCGGCTGCTGACAGCTGGCGCGTCGACAGCGGATATCTTGCAGCAGTACGTGTCGGCGATACGGGCGCTGCGGCTGGTGGACCCGTCAGGGGTGGTGCTGGAGGCAGTCAGTGAGCCCATTCGACAGTACCTGCGAGGGAGAAAGTGAGTTGTGCTTGTGTGCTGGTATGGTAGCAGGGGAGGTGAGGTGAGTGCCTGCCTACCTGGAGAGAAGTCCACTAACGGTATGCTCTGCGGCTGGTGGACCCTTGAGGGGCGGTGCTGGAAGCAGTCAGCGGTCCCATTCGACAGTACCTGCGGAGCAGGAGGTGAACCATCCGCGCCATCCATCCTCAACCCTTGTCTCTCTCTCTCTCTCATCCATTCCCAAACCGTAATCCCCGTTCTCCTCACTACACGCCAACACAGGGACACCATTCGCTGCATCATGACTCTGCTGACTCAGCATCCTTCTGCAGCGCCAGGTGGCGCCATTAAGGCCGCTGCTGACGTGGCAGATGATGTGGCAGGGGAGGCGGGGGACCCGGGTGACTTGTCACTACTGGAGGAGCTAAGCCGGGCGGCGGAAGGGGGCGAGGGGGAGATGGGCGGCAGTGGGGAAGGGGAGGAGGAAGGGGCAGGATTGGGGGAAGATCTGTCTGCGGCTTATGCTGCTGCTGAGCGGTGAGTGGTGGTGCCGAGCGGTGAGCAGCGGTGCTGAGTGGTGAGGCTGCTTGTGGGAAGATCTGTCTGCGGCTTATGCTGCTGCTGAGCGGTGAGTGGTGTGTTGAGGTGGGCATTGTTGGTGACTTGTGAGGCGGGCACTGCTAGTGAGCAGTGGGGCGGGCGTTGCCTGTGATTTGAGATGTCACAACTTCCCTGCCTCCCCTCCTCCCGCAGTTGGCAGCCTGATTCAATCGATCTGATCCCTGGCAGTCGTCAGGACATAGTGCGCGTTCTGGCGGGGGTGTCCAGTTGGGTTGGCTTCAGAAAGGTGCTATCTGCAGTTGACGACACCCGATCTGGCACCTTTCTGAAGCCAACCCAACTGGACACCCCCGCCAGACGGGTGCTAACTTGCTTGGGATTCTCCTCCCTTCCCGCAGCTGGCAGCCAGACCCTATTGACGCTGACCCCTGGCAGTCGTCAGGGCAGGCACAGAGGGCGAGGGACATAGTGCGCGTGCTGGCGGGGGTGTTTGGTGTTGTTTTGAGTCGTCTATAAACACCCTTCCCCCCTCTCCCCCTCCCCCCCCCCCTCGCCCCCTCTTCCCGCAGCTGGCAGCCAGACCCGATCGATGCAGACCCCTGGCAGTCGTCAGGGCAGGCACAGAGGACGAGGGACATAGTGCGCGTGCTGGCGGGGGTGTTTTGTGTGTTTTGAGTCATCTAAAACACCCCTCCCTTCCCCGCCCCCGCCCGCAGCTGGCAGCCAGTCCCTATTGACGCTGACCCCTGGCAGTCGACAGGGCAGGCACAGAGGGCGAGGGACATAGTGCGCGTGCTGGCAGGGGTGTTCGGTGTGTCTTGAGTCGTCTAAGGACACCCTTCACTCCCCCCCAAATCCCCTGCAGCTGGCAGCCAGAAAGACCCCATCGATGCAGACCCCTGGCAGTAGTCAGGGCAGGCGAAGAGGGCGCAGGAAATAGTGCGCGTGCTGGCGGGGGTGTTTGCTACGTCACCTGATCTGGCATTCACTCTCTGCACTCGACCTTTCCCTTCCTCCTTCCCTGTCTTCTTATTCCCGCAGCTGGCAGCCTGATCCGATTAATGCGGATCCCTCGGATCTGATGCCTACTGCTTCCCTTCTTCATGAGCACAGTCTGATGCCTACTGCTTCCCTTCTTCATGAGCACAGTCTGATGCCTACTGCTGCCCTTCTTCATGAGCACAGTCTGATGCCTACTGCTGCCCTTCTTCATGAGCACAGTCTGATGCCTACTGCTGCCCTTCTTCATGAGCACAGTCTGATGCCTACTGCTGCCCTTCTTCATGAGCACAGTCTGATGCCTACTGCTGCCCTTCTTCATGAGCACAGTCTGATGCCTACTGCTGCCCTTCTTCATGAGCACAGTCTGATGCCTACTGCTGCCCTTCTTCATGAGCACAGTCTGATGCCTACTGCTGCCCTTCTTCATGAGCACAGTCTGATGCCTACTGCTGCCCTTCTTCATGAGCACAGTCTGATGCCTACTGCTGCCCTTCTTCATGAGCACAGTCTGATGCCTACTGCTGCCCTTCTTCATGAGCACAGTCTGATGCCTACTGCTGCCCTTCTTCATGAGCACAGTCTGATGCCTATCCCTGGCAGTCGTCAGGGCAGGCGAAGAGGGCGCGGGACATCGTGCGTGTGCTGGCGGGGATGTTTGGTTGGGGTAGGCGTCACCTGATCCAGCACCCATTCGTTGCACTCGCCCTTTCCCTCTCTCCTTCCGCCCCTCCCCGCCCGCAGCTGGCAGCCAGACCCCATTGATGCAGACCCCTGGCAGTCGTCAGGGCAAGCACAGAGGGCGAGGGACATAGTGCGCGTGCTGGCGGGGGTGTTTGGGTCGCGGGAGGTGCTGCTGGGGGAGTATCGAGGCATGCTGGCGGAGCGGCTGGTGGGGCGCGCTGGGTACGACACTGACCGGGATGTGCGCACCCTGGAACTGCTCAAGGTGCGTGGACAGGTGCTTAGGTTGTGTGGAAGAGAGAAGAGAAGTTATTGCTTGTGTGTTCCACTCGAGGTCAGTACATGGCATGTGTGCTCCATGGGAGGTGCTGCTGGGGGGGTATCAAGGCATGCTGGCGGAGAGGCTGGTGGGGCGCGCAGGGTACGACACTGATAGGGACGTTCGCACTCTGGAGCTGCGCAAGGTGGGTTGACATGTGCTGAAAGTGCGTGGGAGAGAGAAGAGAAGTTGATGCCTGTGTGTTCAATCAAAGGTTAAAGCAACTGCTATGCATGTGTGTTGCTTTCAAGGTGCTGCTGGGGGGAGTACAGAGGCGTGCCGGCAGGCGGCACTCAAAGCGCATAAGCGACCTCCCGCATGCCTCTTCGCCTTCCCCTCCCCTTATCTCTCTTGCTCTTGGTTGCGATTCAACGAGTCCAACTTGCATGCGTGCGAGGTGATGCTGAGAGTCGTAGCATACTCAAAGCGTATCAACCACCACCCCACCCTGCCCATCCCCCCCCCACTCCCTCCCCTGCATTCCAAACTATTCCCCCTTCCAGCTCCGCTTTGGAGAATCCAATCTGCACGCGTGCGAGGTGATGCTACGAGACATGGCGGATTCAAAGCGCATCAACGGCAACGTGAAAGCGGCCATGCGGAAGGCAAGGGAGGAGGCTCGGGACTTGGCAGAGGCGCGTTCCAATATTGCTCGCTCGAAAGCCATCATGAGGCGACGAGGTGAGGGTGGGTAAGGGAGGAGAGCGGGGGTAGTACTAGTGGAGGCGGCCATGCGGAAGGCAAGGGAGGAGGCTCGGGACTTGGCAGAGGCGCGTTCCAATATTGCTCGCTCGAAAGCCATCATGCGAAGACGAGGTGAGGGTGGGGAAATGAGTAAGGATGAGGAGGAGAGGAGAAGATAGGTTAGGGAAGTGAAACAAGCGATGAGGCAAGTAAGGGAGGAGGCTCGGGACTTGGCAGAGGCGCGTTCTAATATTGCTCGCTCGAAAGCCATCATGCGGCGACGGGGTGAGTGAGGTAAAGGGAGGAGAGTGTAGAGACGAGAGAAGCAGGTGAGGGTGGATGGGATGTGGGCGGAGGGTAGTGAAACAAGCGACGAGGCAGGCGAGGGAGATGGAGGCTCAGGAGCTGGCGGAGGCCCATGCTGCTGGTGCCCGTGCTGCTGGTGCTTGTGCTGCTATTGTTCCTATCCACCAACCTTTCTTTCCACCTCCCCTCCCTTTCCCCCTCTTTCTCGAATGGTTTCGCACTCGTGTGCAGGCCTATCAGTGGTGGGGACAGGGAGGGGAGCAGCAACGGCACAGAGAGAAAGCAGGGGCACAGGGGGAGGTGTATCTGGAGCAGGTGTATCTGGATCGGGGGTATCTGGGTCAGGCTCATCTGCATGGTCGCAGGCACACACACCCGAGCACCTGGTGGTGAGGGGCATGGCATCGTTCTCCACCCCTCCAGACCGACCTGGGAGAGGAGGAGAAGGGGGGGAGGGAGGGGGAGGGGGAGGGATTGTGGGAGGGGGAGGGGCGTCGCAGTGGTTCACTCCAGACTCGTTTGCTTCTCCTCCTCCTCCTGCTGCAGCAGCACAGGCACCCCCTGGTGAGCGAGAGTGGGGTGGGGAGGCGCAGGATGAAAGGTGCGGGGTGCCATGTGTGTGTTTTGATGGGTGGGTGGGTGGTTTGGTGGGTGGGTTTGTGATTTGGTGGGTGGGTGGGTGGGTTTGTTGCAATTGCAACACGGAAGGAAGTGGTGAGCGGGTGTGCTTCATATGCCGTGGTACACTCGTTTCAGATGTCTCATACTTTCTTCCACATGTCCTGTCCCATCCCCCAGCATCAACCCAGCATTTCTCTTCCTTTACCCCTCTCCGTTTCCCTTTTTCCCTTTACCCCTGTAACCTTTTCCCCTTCCGATTTCCCCATTCCCCTTCGGCCTTTACGCTTTGTCCTTGACTTTTGCCCCATTGTTCACCGTCCTCTTTTTCCTTTCTCTCTCCACCCGCGCCACCCTTTCACCTGCTACCCCTGCTTCCCTTGCTGCCCCTCTCACCTGCACTTTCACCTCCCCAGATTCTTCAGGGGCACCTGCCCCTCCTCCCCGGGCAGCCCGCCCAAATCTTCTGTCCCGCTGGGCCCGCCTCCGCCCGGACCTCCGCACACCGACTTTTTCCGGTGACCGTTCCGCAGATCGCGGGCAGCCTGGAAATTCTGCCCGAACCCCCGGCCAATCAGGTGGCGGCAGCTCAGCAATGGGGGGAAACAGGAGCGCTGGGAGAGGCGGGCAGGGGGGGTTATGGGATGTTATGGATGCATTGGGAGGGGAGGGGAGTGGGGACGAGGAGGATGAGGGGGAGATTGAAGGAGGGGAGGAAGAGGAGGAGGCGAAGCCGGAGGAGAAAGAGGAGTTGCTAGAAGCAGAGAATTTAGACGCCACGATCGTCTCGGCACTGTTCTGGCCGGCTTTCCAGGAGGAATCGGTGCGGTTACCAGCGCCTGTAACCAAGCTGATGGAGGAGTATTCAACCAATTATGCGACGCTGAAAGCGCCCCGTAAGCTGCAGTGGAAGGCGAACCTTGGGTGTGTTACAATTGAGCTGGAGTTTGGTAACGGGCGGAGCACTCAGCAGTACACCGTAACGCCCGTTCAGGCGGCCATTATCCTGAAATTCCAAACAGCCGGAGCAGGAGGGGGAGATAAGTGTGGGGGAAGTGCAGATGACGGTGCGGAAAACGGAGAAGTTAATAAGGAGGACGAGACGAGGCCCCAATGGGCGGCATCTGAGCTGGCGGCAGCAGTGGGCCTGTCAGTGCCGGTGCTGCGTCGGCGAATCACATTCTGGGTGAATCAGGGCGTGATTGTCGAATCGGTCGCGACCAATCGGTCTCCTCCGGAACCTCTTTTCACAGCTGTAGATTACCAAGTCGACCCTGCTTCTGCTGGTGCTGCTGGTGATGCTGGTGGGGATAGAGATGGTGATGCTGATGCCGCCGCTGCTGCTGCTGCTGGTGAGGGTGCTGGGCTGGGTGGGTTGCGAGGGGATGGAGAGGGGGAGGATATGGTAGCAGGCGGAGAGTTGCTAATCGGAGATGAGGACGAGGAGGAGGAGGGGGGAGGCATGGTGGCATCGTTGGAAGCGCAGAGGAAGCAGGAGAGTGCGGTGCATGAGTCGTTCATCACGGGCATGCTCACCACGTTCGACGGCCTCCCTATAGAGCGAATCCACAACATGCTCAAGATGTTTGTGTCCGACCCGCCATATGATCGCTCGCTGGCGCAGCTGCATGCGTTTCTGGGGGTGCTGGTGGCGCAGGAGAAGCTGGAGCTCAGGGATGGGCTGTACCGTAAGAAGAAGTAGGTACGGTTGGGTTTAAAGCGGTTCTTGCCAGTGGTGCTGACCCTGTCTGCTACTCCTGCTGGCGCAGCTGCATGCGTTCCTGGGGGTGCTGGTGGCGCAGGAGAAGCTGGAGCTGCGGGATGGATTACATCGGAAAAAGAAGTAGGTGCGGTTTGGTTCAAAGCGGTTATTGCCAAGGGTGCCGGTACTATTCCTCCTGCTGGCGCAGCTGCATGCGTTTCTGCGGGTGCTGGTGGCGCAGGAGAAACTGGAGCTCAGGGATGGGCTATACCATAAGGAGAAGTAGATGCAGTTGTTGGGCTGAAAAGCTCTTTGGATCTTTGCAGGGGTGAACTCTGGGTAGAGTTGGTGTAGTAGCGGAAGCGTTAATAAAGAGTTGTGAACCACCTTGCGCTAGTATGTGAGGGCAAAGTAAGTTGGTTAAAGCAAAGAGATACAAGATTATACATGAATACGGGGAATATGAAAAGACACAGTTATAACTACTTCACTGTTGCTGTCGCGGTTCGATACAGCGACGACTCGGGCAACTGCTCTGTAACGAGTTAGTTGTGTGTCCTTGCTGTCACGCTGTATTTGTCTGGTCAAAGGTCGCTGACCTTCGACTTTCGCGTAACCTCCAGCAACTGCTCAACCTCCGAGGGTTGACTCGCCGGTGCTTTGATATACTTCGCTTCGCTTCTGACTCGGTGTTTCGACACGACAGAGGCGCTTAGGACCGATTGTTTCCAACAGCAGTCTAGTTCAGAGAGGTTCTCACATTATCACATAGTGTTCTATATTTGCTTGGCACTGCTGCTCCTGCTGCTTCTGCAGCTGCACGCCAGGGGGTCCTGGTGGAGTAGGCGACCTGGAGGTTTGGGACAGCTGCGGGAATATGATTTGCCAAAGAACCCTGTCAACCCAAGCAATTAAGGATTGCAATGCCACTAGGTTTGTGTGGGTATATGATTTGCCAATGAATATGCCAACCAATTAAGGATTGCCATGCCACTACTAGGTACCAATACATCTTAGGTTAGGTGCCTACAGACCTTGGTTACTACTACCGTAGGTGATGCGCTTTGGCAGGAGGCTGCGCAGAATATACCGTAGGCAGATGAGATGATGCACTCTCCTCACACCCTCCCCCCTAACTAATATAGCTGCTGTAGACCGCACTAAAGAATACTTTCCATGAATATGAACCTGCACTTTCAGTGTACTACTAAATAGTGTATAACTGTTATTCGCCCTTCTCCCCTGCATCCCCTGCCTCCATCTCCTGTAGCACTCTCTCTGCCGCTGATGGCCGGCTGCTCACTGTGGCTGATGACGACGTGACCTGCAACGGCCGTATCACAAAATGACACGGGGGGGGGTTGGGGGGAGGGGGGGGAGAGATGAATTTGTTGGCAGTTGGCTCAATTACCAACTTCATATCCTGCAGCACTCTCTCTGCCGCTGAGGGTCGGCTGCTCACTGTGGCTGACGACGACGTGACCTGCCATGGCCGCATCAAAAGAGGGATGGGGGTGGGAAATGGTGGGAACTGTAAGTAGGGCACGCCAGGAGGAAGAGAAGGACGAGGGTGAAAGATGGTGGGGAGGAGTCCTGGGTTGGTGGATATTTTAGCAGCAGACTGATGCTTCTCCCCAATGCCAAACGCTCCCATACCAGTGTTTTTGATAGACATGAAACTGGTGGAACTAGGATTTCCGGTACATGCTTCAGAGTGCCAGCTTTAGGACTGAAAAATTGATGGAGCCCTAAATACTGGTCCACACCGGTAGGTGTTGATTTCTCACAATGGTGCTGCACTCACTGGGGTGCCACCACTCACCGGGATGCTGGCCCACTGGTCCTTCATGCGCATGACTCTCTTCTGACCCGCTGACACCGCGCTGTCGATCTTATCCTCGTGCTTCTTGATTTGCGGATACAGGAACTTCCAATAGATGATGCTGGCGCCCTGACAGTATAGCGGATAACGAGACAGCACATAACGGGACGCGAAATCAGAAACACAACACTAGGGCGACGTCAGACTGAGCTCGCTCAGAGTGACTCTTTGGCACGAGTTACACGGACCGAGGAGAGGAAAGACGGGGGGTCTAAGTGAATCTTTGACAATTTCAACCATGGCACAAAAGCTAAGTGACTCTTTGGCGACACGGAACTAAGAATAGAGTATCATCTGACCTTGGTCATTGGTAGTTGGAGCCATAGAACGAAGAGGAGCTTGAGGGAGAAGAAGATGGGAAGCCTGCACGCCACAGATGCGTTCAGTAATGGAAGTCTCGGTGGTGAGTGTGAGGGACGGAGGACGTGCGAATGAAATCAAGTAGAGTCGATATTTGAGAAGTAGCTAATGAAGCAGAGTCTCAAAGATCGTGGCCAGGGATCAGACATAGATGACAGGTGCATCATTGCCAGTTCAAAGCTGAATGAAGCGAAGGAGGCAGTCGAATTTCCAGACTACACTGAACCCGAACCTAAAAGCATGAAGTCCCTTTGACAGGAAGGACAAGTGGATCGGTGAGACGGACGTGCAGCGTACCAGACGAGGACCCAGTAGAAGATGGATTCGACAAAGTTAATGCACGCTAGGACCGAGGTGACTCTTGAGTCGACTCGGCAGTCACCTTGTGAGACGGATGTGCGACGTACCAGACGAGGACCCAGAAGAAGATGGATTCGACGAAGTTAATGCACGCTAGGACGGTCCAATACGTGAGCCATTGGGCCTTGTTGTCCGACGATTGCGAATCCAGAGCCTTAAAGCTAGCATAAAACGGATATGCGAAGCTGACTAGGACCCTGAAACAACAGAGTGCGAGAACACAAAAGATTGGGAAAGAAAACGGGACGGTAATCGAAAGGTAAGGCACGCAGGTGAAGTGTAGAAGCGACTAAACGCGATGCGGAAGTTAGTCTTAGCTACAGCAGTGCGTCGTACACGAGGGGCTTGACGATGAACTCGGTAGTGAGGTGCGGTGACGCTACCACGGTAGCTACAGCGGTCGAGGCCATAGCTTCGATGACAGATACGATACGAGACGAGATCAGACGGAGCGTGCGTCGGCCATGGATTGGGACTGTGTCTTCACCTAACAACTAACTACTGAACTCAGAATTCCCGCAAATCTGGGAATCGCAGACACAAAACTCGGAATGTGTTTCGGTAGCATCGGAGCTGGCTCCACAGGCACGAATCCATATTTTAGGGATCGTCGGTAACTGGGTGGTGCCAGCACTTCGCAAAGCATTTTGGTTACCAGTTGTTGTCGCGCCAGTAAATATCTCGTGACGGGACCTCGCATTCACAGTGACGAAGAAGTTACAGGGTAGAGGTTTGTGGTGACGACACGTAGCCAATTAGAAACCAAATCAACAAGGACGCAGGAGAGGCACATTAGGCGAACAACCGTCAGGTTGACGAGATGTTCGCGAACGGCGTAAATGTCAATCCCTTATTCGCGCCACCCTAGTAGCGGAAGTAGAACGGCCCGCCAGCCAGCACCAGCTTCAGTTTGAAGATGCCGCCTTGTGAATGCAGCAATGGCTTTCAGAACGCCAGGCTCGCTGCTTTCTTTAGAAAATATTTTGAAAAGAAGGACGAGATCGGTGACACTTGTCGTTCTGTTGTTGGTGCTGTCGGGCCGCGGGCTAGCGACTCCCCGCAGAAGAGCAGCGGGAGATGCGGAACCGCGCAATAAGCAGCGGCGGGAGGGAGCGGAGGCAGGAGCGACACGAAGAAGAGTGCTTGCATCGTCCCGCGCGGAAGGTGATCGTAGCGTAATGCGACTTACTATGAGTAGTACTTAGGGACTCCCTTAGTTTTGACTGGAAATTTTGTTACCTCCTGACCACCGACGTCGATCACCCGTTTCTAGTTGTTAACCCCCTATCAGCTTCGTCACCAGGACCATCTCTTGCAACGCCTAAACCCTGTTACATCTCTTGTCACGCATCCTCTACCTGCCTCTTTCTATTCCAACCCTCTTGTACCTTGTTGTGAGGCGCTTCAACCGTTTCTCTTTGTCATCCCCGATCACACACTCCCTGCTTGCCTCTCCCTGATCTCCAGCTCTTTCGCGCGCGAATTGCACTCAAGGTCACGGCAACGCCGACGGTAGCGATGGTGGTAACCAGCTGCCGACGTGGAGCCCGCATGTGCCGCGCGCCGTCCTGAGGCGAGGCATCGCGCACGAAGGGGATATGCTGCGATTCGACAGGTTGCTGCACAAGGCACGTTGGGGTTAGAGGGGGGGTGGGGGCATGTGCTGACTCCAGTTGACTCTAGTTGACCCCATTCTTTTGAGGAGAGAGGTGTCTCGCATGAGGGGGGCATGCTGCGATTTGACCGCCTGCTGCACAAGGCACGTTGGGGCTGAAGGGGGTGCAGATGGGCAGAGGGGGGGGGCATGGATTTTGATTTGTTTTTTGGGTCGATCCTTCCCCTTCATCTGTCACCCCTCAATCCAATCACACCCCTCATCCTTCCGGTCCGGCCTACTCCAATCGTCGCATGCCTCCTTTGTTTTCACCATGCCTCATCCCTCCCGTCTCCCCATGCCCCCTCCCATGCAGATCATAGTGCGTCGCGAGCCCATCACAGTGGTGGCTATCGGCAGCAGCTGCACGTCCGAGTTTGGAGGCAGGAAGGGGCCGCAGCTCAAGCTGCTCAACCTCGATGCCTTTGAGTTCGGCAGGTGAGGGGGGAGATTTACTAATGAGTTCCTTTAGGGTTAAATCTGGATGATTCTGAGTCAGAGTTTGAGGCAGTATTCAATTTTGAGTCTGAGTTTGGCGGCAGGAAGGGGCCGCAGCTCAAGCTGCTCAACCTCGACGCCTTTGAGTTCGGCCGGTGAGGGGGAGAACTCTCATATATGTTGCTTTTATACTCAGTTCTGAGTCTAATCCCAGGCCTGATCCCAATCCTGTTCCCAAGCCTAATCCCAGGCCTGATCCCACAAGCCTGATCCCAACCCCGATTCTGAGCGCGAACTTGATTCCGAGTCGAAACCTTCCTCATCTGAAACCCCACCTCGTCTGTCTTCTCTTCCGTTCCCTCTGCTCTCCCCCTCTCCACTCTCTCCCCGTCCCAACCGGACTCTCGTCTTCTCCAACGCGCCACTGCTTCTAACCCCCCCTCCATCCTCCTCCATACCCCTTTCCCTTGTTCCTCTCACCCCACCAGAGTGGTGCATCCAGACGGCTGGCTCACAGCAGCACTAGACTGGCTGCTAGCAGCGTTCCCACCCAGCAAACCGCACGACTTCTCTACAACTCCGCTCCCCGACGCCGTGCCAGCAGGGGACCAAGCCCCCCAGCAGCCCTACTGGCTACTCAACCTCGCCATTGGGGCCATTGGGCCACAGCCCTGGGGGAAGTGCCTGGGGTGAGTGCGTGGGGTGAGTGTGTGGGGTTGGGATGAGTGAATGAGGTGAGTTGAGCACCTGCAGTGACTTCTCCACTGCGCCTCTCCTTGACGCCGTGCCAGCGGGGGACCAAGCCCCCCAGCAGCCCTACTGGCTGCTCAACCTCGCCATTGGGGCCATTGGTCCTCAGCCCTGGGCCAAGTGCCTGGGGTGAGTGCGGTTCGCATGTGTTGCCAGGGGTTAATGGCTAGCGGTTCAATGCAAGGGCTGCCTGCTGCCAGCATGCCTCCGAGCACTCCTTCTAGCTGCCTAGCCATTGGAGCTAATAGTAATAACCCCATAGCCCAATAGCCCAATAGCCTGATAGTCCAATAGCCCAATAGCCCAATAGCCTAGTAGCCAAATAGCCTAATAGCCCAATAGCATAATAGCCCAACAGCCTAATAGCCCAATAGCCTAATAGCCCAATAGCATAGTAGCCCAATAGCCCAATAGCCTAGTAGCCAAAGCGCCTAGTAGCCCAATAGCCTAATAGGCCAATAGCCTAATAGCCTAATAGCCTGATAGCCCAATAGCCTAATAGCCCAATAGCCTAATAGGCTAATAGCCTAATAGCCTAATAGCCCAATAGCCAATAGGCTATTAGCCTAATAGCCCAATAGCCTAATAGCCTAATAGCCCAATAGCCTAATAGCCCAATAGCCCAATAGCCTAATAGCCCAATAGCTTAATAGCCCAACAGCCTAATAGCCCAATAGCCCAATAGCCTAGTAGCCAAATAGCCCAATAGCCCAATAGCTTAATAGCCCAATAGCTCAATAGCCTATTAGCCTAAAAGTCTAATAGCCCAATAGCCTAATAGCCCAATAGCTTAATAGCCCAACAGCCTAATAGCCCAATAGCCCAATAGCCTAAGAGCCTAATAGCTTAATAGCTGAATAGCCTAATAGCTGATTAGCCTAATAGCCCAATAGCCCAATAGCCTAATAGCCTAATAGCCCAATAGCCTAATAGCCCAATAGCCCAATAGCCTCATGGCCGAATAGCTTAATAGCCCAACAGCCCAATAGCCCAATAGCCTATTATCCTATTAGCCTAATAGCCTAATAGCCCAATAGTCTAATAGCCCAATAGCTTAATAGCCCAACAGCCTAATAGCCCAATAGCCTGATAGCCCAATAGCCGAATAGCCTAATAGCCCAATAGCCTACTAGCCGATTAGCCTAATAGCCGAATAGCCTAATAGCCCAATAGCCCAATAGCCTAATAGCCTAATAGTTTAATAGCCCAACAGCCTAATAGCCTAATTGCCTAATAGCCCAATAGCTTAATAGCCCAATAGCTTAATAGCCCAACAGCTGAATTGCCCAATAGCCCAATAGCCTAATAGCCCAATAGCCTAATAGCCCAATAGTTTAATAGCCCAACAACCTAATAGCCCAATAGCTTAATAGCGCAACAGCCTAATAGCCCAATAATCTGATAGCCCAATAGCCTAATAGCCGAATAGCCTAATAGCCGAATAGCCTAATAGCTCAATAGCCCAATAGCCTAATAGCCTAATAGCTTTATAGCCCAACAGCCGAATAGCCTAATAGCCTAATAGCTTAATAGCCCAATAGCCTAGTAGCCAAATAATCTAGTAGCCCAATTTCCAATAGCCCAATAGCCTAATAGCTTAATAGCCTAGTAGCCCAATAGCCTAATAGCCCAATAGCTTAATAGCCCTACAGCCTAATAGCCCAATAGCCCAATAGCCTAATAGCCTAATAGCCCAATAGCCTAATAGCCCAACAGCCAGCCCAATAGCCCAATTGCCCAATAGCCTAATAGCCCAATAGCCTAATAGCCCATTAGCCTTATAGCCTAATAGCCTAATAGCCCAATAGCTCAATAGCCTAATAGCCTAATAGCCCAATAGCCTATTAGCCCAATAGGCCAATAGCCCTAATAGCCCCGCAGGGCAGCAGCTCTGGGGGAAGTGCTCTGGACCACGTCTGCTCGATGCCAGCACGCTTCATCCCTCTCCGTGTCTCTTCTCATTTCTCCCCTCGTCCACCTCCTCATCATTCTCCCCCCTCAGGAGGTAGATCTGTTAGGCCTAGTGGTGGTGGAGTGGGCGCTAGCAGCGAGCTACCCCGAGCTACTCAGTCTATTCAAGCACACCCATCCCTCCCCTTTTGTCCTTCTCCCCTTTCCCCTCTCTCCCCTATGGGCACTCTCCCCCAACCCCAGGGGCACGTACCTGGCAAAGCTCCCGAAGACCGTGGATCTGGTGGTGGTGGAGTGGGCATTAGCAGCCAGCTACCCCGAGATAGCCAGGGACATGGACATTGTGCTGCAACGCCTGCTCAAGCTCTGGCCCACACCACCTGCCTTCCTCTTTGTGCATTTCTTCTTCTGGTGCCGGGGCAACCTCTGGTGCCGCACATGGCTGGTAAGCACTGGGAAGGTTCATGCGGCAAATGGCAGGCAGGTAAGGTCTTTCGAGGCGCCTCAAAAGTCGCAAATGGCAGATCAGTTCTCCCCTTCCTCTTTGTGCATTTCTCCTTCTGGTGCCGGGGCAACCTCTGGTGCCGCACGTGGCTGGTAAGCAAGCATTCCCCCGGTTGTACCGTGCTCTTTGTAGTACCAGCCACTGAGTGCCATGCCATGGTCCTCCTTGTAACATCCCCTTTGTGCATTTCTTCTTTTGGTGCCGGGGGTACCTCTGGTGCCGCACATGGCTGGTACGCAGCAAGTGTTCTGCCATGTTGTGCTGTCTCGTTTGAGTATTCTCAAGCCACCTGGTCCTCATAACAGAAGTAGTGTTTTCAGACGTCCCAAAACACTACTTCTTTCACGTCACGTGGCTATTCTCAAGCCACCTGGTCCTCATAACATCCTCTTTATGCACTTCTTCTTCTGCTGCTGCTGCTGCCGTCACCCTAAAACCTAAACCCCATCAGACGGATCCCAAAACAGGCGTGGAGCTGCTGGAGGAGGGACCACAGCAGCCACTGACTCGTGATGACATCTCGTTGGCAGCATTGCATGCTCTCCTTAAACTCTCTCCCTTTCCCATCCCCATCTCTTCCATTCTCTGTCCATCTTTGCCCCATCAGACGGATCCCAAGACAGGGGTGGAGCTGGTGGAGGAGGGACCACAGCAGCCGCTCACTCGGGAGAACATCGGGGTGTTTTCGTTTGACTCGTTTGACCGCCGCGGCACGGGGCGAGTGACAGAGGACGATTTCCTGGTGCTCGCGCGTTACTACGGCTTCCCTGCCATCTCCATGCGCAATGCGTTTTGGAACCTCGCAACACAGCAGGTGGGTGGGTCTCTGCTTGCATATGAGTCCAATCAGAAGGCACGGGCCGTGTGACAGAGGACGACTTCCTTCCTGGTGCTCGCCCGTTACTATAGCTTCCCTGCTATCTCCATGCGCAATGCGTTTTGGAACCTCGCAACACAGCAGGTGGGTGGGCCTTTCCTTTTGAGTCGACTCAGAAGGCACGGGCCGAGTCACAGAGGAAGATCTTCTGGTGCTCTCATGCTGTAAGGTGATGATTCTCACCTTAGGGTACGTTCCTGGCTCGTGTCAAGCTTCGGGGGCCTTCCCGGGAAGATCCGAAGCTTTTGGGTTAAACTTCCTGTCAAACTTTATGTCTTCCGAAAACAGGGACAATTTTTTGCCGGAAGACCCAAAGTTGGTCTCGGATGACCCAAAGTGGGCCCAACTTCCGGTCATCCGCGGATGACCGGAAGCTTGACACGAGCCATCCGCGTGGGTCAAACTCCCGGTCGAGCACTAAGCTTGACAAGAGCCAGGAATGTGTGTACCCTTAATGCCCGACCTCACAGCACGAGCTGTAAGGGGCAGCAACCGACCGACCCACTAGCTCCCACCACCACCACCACAAACACACCCTTCCGACCACCCACTGTCACTCACCGCCACTACCCACCAGGCGCCACACTTCGGCCTGCACGATCTGATACCCATGGACGACATGGGGTTGCACAAGGCAGGGGCAGTGGCAGCACTTGACCCGCCATCTCCTCCCACCACCACCCATCACCAACCTCCCTCCCTCCACCCACCAGGCGCCCCAGTTCGGCCTGCACGACCTGATAGCCTTGGACGACATGGGGCTGCATCCGGGCCTGCCGCTCGCCCGCACGCGATATGCGGATGTGCTCATCAACTTCTTCCGCACCGCCATCCAAGGTAATACTTATGTCATGCCATGTCATGCCCTCCCGTGCCCTCCCGTGCCCCCTCGTGTGCTGTGCTCCTCTCCTCGTGTGAGGCGGCATGCGATACGCCGACGTGCTTATCAACTTCTTCCGCACCGCCATCCAAGGTACCGAGGCCAGGCCATGCCATGCCATGCCATGTAATGCCACGCCATGCCATGCCATGCCACACCATGCCCTGGCCTCCTCACGTGCTGATCAATTTCTTCCACACCTCCATTTAAGGTACCCCCTCCCTCGCAGGTGACTTTTGAGTCGACTCAAAAGTCATTTCTTCCACACCTCCATTCAAGGTACCCCCTCCCTCGCAGGTGACTTTTGAGTCGACTCAAAAGTCATTTCTTCCACCCCTCCATTCAAGGTACCCCCTCCCTGGCAGGTGACTTTTGAGTCGACTCAAAAGTCATTTCTTCCACACCTCCATTCAAGGTACCCCCTCGCCTCGCAACCCACTTGTGCGTGCAGTACAGGTGCAACCCTCGTTGTTGTGCTATGCTTCTGTGCTCAAGCCATCATCTGCCACTTGCCCCCTTCCTTCCCCACGTCAGGCTTCTTCACGCTTTCAGCGTGTTTCGGCCAGAGTGCAGCGTGTGATAAGTCGATTTTTTTTTGTCACGCGCCACTTTTGAGTCGACTCAAAAATCGACTTATCACGCGCCGCCAGAGGGCAGCCCTGGAAGCATCAATGACCGACCGAGCAGCAGAGCTGGCATGGCGTTGCTCAGGGTGCCACCTATTTTCACTCCTCCCTTTCTCCTCCCATCCCTCCTTCCATCCTGCTCCATCCCCAAATTCCAGGTTTCTTTGAGCGGCAGAGGGCAGCCATGAAAGCGTCCATGGAGGAGAGAGCAGCAGAGCTGGCACTGCTCGAGGTGGTACCATGCCAACCCCCCTCTCTCCTCCTCTCGCTCCCCCCCACCCTCCCCTCCCTCCTTCCGTCCTGCTCCATCCCCAAATGCCAGGGTTTTCCAACCGCCAGAGGGCAGGCATGAAAGCGTCCATGGAGGAAAGAGCAGCAAGGAGATTCTTGAGTCGACCTAAATAAAACCTTTCCTCTGCTCCTCATATGCCAGGCTTCTTTGAGCGGCAGAGGGCAGGCATGAAAGCGTCCATGGAGGAGAGAGCAGCAGAGCTGGCGCTGCTCAAGGTGCCGCCACCCCTCTTTGCGCGCTGGTTCCCGGGGGAGTTTGGAGGGCAGGGCGAGCAGGTGCGTGACCGAACCAGCAACAGTTTGGAGGGCAGGGCTGCTGCTGCTTTGAGAAACCAGTATGCGGTTTCTTGCTTGCATGCGAGCGTTCAGTTTCCGTGCCATGGAAAGGTGGCGCTGTGCTGTGCTACTCGTTCGAGCTGCTGGCGGCGACGCTGCCTCCTGTGCAGATGTCCCTCTTTTGTGAAGTAGCAAGTTCTAACGGTGGGAACTGGGTCGGGTGTGGTGTGGTGTGGTGTGGTGTGAGCAGGTGGCGCTGTGCTATTCATACGAGCTGCTGGAGGCAACGATGCCAACGGTGCGGGCAGTGAAAGGGTTCAACTTTACCAAGGACCCCGACTCTAAGATCCCCAAGCCGGGGTTCGCTACCTGGCAAGCAGGTGAGTGTGTCTGCTAGGGAGTTGTTTGAGGCGCCTCAAATATAGTTGCCAGTGTGGGCAGTGAGAGGGTTCAGCTGCTTTTGAGTCGACTCAAAAGGAGTTGTTTGAGGCGCCTCAAATATAGTTGCCAGTGTGGGCAGTGAGAGGGTTCAGCTGCTTTTGAGTCGACTCAAAAGCAGTTGTTTGAGGCGCCTCAAATATAGTTGCCAGTGTGGGCAGTGAGAGGGTTCAGCTGCTTTTGAGTCGACTCAAAAGGAGTTGTTTGAGGCGCCTCAAATATAGTTGCCAGTGTGGGCAGTGAGAGGGTTCAGCTGCTTTTGAGTCGACTCAAAAGCAGTTGTTTGAGGCGCCTCAAATATAGTTGCCAGTGTGGGCAGTGAGAGGGTTCAGCTGCTTTTGAGTCGACTCAAAAGGAGTTGTTTGAGGCGCCTCAAATATAGTTGCCAGTGTGGGCAGTGAGAGGGTTCAGCTGCTTTTGAGTCGACTCAAAAGCAGTTGTTTGAGGCGCCTCAAATATAGTTGCCAGTGTGGGCAGTGAGAGGGTTGAGCTTCACCAAGGACTCTGACTCTAAGATCCTGTAGGGCTTTTCTGAGAATTCTCAAAAAAACCCTACAGCATCAAGGACCCTGACTCCAAGATCCCCAAACTGGGGTTTGCCACGTGGCACACAGGTGAGAGCGAGGATGTGTGTATGCATGGGAATATGCTTGCGCTTGTGCATGTGTTTGTATGCATGTGTGTGAGCATTTTTGAATCGGATGGGGCGTCAGGGGGTAGATGCACACTAGCTCATATCTCCTCACTCCCTGTTAACTTCCACGCTCGCCCAACCTCCCTTCTCTTTCTCCTTCCAGGAAGCTTCGCGGAGTTCATATTCGACACGTCAGCACAGAACAAGCCGGCCCTCCAGCTGGACAATCCCTCCACCGCCCAAGCCCAGCTGGAGATCCGGTACCTCGTCAGCTATGAGCGAATGGGGGTGGGACACATGGCATGCGTGGAGGGGTGTGAGTGCGAGGGCGGGGATATAGACGCCACCATCTCGCAGCAGTGGTCGGTGCCCGAGAAACGAGTCTTTGATGTGAGTCAGAGCGAGAAATGCGTTGTGAGGATCGACGTGCGGCGGGGGAAAGGAGAGAAGTTCAAGATCCTGAGTTTCACAGTCATGTTCAAACCCAAGTAGGGGTGAGTGTTAGACACATGCTGCGTGTGATCATACGGTACAGACTGATTGACGTGCGACGTTGGAAGGGGGAGAAGTTGAAGATCCTGAGTTTCACTATCATGTTCAAGCCCATGTAGGGGTGATGTACTCTTTGTGCTGGTTTTTTAGAATTCACAAAAACATGCAACAGTTGCTGACCCTCAGCAGTGTTGTTCAGCATATTCAGGCCATATTTTACCTGTTGTGTACATACATACTCATACCAGTATGTCGACATGTTCACCTGGGCTATGTGCCTGGTGGTATGGTTTCTTCCCGGAGGAATACCGAAGTTACGGAAGTGTTTCGCAGAGACAACCTTGTAAGGGAAGCACAGGTTGACAAATTGCTCAGATGACATAAAAAACTGCTCATACTACATTTGAAATGGCACAGGCCAGTGAGCATACAATGACCGTAGTAACGCTCAGCTCAATGCTTGGGTCATGCAGCAGCCGATTTGAGACGTCTCAAGACACTTTTATTATCACAAGCAGTGGGCGTACCGTACAATGACCGTAGTAACGCTCAGCTCAAGGCTTGGTTCATGCAGCAGCCGTTCCTGCCTCTGCTTCCCCTGCTGCCTCGGCTGCTGCACCATCAGCACCAACCCCATCACCACCATCCTCAGCACCACCACCATCAGCATCAGCATCAGCATCAGCATCAGCATCAGCATCAGCACCAACATCCGCATCCTCATCACCATCTCCAGCATCAGCAGTGCACACGTTGCAGGACTTTCTGCAAGCACCTGGCGCCCCGGGAGTGCCAATCATGTACTCCTTGTTGCGCTCACACTCTCCAGTCTCCGCCCACGCCTCACAGCTGCGACGAGAGGGGGAGAAACACGAGGGGGGACATAATACAGGATGGGAGCGAGCATGAGTTGCCCTCTCTGTCAAGGCCCAATCATGTACTCCTTGTTGCGCTCACACTCTCCTGTCTCCGCCCACGCCCTCACAGCTGGAATGATGGGTGAGAGGTCAAGGGGGGAAAGCAAGAGAGTATGAGCCATCACATTCTTTGTCAAAACCCGATCATGTACTCTTTTTGTTGCGCTCGCACTCTCCAGTTTCCAGCATTTCCGCCCACGCCTCACAGCTGGACAACGAGGGCAAGTACAGACCAGCGAGGGACGGTGGGAGAGAACGAGTGAGGGTTCACGAGAGCGAGAGAGAAAGCGCTGAGACATGGCAGTTCCCCGGGTGTGCCAATCATGTACTCCTTTTGAGAATTCTAAAAAATGCCAATCATGTACTCCTTTTGAGAATTCTCAAAAATGTCAATCATGTACTCCTTTTGAGAATTCTAAAAAATGCCAATCATGTACTCCTTTTGAGAATTCTCAAAAATGCCAATCATGTACTCCTTTTGAGAATTCTCAAAAATGCCAATCATGTACTCCTTTTGAGAATTCTCAAAAATGCCAATCATGTACTCCTTTTGAGAATTCTCAAAAATGCCAATCATGTACTCCTTTTGAGAATCCTCAAAAATGCCAATCATGTACTCCTTGTTGCGCTCGCACTCTCCCGTCTCCGCCCACGCCTCACAGCTGTAGAGAGGGAGGGATATTACGAAGGGGAAATTTGGGATGGAAGTGCGTGGGAGTCGCCGCTCTGTCAAGACCCACTCATGTACCCCTTTTGTTGCGCTCACACTCTCTCTCCCGTCTCTACACCTCACAGCTGGAATGATGGGGGAGCAAGTAAGTCGCACAATGGGAGGAGGCAGAGAGATTTATAGAATTGACTTTTGAGTCGACTCAAAAGTCGGAGGCAGAGAGTTATTGAGAATTCTCAGAAACACCCATGAGCAAGTAAGTGGCACAATGGGAGGAGGGAGAGAGTTTTTGAGAATTCTCATGAGCAAAAACACCCATGAGCAAGTAAGTGGCACAATGGGAGGCAGAGAAGGATGGAAATTTTGGTGTTGTTCGAGAGAGCGAGAGAGAGAGAGGATCAGCCTCTCCCCTTCTACCCTCTGCCCTCTGCTTTCTGCCCTCTGCCATGACTACTTAAGGCCACGGTGGCCTCTCCATCTCTCATTCTTTCAGTTAGTGCTGAAAATTTTGGTGTTGTTCGAGAGAGCGAGAGAGAGAGAGGATCAGCCTCTCCCCTTCTACCCTCTGCCCTCTGCTTTCTGCCCTCTGCCATGACTACTTAAGGCCACGGCGGCCTCTCCATCTCTCATTCTTTCAGTTAGTGCTGAAAATTTTGGGGGTACAAGCAGTCACGGGGGGTTACTCACAAGGCGTTGCTGTCCACGCAGCCAGCAGCAGGCTCTTCGTCGAAGCTCCCCACGTGGATCCACTTGGGAGCAGACCACTTCTCCCCCTCCACCACAGGATATGCATGGTGCAAGCTGCTCTCATCAAGTCAAGCGCACAGCACGGCACAGCACACAGCACACTGCAGCAGAGAATGACTCACAAGGCGTTGCTGTCCACACAGCCAGCAGCAGGCTCTTCGTCGAAGCTCCCCACGTGGATCCACTTGGGAGCAGACCACTTCTCCCCCTCCACCACGGGACACGCATGGTGCAGACTGCTCTCATCCGGCGTCCCATCCGGCAGCAGGTTGAAGAAGAGCAGAGCATCGCCCTTGATGGGCTTCACCCCCAGCACGCCTTTAGCACAGTCAGACCACGAGTCGTCCTTGAAAGAGGGGTCCTTGTGTGTGGGGAAGGTGGTTTCGCCTCCCTTTGTCACGTTGTTGAGATACATAAGGACTGTTGCGTAGCGGTGACCTCCCCTCTGGATAAGGAAGGACGGGGAGGGGGGACGCGGAGGACGGAAGACGCGTGAGAACGAGTGGGAGGAGAGAGGGAAGGAAGGCAGGAGGTGGAAGAAGAGCAGAGCATCGCCCTTGATGGGCTTCACCCCCAGCACGCCTTTAGCACAGTCGGACCACGAGTCGTCCTTGGGAGTCGGGTCCTTGCTCGTTGGGAAGGTGGTTTCCCCGCCCTTGGTCACGTTGTTCAGACAGATACATGAGAACTGTGGCGTAGCGGTGGCCGCCCCTCTGAATAGGGAGGGAATGGGCAGTGGGGAAAGCGGGATGGACGGGATGGATGGCAACACGACGTTTGGAAGGAGGAAAGGTCGTTTCCCCGCCCTTGGTGACGTTGTTCAGACAGATACATGAGAACTTTCGCATAGCAGTGGCCTCCCCTCCCCTCTGGAAGCGGGGAAATGGAAGGAGGGACGGTCGTTTCCCTTCCCCGCCCTTGGTCACGTCGTTGAGACAGATACATGAGCACAGATCCGTCAGACAGATACATGAGCACAGATCCGTCAGACAGATACATGAGCACTTTCTCGTTGCGGCGGCCTCCCCTCTGGATAAGAGGTATGGTTTTGGGGGGAAGAGGGAGAGGGAAGGGAGAAAGGCGGTTGAAGAAAAGTCGTCTCGCCACCACCGTCGCATAGTGGTGGCCTCCCCTCAGGAAGAGGGGGAATGGGCAGGGGGGTAGAGGGGCAGGAGGAGAGGGTTGGAAGGGTGAGATGGGACGTGGGAGCAGCACAGGGCCCTGTGATGGACAGAATGCGAGAGAATACCCATGGGCAGGCACGGGCAAACACACGTGATATGAGGGAGTTTTTGAGACGTCTAAAAAACTCCCTTTTATCACGTGGGAGCAGCACAGGGCCATGGACAGAATGCGAGCATATACCCACGCAGGCACGGGCACAGGCAGGCACGGGCACACGCAGAGGCAGGGGCAGGTGTGGGTACGGGCTGCTGTGGTACCTGTTGGTGCAGGTAGCTTTTGAGTCGACTCAAAAGTCACCTTGCTGTGGTACCTGTTGGTGCAGGTAGTTCGTCAAACGCCATTATTTTTTTAAGCTTTTTTTCCTCTTATTTTCTTATTTTCTTTTTGGAAATGTTTTTTTTTTTGTGTGTGCGTTGTCTGGGCGCAGGGGTGCCATGCCATGCCACGGTGCGTACCTGCTTGTGCAGCGGGTCGTCAAAGTAGTCGTGGTGGGGGTCGTACTTCTGCCCCACGCCGTACCGTAGCACCTGTGGAAGTGGGTGGTGCGAGGGAGGGGGTGGGTGGGAAGGGTTGTGGCAGGGGGTGGCAGGAGGGGGGATGGAAGAACACTTGTGAGGGCGTGGGGATAAGCACGTGGTGTGGGTCGTACTTCCGCCCCACGCCGTACCGTAGCACCTGTGGAAGTGGGTGGTGCGAGGGAGGGGGTGGGTGGGAAGGGTTGTGGCAGGGGGTGGCAGGAGGGGGGATGGAAGAACACTTGTGAGGGCGTGGGGATAAGCACGTGGTGTGGGTCGTACTTCCGCCCCACGCCGTACCGTAGCACCTGTGGCGGAGGAGGTGTTGGAAGGATAGAGGGAGGGAGGAAGCAGCAAAGGATTGGTGCGTGGATTGTGGGCACAAGTGCCCCCCCACATGCTCACACCTCCTCACGCCCGCACTCCGCCATGCCCCCACATTCGCGCACCCTCACACCCTCACACATTCGCACACCCTCACACCCTCACCCCACCCACCTGCAGCGACTCCTGGTTGGCGAGTGGCAGGAAGGGAAGGTCCAGACGCATACTTCTGCTGGCACATAATGCAACCCCCCACACATGCACACATCCACACACCTTCGTGTAGTGAGGTGTATTTTGAGGCGCCTCAAAATACTTCTGCTGGCACATAATGCAACCCCCCACACATACACACACCCACACACCTTCATCCCCCCCCCCCTCCTACCCCTCCTCGTCCCACCTGCAGCGACTCCTGGTTGGCGAGCGGCAGGAAGGGCCAGACGCATGCCCCTGGCGGTACATAATGCTCTCTCCGCACATGCGCACACCCCGCCCGCACACCCTCGTCTCCCCCTCTCTCCTCCCCCACCGGCGCACCTGCAGCGACTCCTGGTTGGCGAGCGGCAGGAAGGTCCAGACGGCGATGGCTTTGCAGGCACATAAAGCCCGCATGTCCAACCATCCATGCATGTCCAACCA